AATCGAGTGGAGATTCTGAACATTACTTCAGACTCAACTTTTTATGATGATAATTCATCGCATAGTCCTTATAAGGACAATACACTATTGCATACAAATACAAATATTACAAATAATACTCTGAAAAAAGAAGATTGTTTCGAAATTATTATGGGAAAAGACTGGATCCCGAATGGAGAAATCCATGAATCAAATAATAATATAACAGATATAAACAGTACAAAAAGTTTTGAAAATCACAGCAGTCAAGATATTACAAATTGTACAGTAAAAAAAAGCAACAAGGCAGAAAGGAAACAAAAATTAGAAATACGCCATGACTTAGATTATGATTCGCAAGACATGTTTGATGTATCTTCGGACAACAAAATCGAGCCATACAAAGAAATCAAAGATGTTCTCAAAGAAAAATTCCTCGCCTCGTTGAATCTGATTCGTACATCATTGATACCATCTGACACAAATAATACAGGTTCAGTCAGAGCACCAAGACGCCTGACTGTAAGTATTTTGGTAATAAATATTTTACCCGTTAATTTAAAATGATTATAAGTGTAACTAAACAAAACTTTTTTTCATTTCAGAGAATCAGAAAAGTCAAAAAAGTATTCGATCCATCAGATAATTTTATAGTGAAAAAGAAAAGAAGCAAACAGCCAAAAACAATGCCAACAAAGCCAAAAAAGCCAAAAACGATGCCAACAAAGCCAAATGCTACAATTCCCCAAGAAAACAGAGAAACTGTTACCCATTCTCAAAACAAAGAAACTTCAAAAGATAAATATTTTCATTGCTGCAGTAGTGATAAACCAGATTCATTAGTGGCGTGCAAAGATTGTACAACTAAAGGTAAAAATAATTAAAACTTACTTGACATTCAAGTATATATTTTTCAACTAAAATTTTTGTTTATTTTCAGTACATTTATCATGTGCACTACCATCTAAGAAAACGAGCAAGAAAGCCCTTATTGATTGGCGTTGTGAAAGGTGCAAGATGTGTGAAGTATGTCATGATACTGTTGAATCTGTAAGTAAAATCATTTCTCATGTGACAACTTTCATACAGATATAATAATGACAAAATTCACCATTCTAATATACAATGTTTGTTAACAGGGAACTATGGTAAGTTGCTATCAATGTGACCGTGCATCTCACATTAAATGCCTATCAGATAAAAAAACCCAGAAAGCATCTAAATGGGAATGTCAAGATTGTCAAACTAAGCGCAAATCACCATCACTTGAAAAAGTTTCAAAGAGTTCCGATTCAACGGATGCATCTGAGGTAACCAACCCTTTGAAGGCAGAAATCAAAGAAACTGCAAACAGCCCAAAAATATCAGAGGTGATCCATTACAAAAGAGATCCTAAGATACATAGATTCGAGATACTTTTTTGGAACCAAATCCCCGCGAATAACGGGGTTTGCCTGTATTAACTTAATTTTAATGTATATAATTGTACATTTGATCTTCCATTATTTCGTCGATTTGTAAGGATGAAAGTATTTAATAATATTATACAACAATTGTATTTTTTATATTATATTAAGAATCAACAATTGTTTTTTAATGATTAAAAATTTTACACTTTGTAACATGCAATGACTTTTTACTATCCAACCCCCACCGAGAAACTAAATCTTTATTCGGTTCAAGTGACATTCACTAAAATTTAAACTATTTAAAAGTCGATATCCTTATATGTATTTTTTCTTTTAAAATCAAAATTGAAATATCAAAGTTATGAGAAAATGGAAATTTCCCATACAAGGGTCGTAAGCAATCGTTTTTTGGCCGCACATGCGCATTGGTTCCGAAGTCGAGCGCAGCCAAGGACCCAACTACTATATTTGGCGCAAGTCACGATTTCATTTAGCGCCGTGCCACGTTGCACCGGTATATGCCTAAACTTTTCTCACGAGCGCCGAAAGTAAGAGCACAATGCATAATAATGTACATATACTTGCTGCTTACATAGCACCGCGCGCGTTATGGCTCGAGTTCAGATTCGTGGTTCGCTTTTTACCACAAAACGGACCCACAAAATGCGGCGACTACGTCTGCAGGAAAACAGATTGTATAGGCCCTAGCGGTAGGTCTGCGAATTCGTAGCACTAAGTGCTATACGCACGCGGATCGTCGAGCGAGCTTGCATCGTAAATTCGAACGATGAAACTGCCGAATTATTTCACCAAAGCTAAATTAAGTTACCGATGTATTTATTTATAAATCATCCTAACAATATTGGAAACAATTTAATATTCCAATTTTGCAACAATTTCTTTGAAGACTTTTGGGATCTTTTAAAACTAATAATTTAAAAATCTTCCAACAGATATTTTTGAGTACACACTAAAATATTAAGTAAATAGATTCTATCTATGTTAAGATGATAGTTTGTCACTGATTGAGTCTTTATCTAGCTAGGCATAAGAGCACCTAGCGTCCTTTGGTATACATCGACATGGTCATAATGTAAGAAATGTCCACGATTGTATGCTGATTTTCAAACTTATGCCAATGGAAGGGATGAAATTTTGAAACTCATAGAATGCATAAAAAATAATGGCATAAGGGCCACTAACAGATGTAAAAATCTAGACTCTACGAAAGTTGTACAATATTTCGAGTTAAACATTTTTCACATCTTTAAAAAAAGTTTCGCTCCCACGCGAAAAACTCGTGAAACAATACAGAGGGCAGTAATTAGTAGTAGGCGAAATCTGGAAACACACCACAAGGACATTATAAAAACATGTAACGATAGTTGACATTACTTGAGATTCAATCATTTAGGCATACTTTTTATAAAAATTGTAGAAAAACATATTTACAAATATCCATACATATTTTACAATTGTCGATCATTGTTTCTTCTCGCAATTATCGTTTGCGTAATAGTTTCTACCTTTGTGTATTTTCTTTTGGTGTTTCTTCAAATTGATTTGATCCCCAAATTTCTTCTCACAGAAGTTGCATGCGTAATCTTTCCGACCTTCGTGGACTGTCTTTTTGTGCTTAATTAAATTTCCTTTTTCTCCGAATTTTCGCTCGCAATCATTGCATATGTGGTCTTTGCAACTTTCGTGAACTGTTCTTTGGTGTCTTATCAAATTGCCTGGAAACCCAAATTTCTTCTCGCACTTGTCACAAGCGTAATCCTTACGATCTTCATGTACTATTCTTTGGTGCTTCAACAAATCCGATTTAGTGCCATATTTTTTTTCGCATTTATCGCACGCAAAATTTTTACGACGATCGTGCACTGTCCTTTGATAAACGAGCAAATTATGCTTTTGTCCAAATTTCTTCTCACACCTGTCGCATGCGAAATCTTTCCGACATTCATGGACCGTTCTTTGGTGCTTCAACAAATCCGATTTCGTGCCAAATTTCTTCTCGCACTTGTCGCATCCAAAATCTCCACGACCTTCGTGTACTGTCTTTTGATGATCGGGTAAATGCTGTTTACGACCAAATTTGTTTTCGCATTTATCGCAAGCAAAATCGTTACCTTCGTGTACTGCTCTGTTGTGTATAAATAAGCTCGATTTTCGTCCAAATTTCTGCTCGCACTTGTCACATGGGTAATCTTTGCGTCCCTCATGGACTGTCTTCTGGTGTAAGAGCAAAAGCCATTTATATCCGAATTTCTTCTCACAGTTATCACATGCGTAATCTTTGCGACCTTCGTGGACTGTCCTTTGGTGCTTCAACAAATCTGATTTACCACCAAATTTCTTTTCGCACCAGTCGCATGTGTAGTCTTTGCGACCTTCATGAACTATTTTTTGATGGAAAAGCAAATGATGTTTATGTCCAAATTTTTTCTTGCACCAGTCGCATGCGTAATCTTTGCGACCTTCGTGTACTGTCTTTCGGTCGCTCCATCGCTCGGGCAGATAGAGTTTTAGTGGGTATTCCCTCACCGACGCAAATCGGTTGAGGGTGAGTCCCACACACGGGGAGGTTCGGGGTCGACTTCAACTCCAACCTCCTTACGGTGCGTAACGCATTTCTCTATCTATAAAAAAAAAAAAAAAAAAAAAAATGTAAGAGCAAAGTCGATTTCATTCCAAATTTCTTTTCGCATATCTCGCAAGCATAATCTTTGTGACCCTCATGGACTCTCAATATGTGATGGAGCAAACCTGATTTATTTTGAAATTTCTTCCCACAATCATTGCATAAGTTATCTTTGAATACTCTGAAGGCAAAATCTTTCCGACCCTCATGAACTGTCTTTTGGTGTTTTGTTAAATTGCTTAAAACCCCAAACTTTTTCTAGCATTTGTCACATCCATAATCTTTGCAACCTTTGTGTACGGTCTTTAGATGGATGCGCAAATATGATTTTTGTACAAATATCTCCTCGCACTTTTTGCATGCGAAATCTTTCGGACCCTCGTGGACTGTCTTTATGTGCAAGAGCAAACTATTTTTAGTATCAAATCTTCTCTCGCACATTTCACATGAGTAATTTTTTAATACTTCGTGGAATATCTTATTGTGGTTGAGTACATTTGATTTATTTTCAAATTTTCTCTCACATTTGTTGCATGAGTTATGTTCGCGATCTTTGTGGACTAATTTTTGATGCGTAATCAAACTCGACTTTTTCACGAATTTTTTCTCGCAATTTTCACATGCAAATTCTTTGTGGCTTTTGTGCATTGATATTTGATGTCTGCTCAAATGACTTCTGAACTCGAATTTCATTTCGCACTTGTCGCATGCAAAATCTTTGGGACCCTCGTGGACTGTCTTTATGTGCGTAAGCAAACTCTGTTTATTTCCGAATCTCTTTGCACACATTTCACATAAGTAATTTTTTAATACTTCATGGAATATTTTTTTGTGACTTATTAAATTTGATTTATTTTCAAATTTCCTCCCGTATCTGTTGCATGAGTAATCTTCGCGATCTTTGTGGACTAATTTTTGATGCCTAATCAAACTCGACTTCTTCACGAATATTTTCTCGCAATTTTCACATGCAAAATCTTTGTGGCTTTTGTGCATTGATATTTGGTGTCTACTCAAATGACTTCTGAACTCGAATTTTATTTCGCAATTGTCGCATGCAAAATTTTTTTGTTTATTGTGAATTGTGTCTCGGTCTTTATCATACTTGATTCTACTGTAAATGCCTCCTGACAAATATCACAAATATGTTTTTTTTCGTTTGAAAGAACAATGTCATGTACTCTTGCATTATCTCTTGAGATAACTTTGTCGAATTTCTTCTCATTTTTATCCATTTTGGTGCCTAAATTAAATGAATGATCAGTTTATTTAAGATAAATAATATTTATCTTTTGGTATTATGGCTTGTTTCGTCGAGAAAGACATTACTTAGACTAATCTAAACATGATCATCGTATCGAGCGATAATGTTACAACTAAGTTGCCGATTCATCTGTTCATACATTACTTATAACATTTGAAACAATCTACAATACGAACTTGACGACGATTTCTTCGAAGAATTATTTTGACCTTTTAGGATACATGCACTTCAAAAAAATCCAGTTACATAGATTAAACGCAAAGATCCTTGCGCAAGCAATTCCAAGATCTTCAATATAAGGATTTTGGATTGACAAAGGTGCTAAGAAACGGATAAAATGATTCAGAAACCTTTTACTGATTTTGATGAGATGAAGAAAACGTTTTTTTGTTTTTAAATAAAATTATTAATTGGTGTTTTTGGTAAACACTTGTTTTTTATTATAGATCACTGCTTCCTTAGAAGGAATAATCAATCTTGCACTAGTGCATGTATGATAAATTCAGCATATAATTGCATACGCGAGGTTTATCAAAAATCCAGTAGCCAACCAAAAGTTTGCCCTTTTCGCGACTCCAAATAGGAAGTGAAAAAAAATTTAAGCTGGTAGCTGTACGAAGAGCTAAAAAGTAGTCAAGAAATTTTGGGTAGTAATAATTCGTAGTAAACGACATTTGGCTCAAAAATAAAACATCACAGTAACAGAGAACAATGTCATAATAAACAATGACAAATGAAATCAAGTAAGTCTTAATCATTTTGGCACAATTTTCATTGAAATTTTAGAAAAACATATCTACATTTTTCCATACATATTTACAATTGTCAACTATCATTTGTTCTCGCAATTGTGTCATGCGTCGTCTTTACAACCTTAAAGACTGTTATTTGGTATTTGGGCAAATGAAATTTTTGTCTAAACTTTTTCTTGCATTTTTATACGACCTTCGAATACTGCCTTTTTGTGCTTAATTTAATTTAATTTCTCTCCGAATTTTCGCTCAAATTCATCGCATGTGAAATTTCTCCGATCTTTGCAGACTGTCCATTGGTGCTTCAACAAATCTGATTTACACCCAAATTTCATCTCGCATTTGTTGCATACAAATCCTTGGCGACACTCGTGGATTTTCTTTAGATGGAAGAGCAAATTTCCTTTTCGTCCAAACTTTTTTCCGCGCTTTTCACATACGTAATCTTTGTGACCTTCGTGAACTGTCTTTTGGTAAGAGAGCAAATGATGTTTTGGTCCAAATTTTTTTTCACACTCGACACGTGCGTAATCTTTTCGACCGTCGTGTATATCACTTTGATTTATCCCCGTATTTTCGTTCACAAGTTATCGCATGAGAAATCTTTGCTACCTTTGTGAACTGTTCTTTTGTGTTTTTTCAAATTACTTTGATCCCCGAATTGCCTCTCACAAATGTCACATGCAAAATCTTTCCGACCTTCGTGTACTGTTCTTTGGTGCTTCAACAAATCTGATTTGCATCCAGATTTCTTCTCGCATTTGTCGCATGCATAATCTCGGCAACCTTCATGAACTATCTTTTGGTGTTTGATCAAGTGTTCTTTTCGTGTGTATTTCCTCTCGCACTTATCGCATACGAAATCCTTGCGCCTTTCGTGTACTTCCTTTTGATGGTTGAGCAAATGCACTTTGTATCCAAATTTTTTCTCGCATTTGTCACAGGCGAAATCTTTCCGACCTTCGTGTACTGTCTTTTGATGTCTGAGCAAATTTGGTTGTTTTCCAAATTTGTTTCCGCATTCGTCACATGCGTAATCTTTGCGACCCTCGTGGACTGTTCTTTGGTGGGAGAGCAAAAGACATTTATGTCCAAATTTCTTCTCACATCTGTCACATGAGAAATCTTTCCTACCCTCATGGACTGTCTTTTGGTGTTTGGTCAAAGTGCCTCGTTCCCCAAATTTCTTCTCGCATTTGTCGCATCCGTAATCTTTGCGACGTTCATGGACTGTTTTTATGTGTCTGTTCAAAGTACTTTGTTTCGCAAATTTCATCATGCATTTGTCACATGTGAAATCTTTGCAACGCTCATGGACTGTCTTTATGTGCCTGAGCAAACTTCGTTTATTTTCAAATCTCATCGCGCACTTTTCACATAAGTAATCTTTGAAAACTTCATGGAATATTTTTTTGTGACTTATTAATTTTGATTTATTTTCAAATTTCCTCCCGTATCTGTTGCATGAGAAATCTTTGCTGTAATTGTGTACTAATATTTGGTGTCTACTTAAATGACTTTGGAACTCAAATTTTTTGTCCCACTTGTCGCATATGATATCTTTGCGACGCTCATGGACTGTCTTTATGTGCAAGAGCAAATCCCGTTTATTTCTAAATCTCTTAGCACACTTTTCACATAAGTAATCTTTCAAAACTTCGTGAAATATTTTGTTGTGCTTGAGTAAAGTTAATTTATTTTCAAATTTCCTCTCACATTTGTTGCATGAGTAATCTTGGCGATTTTTGTGGATTAATTTTTGATGCGTAGTCAAACTCGATTTTTTCACAAATTTCTTCTCGCAATTGTCACATGCAAAATCTTTCTGGCCTTTGTGTATTAATATTTGGTGTCTACTCAAAAGACTTCGGAACTCAAATTTTTGGTCGCACTTGTCGCATGCAAAATCTTTTTTTTCATTATGAGTTTCGTCTCGATGAGTTATCATGCTTGATTCTAGTGTGAATGCCTCCTGACGAAAATCACAAACGTTTTTTTCGTCGTTTGAAACAATAATATCATGTTTATTCAAGTTATCTTCAGAGACAACTTTTCCAGATTTTTTCTCACTTTCATCCATTTCGGTGCTCAAATTGAATGATTGAGTACCATTACAAAAGACAACATACAAACTAATTTATTTTCACAAGAAACATCAACAATTTTAAGAGGGACTAAATCAAACTCGTTTATGATGATATTGTTTACAATTAAGTTACCGATGTATCTGTTTATACATTATTCTAACAATATTTGAAAAAATTTGATATTTCAATTTTGCAACAATTTCTTTCAAGACTTTTTGGATCCCTTAAAACTAAATAATTTAAAAATCTTCCGACAGACATTGTTGAGTACACACAAAAAATATCAAGTAAATAGATCCTTATCTATGAGCATAATAAAAATTGTAATATTCATTCCAAAATTTGCCGTCCTCAATCCATGGCGTGATTGTCATGATCCTTATAACCTTCTATTGCCGCACACATATTCGATACTATAAAAAATTGAAAAATAATCTTATAAATTATTGAAATAAGTAAATAAATTAAAATAATAATAGGTACTTCAGACAGATTTTTCTAAAATTGAAACCCAAATTTCGATTTGGTAAAGTTGATAATCATATCTATATTTATTTTGAAAATATTCGGAGTATATTTTAAAATAAACAAAAGCAGTGTATAAACAAATATCATTTATTTTCTCTAGTTTGCAGAAAATTACAGATCAAAAATTTTGAAATCGTTAAAAGCTAAAAACATCATTAAAAATATTCGGTGAAAATACTATGAAAATCATTTTATAAGATCTCCTTTTTTACGTATTTTTTCTAGGTGTAATTCATACTCGCGAGCTTTCAGACGTAGAGCGGCTATACTATTTGTGCGACGATCGTCATCCGGCATCAACAAAGGTGTCGATGAAAAGGGTAGTTGATTGATGAGTGAATTGGAGGAAGATTCGAAATTCAGAAAGGACGTGGAAGGCGTTATAGGAGTCGGCGAAACCGGAATGACGGTTTTAACATCGTTGGAAAATATCGGCGCCGATGGACTGCGCTCCGTTTTCGAATGCTCAGCCTGCTGCGTGATGTTGGTCAAGAGATTCTGATACGAAGGAACCGAATTACAACTCAAAGGCGCGTTCGACACTCCTTGCAGCAGAATCGATTGTTGCTGGTGGTAAAGTTGATTCGGATAACTGCTCGATACCATCGTGTGCGTCGTACTGATATTGGAGCATCTGAACGACTCGAAAGGCTTGCGTATGTGGACGCTGTTTAGGCGATTGAAGGGGTTCGGTAACGAGGAAACGCTCTGACCTATCGACGCCGAGTTGGAGGAAGATAAATAAGGATTGAATGGATGGCCGGTGGGACCGACTTTTTCCTGCTTTCGCCATTTAGCTCGTCTATTTTGAAACCAGACCTGAAATCATCAATAATAGCAATGATAATAATCATTAAATTTGTATCATGGTTTCGTTATGTAATAATTTCAAATATATTACGATTAAACCGATTTTTTGTAGAAAATAGTATATTACTGGCCTAGGCCGCGAAAAACAAAAAAAATCTCAGATGCCTCGGTCGATGAACGCGTGCTCTGGGGCTTCCTTTTTTCGCTACGCCTGTATACTATTTTTCGTACTCAGCGGCCCGAAATTTGCTTTCGGTGCGATGGTATCAAAACATTTTTTTTCGGATTCAGTCATATATCAGAACATTTCAAATTTTAAAATTCTATACAAATTGTTCAGAAATCTTCGAAACCCATCCTTGCATAGAAACTTAGTGATATTTTCAAAGACCGGTGAAATGTATACCTCAAAGATACGAGAAAAAATTGTACACTCATTTCATTATACTATGCTCCTACTGAAATTTCAAAATGCTAGAAACATTTTCACGCATTCATTGCTTGATTTTTAAGATTTTTCGTTCTGTAACATATTCCCTAACGAACACATTGAATCTTTTTGTGAAACATAATATTTTTAATTTATTCATAGGAAGGATCATAAATTTTATTTCAATGGAATGATGTAATATAAAACGAACAGAGCAGGAAAAATAAATTTATTTTTTTTTTAAAATGATTCATTGAACCATAGATCATAAATATTTATTTAAATCAAATATTGCTTGAATACGATTTTTAAAGTTGTTAAAACCAAGTCATTTGTTAGTTAAACACGACTGAAATGAACTTCATTATTTAACTAATGAATGATTTACCGTAGCGATGAATCGTTACCGTTATTTTTGAGGGACTTTACCATATACCTGAGATTTTATGAATTTGTAAAGCAATTTTTTATTTATTGAAAGGGAAAATAAAATTACGAAAAATTCATACTCAAATGTATGATGTCGATGCAGCATTGGATATCGATAAATATACCATCATATTTTGAAAAATTCTCAATACACAAAATGCTTTCCCGAGAATCTTCGTTTCTTGGAATTGTTATATCCTGTTTACAACCAGTCTTTCTGTACGCTGCATTCTCATACTTTTTCTCCTCCTTTTTATGCCGACAAACGAGTCAAGTTAATACAAAAAAAAGACTCTTTTGATTGTCGTTTTTTTAATAATAGTGTACCGCAAGTTTGTATTTTCAATGTTTATTTAAAACTTTTGCGTAATTATTTCAAGTCAAGACAAGAGTTCGGTAAAGAATTCATGACATTCGAATAAAATCGTAAAATAATGAAGAGATAATGTAGCTTCTAAATTGATGTTACACGAAAATTGAAAAATATCATCATATTTAAATGTTAAGTTAGACACGCTACTGGTTGCCATTTAAAAGTATTCCGATAATGAATTTTGAGTTTTGAGAGTATGCATAGTACGAGGATCTAATGATTGAAAACGGTCAAATGATAATTATTTTCATTTTTCATTTACCTCATGCAGAAATAAGTTAAACAAATTAACAATTAAGAAAGATAGATAACAAATTGAGGTAAAAAAAGATAATAATTTATCTGTAATAATAAACAATTTTTAATTAATTTTTTCTTAATAAATCAAATTAATTCTGAACCTCACAAATAAAAAATCAAAAAAATATTTTTATAATAATTTTTAATTCAAGTTATTTTGCGATAATTGGGAGAAAATGTAAACACAGTATAGTGAGGAATACTCGTGCGAATAAAATACGTGATAATAATAACAATAATATACAGGCTAGCATAGGCAGAGCCCCTAATTTGCTCTGCTTACGTTTTCTGTCGAGAGCCGAATAATTTTATATCTAAGATATATTTGTAAAATTCAATGTGGTATTTTGCTATTCGATTCAATCGAATACGATTGTAAATGAAACTAATTGTAAGAATAAGTATATTTAAATGTATCTAATTTTGCATCTTATTTCGTTAATAATTAATATCTATCTAAGAATGTGATAATCTCGAAACAATCAACTGCACAAAACAAGTCATGAATCAGCCTTAAAATGGGGTCTGTCAAAAAAAGCTTGGCAAATATAGTGAACTCTACAGTCACGGAAAATATCAACCTTGATTCAAACGTAATTGAGTAAACAATTAGACTGGCCCACAAAAAAGCTCTATGTCGAGGACTCTAATCGCGATACCTATATTCGCGTCCTAAAAAAGTACAGTGAGCTCTTTTTTTTTTTTAAATACGGTATGCACAGATAATTAGATTCACACCTGCACAGCTTGAGTAATTGGTATTCTTAATTCATTCAGTGTAAGTATATTAATGCTTTTTTTACCGGATGATGTAGTGAAAAAAAATCTGAAAAGAAATTATATCTTACCTGAATTCTTGCCTCGGTTAAACCAATTTTCATAGCTAATTCTTCTCTGAAAATATTCATGAAAAATAAATACGATTTCACGAAACGCAATAATTAATAAAATATTGTCATTTATATCAGAAATTACGTGAGTGCATCTAAATTTTAACTAATGGGACATACCTGTGTTAAAATACCTTTGCGACACGATTCTGATAAATTTTAAGATTTCCAGAAAAAGACCCACTTCCAATGTAGGCATCTTTTTTTTTGACAATGTGAGACTTACTGTACAAACCTCAGCCGAAAACTCTCATCAGAATCGAGGGGTAAAGGTGCAATTTTCAATTCTGGGATACAATTAAAATTTATTTATTACATTCTCAAAATTTATTTTATTTATACTAACAATTTTTCAATGGACAGTAACGATTGATTTTTTTAACACAGTTTTGGCCCCTTACGAGGATTTCATTAAGCGAAAGAATAGTCCTTGAAAGGATGATATAATTTACGAAAAATTTAAAACTACATTTATTTCACCGTATATAAATAGCTCAAATAAAAATCTGTGTTACTACCTTTTATTTGTTAATCAGAAATTCAGTACCCGTTGTTAGTAATAATTATAGATATACAACTTTAGCATAAGGTTTTTAATTACTTTAAAAATATAATATTATTTTTATTGTTTAGAAGCAGATAATAGCACATGTAAAATCGTAAGTATACTCAAAAAGGTTTGTTGGGCCAACAATGTTTGTATTTAACGGCTCAGGACTCATAAATTATGTGCGCCTGTACGCACAGACAGTAATATACGAGTTGTATTCACTAACAAATAAATAATCTCTATAAAAAAAAGCATAAAAAAATGTAATGATGTTATAGTGTAACTTTTGATTTCTTTCTTTGCTTTCTTCAGTTAATTTAATTAGCAATCGTGAAATTAAAAAACTCGTAATCCTGCTTAGAGTATATTATATATATTTCTAGAAGACCGCAGACAAAATAAAAGGAACACGGCTCCGCACAGCCTACACACTCGATTCTTCGCTCACCAAAATATAGCTTTCGATTATGTGGAATCGTCCATTCAGTATATTAAGTTTGAATTTAGTATGAATTGTTGATAAAATTATTTTTATTAGTTTATGAACCTTATTTTTATGTATAATATAATTAGAACAATATTTATGAATTATAATTTCTGAGTTTTTTATTGCAATTGTTAAATGTTTTTACGAGTCTTTTTCCGCTTCGTTTATTATTTATAATTAGAAATTGAAAATGTTCAAAGATGATTTTTATTAGAAATGGATAATACAAGGACAAAGCTAACAAATTATTTTTTTAGAATTACGATTAGTTCATTCCTTACTTAAATATTCATTATTAATTTTTGTTGTTGTCAGATAGTCTAAATATATAAATATAATTGTATTTAAAATGCTACATGAACTCATCTATTGTAAGGAAGATTATGAGAATATTTTGAAAATAAATCAACTACGTGTAAGAGTGCTGTACTTCAAAATAATATTGTAATTGATTTTAATTTATAATTTTTTTCAATAATTATATTATTGTAATAATAAGTATTTGTAATTTTATGGTTTTCATAATTTATGATTACTGTGAGCACTATAAATATAAAAATTAAAAAACGTTTACTTATCCTGACAACGACCTGTGACTATTCGATTGAAAGAACATGAATGAAATACATTTTTTGTTACTTCCGAAAATTATGAGTCTGACTGTACGAGAATCAATGTTAGACAAATGGAATGAAAGAACTATAGTAACAGTAGAAGGCTAATTTACAGACTGGCGTCCGGCTCACTCACACTCAGGCGCGCGCGTTCCCGCTTACACTGATATATGAATTATGATGAAATCTCCGGAACTCTTTAAAAATCGAGAAAAAAAATCTCAAGGATTTTTTATGTGCTCACCAATAAAATAAATATTTAGGTATGGAAAGTAATAAAAAAAAAATACTAAGTCACTTTTCGAACCAATTAATTCAACAAATAAATTTCGTTTTGTTAGTTGTGTATTAGTTGTGTAATTTCAAAACGTGAATTAAAAAAATATCATCATGCATTAAGATAAACACTTTTTACCGTAAAAAAAAATTCACCTTCCGAGTGTAGGTGTCATAAAAGATGTACTTTTCAAAGACGAGGAGTTTACATCGCTAATACTTCTGCACTGGCTTATCGTCAATCATTCAAGACTTTATAATAAAAAACGTACGAAGTCACAAACACGAAAAGCAAAAGTCCTCGTGAAGGTCGACTAAGAGTCGGTGGAGGCACCGAAATCCCGCTGGATTATTTGAAACCAAACTAGATTTTCAGGTCGATTTTAAATAATCCAGCGTGATTTTTTACTTAGATTTCCAATTTCCAAATATGTAAAATTCAGCTGATCGGCTTCCAATTCAATTTTTTCAATCAGTATAACACTAAAACAATAAGACTTTCGGGTGTGAGTTAAAATCTAACGTAGGATAAGAAATTTAAAAAATCTCATCTATCAGGTCAATTAGTTCAGATTTTAGAGCTAGTATAAAACTTATTTTGAATCTGTCTCATCCGAGAAGATTTTCTTTTTTCTAAAGAATGTACTAATTCAATAAATACCACGAAGTAAATCATTTCGACATAGTAGCAGTATTAGTGAAATTCAATTATAGCATGCAGTTTTACTTTAAAGAGGTAAGCTGTAGATCTACAAATCATGTTAGCAAAGCAATCAATCAATAGATTTGTGCTTTTAGAAACTTAACAATTTCTGCTACCCCAATATATTTTCAATGCCATTCCAGGAAAAAAGTTTTCCGCTTTCAAAAATTTCAACTGGATAATTTGTAGAAAAAGTTCGGACGTTAGTCACATATGTCTCACCTTGTGAAAACATCTGGATAATGTGTGCGAGCAAACGATTTTTCAAGCTCTTCTAACTGAAAGCTCGAAAAAGTTGTCCGGTATCTTCTCTGCTTTCTCTTGGGAGCGAACTCATCGATGTCCGTTTCCGTCGCAGGACTCGCTATGGCGTTACTCAGATGAGTGTCTTCGTGTGCAATCTGCACCTCGTCAACGGAAATTCCCATCGACTGCGCCGAGGAAAATTGTTGTTCGGATATTAAAATGTTTTGATTCGATTGTTTGTAGTTGGAATATTTTTCATAGATTGGACGTTGCGATTTGGTGCTCTTCTTATTATCATCAGCATCTGAATGTGTTTTTGCCTCACTGCTCAAGGCCGGATCATCTGCAAAGGAAATCAGTTCTTGAATTTTTACTTTTAAACGAATCGAATAGATTTGAAAAAATGATGAACATCAGAAAAACATCTTATTCTGAATGATAGCGGCTTTTTTATGTAAAATATGAAAGGTTATCGTCTTAGTTTTTTAGAAAATAGACAATAAGACTTTCGATGGGTCATGGTGGAATGAATCACCGAAGATATAAAATGATCGTTTATACTGGGATGATAGTTTTATTTCAAGGAAATGCAACACTTAGTCGAGAAACTTTATTAGAATTTAAAAATATCTACTTGACAATGTTTTAAGAAACGGTTTGGTAAATATATTCTAGACCCGGCACAATGTTGCCCTTTTAAGAGGAAAAGCTAGAAGTATTCCGACGCGCAAGCTCGAATGTGAGTGATTTTGGCGCCTCTTCGGATTGAAACCAAGTCAGGTTGTAGAGCAACAGACTCGAACTCAAAATTATTGTCTTTTCTGTTTTTCTCGCGAACTCCTCGGCGAATCCTTTCTTGTTAGTCAAATTCGAATCGGCGCATCTTCTGAGCCAGTCATTTTTTGATTGTAATACTTGTCAGCTAAATTCACCGATATTACCTAACTAATCCCAGGCATCGATATGCAACGTCTGCTGAATTTCGTTGTCGATCTTAAAAAACGAATCTAATGAGGCAATGTACCTACTCTCGCTTATAATGCATAGAGGTGTCAATCCGCCTTTGATGGCTAAGTTTCAATTTGCTATCGGTGAGACAAGCCAAATCTGTCTCGTAATTTGAAAAGGTCACTGACTATAGTATTTCTTTCAGGAAAACTGCGTGTAGGCACACGATAGTGGTTCGTTGCGACGCAGCACTGGTTTTTGCCGTGTTTATCAATCTAGGCCATCCTTGTACGAGCCACAAAATTAATAATGATTGATCTTTCGTTTATACTCTGGTCTCCAAACTTATCAACCACGGACTAAAAGAGAAGATCTCAGAAGCACGTCTCAGAGATTAGCAAGTCGGCCCTTCTAATTTTTCATCAAACGATAAATTTCGCTCTTCTTCGACCTCCCAACTGTTTTTTTTCTCACAAGCCAGTTCATTCACATTTCTATTCGGATCTCCAAATGAAACGTCAGATACTTGAACTTGATAATAATCGTCTGACGTAGATCGTTCTGCGTACTCACATACATCCTCATACGGCCCTTTGAATTTAGAATTTATTCATAACGTATTCACAAACTGTGATACGCAAGGTTCCCGACGGAAATAACTTTTCAGATTAATTTTTATCAAGTTTCGTCAAATTCTAAAAAGTATTAAAAATACATACACTGGAGTGAAGGTTGATGAAGGTTTGTAAAATTTCAAAAAATTAATATGAATTTATAAGAGTTTATTGCGATTAAATTTTCATGGCAGCGAAATTAAAAACTTGAACTTTGATAAATTGATAGAAAACTTTTATAAAAATTATTTATTCATAAAATGGGATTCTAGAAATTATTTAGTAATTTGAAAAAAGAGATTGAATTCACATATTGATCAAGTTCAAGTTTACTATTTTTTTATCAACTTTTGTCAAATACATTCTATAAATTATAATTTTATAAGTATAATTTTAATGAGTGAACTCGAAAAGTAAATTTTTTTCAATTTTTTTTCTCAATCTATTCATTTATTTTTTTTTTTCATTTTAATTGTTATGTATGAAAAATTATGAAAAATATTTTCTTACTGGTAGAAATATCAGTTATGAGACTCTATTATTAACAATGGATCAAAACGTATAAAATACAGCCTAGTAAGGGACGCCTGTATGTTGAAGTAAGCGGTTACAATAACAATAATATACGGCCTAGCATATCGAAGCCCCTACTTCGCTGCGTTGACATTTTTATATTTTCTAAAATTTAAAACCACCTAGAGAATGTGAATGGCTCAGCCGGTAGAGGGTGGGTCTATGAAATCAATGAGACCGTAGGGTTCGATTACTATTATTACTCACGCAACGCAACATGTTAAGTATGAAATTTAATTCAGGTATTTTTGGTTAAAAATGACTATTCACTTTTGCACAATTCATGTCTATATAAAACATCGCATCACTAAAATATTTACACCGCATAAGTCTCAGGGGGTCGATACATAGGTCAACCCTAAAATCTAAAGCTTAAATTCATTTATGACTCAAGTTTTTTGAAATAAAATTAATTTATTAAAGAAAAATTATTTTAAATTAATTTGAAATTCATTTTTATAGAAGATTTTTAGACAAAACGAGTAATGTTAAATTTTATAAACTCTTGCGAGGAATCATAAAACTTGTGAAAATCTGATGAACACTTTACAAATGTGTTGTTCAATTTCGAATATATCTTAAATAAATTTCACAATTGCTAGATAATTTCATAAACTCGTACAAATTTTTCACATGATGCCGTTTACGATTAATTCAGACTTTATAAAGTGAATTAGACTGTACTGAGACATTTACAAAAGTTTATAAAAATTAAATGCAGGCAAAAATCTACGTTAGAGGTTCTCTTTTTATAAGTTAAACTTTAATTTTTAAATACATTCTGTATTTAATTATGAGTTAAAGAAATATTATTTACCTGGAAGTGTCGACACGATTGAATCCTACGCCCGTCGGCGCGACGATACTTCAATACAGCAAAATACAGATGACACAAAATCTATTTATCTTAATTTATTTGCACTTAACACAGATTGTGAGATTAAATAACAATGTATTGATGGCAGCTTTTGAACAATAGACCATTATAAAGTTTATGTAAACTGTTGTTAACTTTCAAAATATTCTTTGATGGTTTGTATCATCATTAATGAAACGAAACTTTAATATAATACAATGATATATGCACATTAAATATATGAAACTGTTACACTTTCATTAAAACATTTCACTTTATCGGGTTTCTAGTAGGATCACAAATTCAATACTCCTACAATTTTACCTGTCGACTTTTCACTGATCTAATCAACATTGAATTCAGAACGGCGATGTAAGATACAATAAAAAGGAAGATGAATAAAAGGGTGGGAACAAAGCTGTAAAACATCACTGAAACGCCTCTGAAGAAAGTAACAAATGAATGTTGTCGGTACGTCCTACTCTCAAAAGTGTACGCCTCCAAAACAATACGACGAGCAATTTGAATTATTAAAACATAAAATATAGTTATACTTCAAAATGATTGCATATTTTGTTGATACAGTGTAACAGGTCGAGTGATAATTATGTAAGTCGCAAAATAAACAATATTTACATACGTAAAAATACTAAAAAAATTACAATTAAAAATTTTTTTCAGTTGGGTCTTCATAATTTTGACAGTTTTTTCATAACTTGAAGCTCACGCTTAAAAGAAATCGTCATAAGTACATTAACATTTTTCAACGAAATTTTTAATAACTAAATAATTAAAGGAGTTTAAAACAAATTGATATAAACTAAGGACAAATATATAATTTTTACTTTTATTTATTTTACTGCTCATTGAATTTAACATTATTATATTAAAATATTAAAAATAAAATGAACACAATTATATTCTGCAATTCTGGTAATTATAAAAATGTAAAAAAATTCTTGATTGAAAATAATTGACATAATATTCATAGTAATATTATTATGCATATCCTCACTAGTATCATCATACTATAGTAATAATACTATAGTAATAATATACAAAATTCAATTGAAAATGTTTGAATTGCGTTGATAAGTTCATTTATATAAAAATTTGCATTAGATAATAACACCTACAGAAATTTGTTAATCAAATTACAAATGCCTAGTATTTTTACCCTTGGTTATATTCATTCTATTATTTGATTTACTCATATTATAAAGAAAAAAAGTGAACAATTACAGCATTAACCAACGTGAGTGAATGATGTAAAAAATGATTAAGCAAAAAAAAAGAATTTTTTTTCATTAAATTTCTTTTTTCTCATACACAAATATAAAGTGTCATATAGAGGGGGAAAAGTATGGGAATACCTCTTACAGTATGATAAAAAAAATTTCGAAAATAGTTCATTTGACATTTTTTATGGGTAACCAAAAGCTGCGAATAAATAATTTTATAAGCAATTTTTGATCGATTTGAAAAGATAAAATATGAAATTACAATTTTTTTCATAGCCGTATAGAATCTGAAATGAATAGGGTAAAACACCTATTACTGTGCATGTCCATATTACTGGATTTTAACATGTAATCAAATGTTCAGTAATAGGGAATTGAAGGTTATGTCTTGGGCACAGTAATAGGTATTTTACCCTATAAGAATTATTTTTTATTGTACACGGCCGGTTCGAGGTCAATTCTAAAATAGTGAGAAGATGTAAACACAACGAAGTAGGGGATCTGCCTATGTTAGACTGTACACTATTGTTATTATTGACGCGTATCTTATACATTCGAGTGACCCCTGTTTCGTTATATTTACGTTTTCTCGCTATTTCAAAATTAAAATCGTGTACATTAGATATTTTCTTAACCAGTTTTAATTAACTTATTTTTAAAATATTTTTCAACATCTTGTTTTTATCTTTACGATTTTCTAACTCGAAAAAGAACGTTTTAAAAAAATCCAAAGAACAATCAACTAATTTATGAAAAAAATACGGGTTTTTTGTCTATAAAAAACAAAGTACCGTTTAAAAAATCTAAAAAATGTGAGGTTATATATTTTTACAATCAAAAACGAAAAAAAATTATAGACACATATTTTGCAAGTCAAATCGTCCTAAGAAATTAATTTTCGTTAAAAATTGGAGTTTTTGGATTTTTGCAAGGTACGTTCGATTTTAATGTTAAAAATAACTTTAGCACAAATTTTAATGAAAAAAAAATCTGTATTATTTTTGACGCTTACGAGCATTATTGAGTCCTTCAAAGATACCAAAAGCGCGTCCAAATTTCTTAACCCTTGCGCCTGATTATTTTGAAAATTTTGAGCCTTTTGCTTCTTCTACCCAAAATTATTTGTGAAATTTTCAATTTAATCTTTCGTTTTCTGTTAGGTATGTTTTTCCACAGTTTTTATAAACTTTAAACTAAAAATACTGCATACATGTTTACTTATCTTTTCATTGGAAAGTATCACAAAATTTTGTTCATTTTTTCACATTAATATCATGTGAATAATTCGTGAATTATATTTAGGGCACGGATTTTACGTAAATACATTTTCCGGGTAAATTATCGGATTTATTTAATTATTATTTCAAATAGTATAAATAGTTGACGGACAAGATATAATGAAAGATACATACTGACATTATAAGATCTTTTCATTGTTGATCATCCCTTTCACAACAAACAAAAACCAAAACAATAACATCAGTACACGAGAAACAAAAAATAAGCTTTTGAATCCACAAGTAAGATGAAATTTCATTTCTATCGAATTTTTTTTAAGCATTAACTACCGTTTATAGTTGAAATTTTTAATCTACTTTGATGTATAATACTTCAATTTTAATATATATTTTTTTTAATTCATAGATTTCCATAAATATAATCCACGTAGAATCAGCGTGGATTGAATGTAAAATCGACATGGCTCTTGGATCCATTCAACGTCAATAAATGTCAATGAACTGACGATTTTCGATTTGTTAATCAGATACTTATTCGGTCCACTGAGCTTTTAATTATTAATTATTAGTTGAAACCATTTAATTAGTACTTTAATTATTAATTTTAGTTTAATTTCACAAAGTTAAAAATTTAGGTTTTGGCATTCAGTGTTAGTGAGCAACGTTATAACTAATTTAAAATACATAAAGTTTTCTTGCAAAATACATTAGTAAAAAGAAAATTTATTTGTGGTAATTTCTAAAATTTCTTTAAATATCTGTAACTACTTCGTCACTTTTTGCAAGTATGAAACGAGATAGCGATCATTTTTGTCAATTAGAAGTTTAACAGTAAAATTACAAGACAAAATTTATGAAGTTTCATGGAATAATTCTTATCAAGTATTTTTACAAGAAAGAAAAAGTTTAAAATTAGTCACCTAGGACACCTTAAAATTTGACTGAAAAATGTATTAAATTTATCAAATTAAATTTTATATTATCTATATAATATTAATGTAATCTACGTAGAAACGATTAATTTGTATAAACGAAATAAAGTTTATCTATTTACATTTAAAAAATTATAGAAATTTCAACAGAGCATATTTAGACGCTTTAAATTTTCGGAATGATATCAATTGAAAGAATTTTACCAAGTTATTTCTCCGTATAAATGATTAAGAGCAAGTGATAATTGAGATATTTAAATCGAAGCTAGTTCGTAGTAATCTATCAAAAAATTCAATTTAGCACGAAATAATATATAGTTATTTCTGTAATTGGCTTAATTAAGAAGTTGCACCTTTGGCAAAATGGTGCTTAAGCCACGCCTTGCGATGGATCCGCCCTTCGATTGCTAAAGAAAATATATAATCTCCACTTCAAAAATTGATCCTCTATTTAATATGATGAATGCTACGTATGAAATAAAAGAATTGCCTAATATCATTAAAAATTTATTCAAAACTAATCATACATATAAACTATACGTTTTTTTGAACCTATACAAGTATTTTGCTGCAAATTTTACACATACATGTTATCAAATGAGTAACAATATATAAACGTACTAAATGACTTCTTCATAAAATTATGTGTCCAAATCAGTTTATAATATCTATCAGAAGTGCATAATTTTTATCTAATTTCTATTTTGACGTCTAAATATGAAATATTTATCATTAGAACTAGACCGTAATTTCGATGATATGCATTCCTAAAATTTGAAACTATAATATTCTGAGACTATGATTTATGAAAATAATTATGTCATCGAAAAAATTATTCTTCAATTGAAAGAAAACCTACGAAAAATTCTCTGACAATGAATTCTTTAAAAATATATTTTTGTAAAAATGTATTAAAAGAAACAATTCATGCTGATGCTGGTGTTTCGCAGAATTATAAAATTTAATTGTAAAATTAATTATTACATACCCGAAGGGGCCGAGGTTGAAACCAGATCCCTCTCGGGATATATTTCATTTGTTCTATTATAATGACAATGAAAATTTATAGGTAATTACTTATAGCTACTAAACAGTCATGAATTATCTATCTACATACACTAGGTGAAAAGTACATTTTTTTCGAAAAAATACAAGATTAAAAGCATAAAATCCATAGTTATAAAATATATATTTGTAAAACCATGTTGTAAGTTAAATATTGTTAAAAAACAAAGCCAATTCTAATTTTATTGATCTGGTATCAGATCTGGAGTTGGTTTGAAATATTGTTTCAAATAAATCTTTCTGGGATCCTTTAGGGAATGGAGTTAATTAAAAAAATTTGGACTAACTAAACTATAATAGTCAAAACTTCAGTTTTATGTAGGTATAGCGTTCAATTTCTGCTTTTGCTTTTACAAAGTATGATGAGCTTTGAAGCCAAAATGTCCAATGAAATAAGAAGTTATTAACTTTATATTTTTTACTACTATTTTTTACTTACTCTTCATAATACAATTGGATATACACAATTCAACAGGTAGAGTACTATATTATCTTGCATTTAGATGATCACCAGTCGAATTTTGACTTTCGAATCGAAATTTTATCAATTAAAACTTTTACGATCGTCAAAAATTTTATAGAAAAATTCTCTGCATCACAAATTAGTGACCCACGAAAGTTCATTTTTTATTTTATACCGAATATTTTAAACTTACTCGATCAAGATCCGGTAGCGGATCTTCATAAGATCTTGTGCACGAGTTTATATATATTTCGGTTATCAAGCGTAAGATCCACAGTCAAGATTTTGCATAAAATCTTGAGTGAGACTTTTTTACTTAGAAAGCCTAAGCCGACAGCCGCATCGCCAACAAAAAAAAAATTAATTTGATCGGAAATTGAAGCGGACCCTCTTTTTGGTCGGTAGGATAATTCGCAGTGCTATTATCGTCCATTATGTGGTCGCGACCTTACAGTCATTCTGTAATCCGCAGCATCCTCGCGTAATCGAGATAGAATGATACGTAATTTTCGCTTGTCATCTCCTTTTATTGTACTTTTACTTTTTATAGAAGCAAGTGCCTAATTTGTTATCGAGAAATCGAAGATCAATGATACACGATTCAAAGTTTTCGTAGCAATGAGAGCTATCTCATATTCTTCAATAGAAAATCAGATTATGGTTTTGCCCGCTGGGCCGAAAATATTACTTTCAGTTGGGGTATCAGGAAAAATAAATGTTCAAGGTTCCCTGTAAAGAGAGACTGTTTTTTTTATTAATAAAATTTTATTAAACATTTTTTATTAACTTATTCGTAAATGTTATTTTTATTCTCAACCAAAACATTAACCAACCCCGTACTGGCTGAGAAGAATGCGAAAAAAAATACCAGTCAAACGGAAAAAATTAATACATTTTGAATATATATTAATTATGCTAAATTGTAGAAATTTCTATTTATTTATAATAAGACTAAATGGATGCATCGAAACACTTTTCAAACACCAATACCTTATACCGCGCTGCACCGTGTAAGCTCTGCGCATGAGCAAATAAATATGTTGAGAAAATTACAGAAAAGAATTTTCACATTTTCAGAAGTAATTAAATTATTTACGGAAAATCTAAAGAACGTACACAATTTTATTGAACGAGTTTGCAGTTTTTCGATCGAACCAGTAACTCTAACAGTGTACTATTTTATATACTAGCATTAACGTTCGAAAAGTGCCTCATGCATCCATTTTCATCGATTTTCATAAACAAGTACAAGGGTGTGCAATTTTTTATATTTGCATATTCGGGAAGTGCTATTATTTTCTTCTGACAGGCATTTTTTCTTTTTCGTGCGCATTTTCGTCAACTACGAAGTGGTCCCGTGACGGTCCGGTCCTTTTTCCTTATGCTCGAATGGAACGCGAGAACAGAACCTACAAGTTATCTAACTTGGCAGGCTGATTTTCTGTTAAACTGCAATTCTTTGCGTTTTCAGACGGAAAAAATTGTAGATTAGTCGAATTTAGCGAATTAATCGAATCAATCATAAGGCACGATCTTATTATATAAGAAATCACATTGCCGCGGGTGCATCAAAATTAGGGAGCCAAAATGTTGTCCATGAACTTGATTAAAAGAGGTAAAATAGTGTACACTTATTTCACTAGTTAAAATAAAAAATACCCAATATGGGAGCCATTTACTCAGTGGAATCATTTTTTCAACTGACTTCTTATTTTGGATACATGCTCAATACCTTTTACAAGCTGTCATACTTGTGTAACCTGCAAAACTATGAAAAACTTTGCACTACATAATCTTGAATAATGACCCTGAAAGCATGAAATTTTCAACCAACAGTATATGTTATACCTTATGCATGGTATTATCAATTTTAAAGTTTTTCATGAATTTGATTGACGACAGAAGCATACATATTCTTTCAAATGTTGATATCAATTAAAAATTTTTACACTCAATAAAGATGATAAATATTAACATTATATCAGTGTACTTTGGTAACTCCATTTACATGTTTGGGATACTTTTATCACTTTTTTTGAAGCTTCTTCTTACCAAAATAAATTTGCTAAATATAGAGTTTGAAACTATTTCATTCAATTATATTGGTATAATATAATTGTGATCTATCCTTGTTTATCTGAGTTGACAAGAACTCAACGATAATATCTAACTGAAAGGTTATACAACTTTTTTTCAACTGGATAAAGACTGAATTCATCTGTCAACTTGTCACACTAGATCAATCATTTATCATAAAAGATACAAGTTTTCCCTAATACACAAATACTATTATTAAATTTAATCTGGTATATTTTTAATTACCGTTTATTAATACATTATAAAGTATGATGAATTGTTAAATTTCATTCATTTTACTATAAATCTACTATCATTTTACTCTGAGTGAAATATTATAAAAATGTATTCAAATTATGTTTTAAAATTACATTTTTGAATAAATTTTTGTTTTAGGTATCTTTGCCCCCAATTTGCGCTTTTTGGCAACAACGAATGTCACCTCGAATAACAGCAACAGGCGTCCTCGTCCTGAACATCCATCTCCAGTGAGGCATGGATTTATTCCAGAAGAATGGTTTACTTTCTTCTATCCTAAAACTGGAGTAACAGGTATTTATGTTAATTCCTAAAATATGGTTGCATGTAAATAGAAAATAATTTTTTTTCTTGTGGGTTATTGATTGGAAATGGTTTTTTACCAATTAAATTTGAAAACAACTTTAATTTTAGTTCATGAAATATTAAAAGTGAATTATCTACTGTAAGTCAATTCTCATTAATCAGGAGGCTAAAAATATGATCAGACAGCGTAATAAATTGAATAACTAATAACCGCTAATTATAACCTTTTAGTTTGACAAGACAACATTTTCACCTCTAGTTCAAAGCTCTTCAAACATTGAGTTGTTACAATTTTTAACTATTTTTATTATTTATAATGTATTATTTTTATACTTTTATTCAGCATATTATGTCTGAAATACTTTAAATTAATTTATTTTGCAAAATTGAATTTCTTGTATTATTTAATACCAAAATAAAGGAATTAAATTATTTCAGTTATAATATATCAAATAATAGATTTACTTAATAAGTAATTGAATATGCTATAAACTTTTTACAATATTAACAGTCAATTATATTATTTCAATGAAATAAAATTGGACTATAATTCAAAGAAATTATATATTTTTATTACAAATAGCTTATCCTTAGGATTGCATAAGAATACTGTAAAGAATTTTCACTAGTAGTTGTTTGCGTAATATTGAATTACATATTATATCTTATTTCTAACAATTGAGAAAAATCAAATTGACTCTCGAGAACAGGCTTGTAGTTAACTGATTCTGCCAAATAGTAATTAAAAAAATATCATTCAGAATCGTTACCATCATACTTTTTAATAAAATGATTTTTTGAGTACTTATTATTTCTAAGTAATCTATGCAGATTGAATGAAATTATATTTTTTTTTAATATTTAGAAAAAAAATTTTAATTGGATATCAATGTCTATAAATACAAAAACTTAGTTTCACATTTAAAATGAATTTTAAAATTAATGACAAGTGTAAACAAATGTTAAAAAAAAAAAAAAACTAGCTCTATTTCCTGTATTTGATTGTTTGAAACTCTTGGTGTTTTGATTAAAATATTAAAATTGAAAGTTCATTACTAGTTTTTCTTCTTTGTAAGTAAAACTTCTTGACATTTGTATCGCCAACATTTTTATTGTACCTTGATTATACTATTTTTAATTTTTTCACACTTTCATTTTTCATTTCTTGTCTCCAAGGAGTTGCTCCTAAGCCAATAAATTTTATGCGAGGATCGAGCACTAATGATATGCTGTAGATCCAATTGCACTTTGTATAATGGAACACTAATTTATCTCCGGCTTGTAAAGCAACAACTAGTTTTTTATCCTCTAAATTTCGCTATTTTTTTTCATTTAAACTCAACGAGTTATGTTTCATATAATTTAATAAGACATAAAATGCTCTTACGGAATCCGATAATGTTACGCGGTTTTCTTCACTAATATGCTTATACTCTGTTGCAATATTTTCTAGATACTCAACAATTAATTCAATGCAAGCCCATTCATTTAGAGTTATAATGTATTATTTTGGACTAACATTTTTTTTTGCACAACATTATAAAAGCATCTGTTAAATTTAAAGCTACTTTCAGCATATTATAAGTACTGTTCCATCAGGGTTTACAATCGATTATTGGCTTTTTATATTCTAGATCGAGAATATTAAAACGTTTTTTATTTTTTCATATAAATTTCGAATGGTTTTGACTGTTCCCTTGAATTAATGTCTGTTACTATACATGTTCATCTTTTTCCTCACTCTCAGAGCTGTAGTTTTGGAGGTGTTCGTTTTCAATTTCATCAGCATAAACATCGTGAATATCACATTGAATTTCCATTAACTTCCGTGTATTTTGTACGCCCAAGATCAGTACACATGGAAGACATTGAAAATGTTTATCGCGCACAAAAAAATCACCGTCTATATCAGCTATTATCTAGTTTTATTGAAGAATTAAGTAGTTTATTATCGAGCTTTCGCGCCGGCACGAGATTTTGAAGGCTTATCTTCAGCCTTATCTTTCGAGACTTATACCGATTTTTCATTTGTTACTTTAGGGCTTTTCAATTTTTTCTGATCGGAATGGTTCGCTTTTCGTTTATTGATAAATTCACTTCTATATCTAGCATATGATTTTGATTCATTATCTCGGCGTTTGAAGGGACGATCTTTGTACATATGCCCCTCATATCGTCTGCACCGTTAGCTTATCAGTCCAGTATGAGTGGAGTTCTCAACACGGGGCCCTTATTGCCTCAGGTAATGCAATGCCGATCTTCGGTGCGAGTGGCGACGGAGACATTGTCTGCAGTGATCGCAATAATTTTATCTGTAATTTCGTAGAATTCAACAACATTCAAAAAATTTTTAGTTATCAACATCTGTATGATACCTTTTGAAGCCACAAAATCAAATGCAAGTGATCGTTGAATCCACTGACCATCAATGAAATTTATTGTTATACCGTAATACGATTTACTTGCTCTTGACGACCTAGCATCAACAGAATAATTTTTTAAAAGAATTTGAAACTTCTTTTAAATTCTAATGCATTTTGATGAATTTTGGTTTATCCTAATGTAAATTGAATGCCTGATAGTTCGTTAATTTCGAATTAAGTAAATAAATTCGAAATTAACCAATTTTGACAAAAAAAAAAAAAACTGAAGAACGAACGGAAAACTTGCAAAGACCCGTTGCATAATTGTATAATATATGCGATAAATTTTATGATTATAAATTTTCTTCTATATAATGCATAGAAAAATAAATTATTCTCAGCATTAAACAATTGGCGAGCTTTTCTAATGCTCTATCTCTCGCTTTACTTTCAGGTCCATACGTATTCGGAGGAGCTCTTTCAACATACTTGATTTCGAAAGAAATTTACGTATTAGAACACGAATTTTACAGTGGATTATCACTCGCCGCAGTACTGATCGTTTTAGTTAAGAAACTTGGTCCCGGCGTAGCTGCATATTTAGATAAAGGTATTGATGAATACGAGAAGGGATGGGAGTCGTCAAGAACCGATCAAATCAAGAGTTTGGAGACAGCAGTTGAACACGAGAAGAAAGAACAATGGCGAACAGACGGACAGAAGATGATTATGGAAATCAAAAAGGAAAACATCCATATGCAATTGGAGGCAGCATACAGAGAACGTCTCAGCCATGTGTATCAAGAAGTCAAGAAACGCTTAGACTATCAAGTTCATTTGCAAGACATTGAGAGGAAATTAGCTCAAAAGCACATGGCTACATGGATCGTTGATAATGTTAAGAAATCATTCACTCCTGAACAAGAACAAATCGTTCTCAACCGATGCATTAGCGATTTACAAAGTTTAGTACAGAAGGCTTGAATTCATGGTAAATTAGATGCCATTTAATTACTATTTAAATGATTATATGTTTATTTGTCTCAATATAATTGTTGAAGAATGGCATTCAAATTCTAGAAATTGAAATAAAAGAAACTCAAACGTAAATAAATATTTGAATTTTAAAAATTTATTTAACCCATGATTGTTAAAAAATTATTAGAAAATTGAAGTATTTTTTTTTTCATTATAAATCATGTTCAGAACAATAAAATTAATAAGAAAGCTACTTATGTAAGCTCTTTAAATATTTCAAGTGCAACTTTTTGTAACTTGTTGGTGACCTGTTTTGATTTTATTTATTCTATTAAATTTTCTTCTCGATTGATTTTTCCTTAATTTTTGTTATTTGTATGACTGTCCTAAAATGGTCACTTTACTGCGTTTCCTTCAAACGCAATTAGCAAGGTATTGCAGCGTAAATAAATAAGGAAAGTTATAACTTTTCTTTTGAGTAAGTCAGTACAGTCACGATTTTGTGACAATCAAAAATAGCCTGTTAGGTTTTTTTTCGTCAAAAGAACCAATCGTCTTTAAAATGTTCTGTTGGAGAAAAAAGAGGGTTAAAGAAGTTCTTTCTCCTGTACTCCAATTTATACAGTCCATTCGAGTCGAGTTCCAGAATCGAAAAATAATATTGTATTACTGGACAAGGCGAAAATTCTAACAAAAAATCTCAAAATTGTTCAATCCAATGCGTTGTTCCAAAGTTATGAACTAATAACCGAGAGACATTCCGAAGCAAGAGGACGTGGCTCGAGCGGGAAAATTTCTGGAACCCTTAATTCACGCATAGTGAATAGAGGTCAACGGTGCATCAAGCTCCGTTATCGCAATATCAAAAGAATTATTTTTTTCATTTCTGTGGAATTCTCCAAGGGGGTTGATTTTTTGAATTTCGGTTCGGGTTCTAGTTCGGTTTCACCTCCAAGTGATGTCAAAAGAAAAACCAGGTCCAGAAGTGGATTAAAGTATATCAACTTTGAATCCACATGGATATCCAATAAACTATATTTGATAATACTTTTCAATTTGACTTAGATTTATAATATGAATCAAATGACAAACTAATGATAACATAAAAGTCTACGTTGATATAAACAAATTTATCTATGAAAATTATCAGATAATAAGTATGTAATTGAAAATCCGTGTAGAAATCCAAGTGGATTCCAAGACAATCCCCGTAAAATTCACTTCGGTCCTTTTCCAAGAGACTTTATTAGCTTATTAAATAAAGTAAGGTACTGAGTATCAACTGAAATAAATACAATATCAAACTTGATTCATTTTTTTCCATTTTCAAAATTCTTTGCGATTTGAGTACCTGCAACGAACTATCTTAGAGCTAACCTCATACAAGAACATAATATTTTCTAAACCAAGTGCCAAATTAAATTTTAGATTGATAAAAATTTCTTGCTCGAAGTACCTTGCCCAAATAGTACCATAATAGTGTAATACTTTAAATAATAAAAAAGAACTTACTACGATTCTGTAACATTCGTGACAGAACGTTTAACTTTCGCCTCTTACGTATATTTAGAAATTTGCTGAATGTTGTTTTTATGATTTCGGTTTCTTACGCCGACCCTTAATATCAAGGTGCTTATTTAAACGTAGATACAGTAGACAGCATCAAAAAAGATACTGGGGTTTTAAATACTAAGTGTGAAAGTGTATTGTACTTGGATAATAATTAAGAATGTAAAAAAGTTCCGAGAAAATACTCTTAATTATCAATTCAAAACTCGTAATTATCTGTACGAACAATAAAAATTATTAAAATAATTAATCAAATCTGTTTGGTTATTTTAATAGAATGAAAAATCGTCATATGTAAAACTGAAGTAAATACAAATTCAACTTCATAATGGAGCAATACGACATGATTATTAACCAACCCGTTGTAATTGACAACGTAAGTAATAAACATTTAATTTGTTGATATTTTGATAGAAGATCATTACTTCGATTTTCAGTACAACTGAGGTATCTGAGTTCTAATATTCTCAAGAAATAAAACCAAATATGCTAGAAAATATGAACTGATTATTATTGAAACTTATTTATTCAAATAAAAATATTAAAAGAATGATTGAACCAGGGTTAAAATAAATATGAACACATTTAAAGCTTAAGACTGATGCTTTATTACGCACCTACATAGATGACTAATACACAACGAGACTACGTAAACGAGAGTCAAAAGTCAAAAGTGAAATTTGCAGAAATTGTATTAAATATTTTTATTTTCATCTAGACTTCAGCAACATTCTATCATTTAATATTATTATATCTATTGTGAATTAGTCAGAGTTTTGAGATTGATTATGAGATCAACTTGACAAAGATTTTTTGTGACATTCTTGGCCAATAGTAATTGACATTTAATAAATTTAATCAAAGTCATGCATATGTAAATTTTTGTCACAAAATATTGGTAATAAAATAAACTGTAAGTAAAACAGGATCACATTAAATTTTATATTATGAAATGATGAAATAGATGTCAAAATCAGCAGAATTTGTTTTCCTACTCTTAACATATGAGTCAATCTAAATGATTTAAAAGAATTGAAAAAAGTTTCATTGTATCGTTCAGTTACATTGAAACTACTTAAATACCAATGCATGACAATATTTACACAACTATTAAAACAATACAAAGTACTACGTATACCTTATTTATTAACTTTTATTTTAAGTGACTTAAATGAATTTCAAAATAAAAATATTATATTCCATTGCAATATAGTGGTACATTACAGTGATTTTTCTTGATTACTTTTACTAAATTTTTACCCTACTTTTTTGGCCAATACAACCCTAGGCTTCAGAAGTAAAATGATATTTGTTATTTATATCTTGAAAAATCAGTTTCATTGATTTGTTTTAATAATAGTCAAGATCTACTTGACAATAATTGTTATATTTAAATTAATTTGCAGAGCAATATATTTTCAAAAAACTCCAATTATTGGAGAGTTTTCCTCTACTAAAAAATTCAGATAATTTTCAAATTAATTGTTATCATGTTTCTTGGAGTGACTCCTGATTTGCATAGTACTATTATAAACACTGTTGATCAAAGAAAGTAAGGTTTAAAAACTCTTTTGCATTACTTGAGCTAATATACAATTCTAAAAACACTAGAAAAAATCTAATACAAAAATTAATTTAAATCTTTTAACAATGTTGAATGAAACAGAAAAAAATTAACCCATTTTAATTGGACTTATATAAACCTCTTTAATTTTTGAACATTTTTCAATAACGATATGATTGTTTTTTTTATTTAAAAACATCAAGAATTCGTAGAGAGTTCAAAATTAAAAAAAAGAAAAATAATTTCCGGAATATTATATACACACATTATGCAACGGTAACGTCGCATTTTCTAAACATTTTAGCTGAAGCATCCAGGTGGTGTTCATCAGTTGTAAATTAATTCGGTTCCGAGCAGAAAACGTAAACAGTGCAAAGTTGGGGCAACGCCTATGCCTGTCTGTGTTTCATTTTTATTGTTGTCGCGTATGTCATATAGGGGAGAATGCCCGATTATGGCGCAATCGCCTAATTTGGCGCACCCTTCGTTAAGTACTTTAAAAATTATTTTTCAAAATAGTAGTGGTATTTTAGTAATCTAGAAACATTTTAAAGCTTATCTACCGGAAAAAATAATTGAAAAATATCTTTAACAAAAAAATATCGGCGAATGAAAAAGTGCAACCTTTCTCTTGTAATATTATGATTATGAAACCTAACCTAGTTTAGTAGAGTAAATTGGGAATGCAATTCAAGTTTAATAAAACTATTTAATGATTCAAAACGATACGCTAATTCATTATACATCATTGATATTGTCATTCACAAATTATATTTGATTTGCACTACATTATTTCAATAAGTTAAGTCCGGGCAAGGATTCTGTGCGCCAGAATAGGAATAATGTGCGCCGCAAAAGGCAATAGCAAGCCTTGCGCAGCAATGTGACAGAATTTTTTCGATGCTTGATTAAGGGAGAAAAAATTATATTTTTGGCAATAATAAAAATACCCAAACAAAGATAAATACTCTAACTATCATTAGGCATATTGGGTATTGTGTTTCAAATGATACATTTTTTATACTAGTCGAAAATTCCTTAAGTGCGCCATAAACGGGGGCTCTCCCCTACACCAGCGGTGGTCCCCCTTGCGCTGAATTTAGATTTTTCGCTCAAAATCGAATCGATTTACATCCAGTATAAACTTGTATGAAACATAAATGGTTACAGCCGCAACCTCGAACGAAATTATCGGACCGCCGAGAATCAAAATTTGAAAATATTTTATTTTAATTTAATTTTTTTCAAGGGGTCATCTATTGGTTCAATCACTATGTCCGAATTTGCAACCGTAACCATTTATATTTTGAAGCACACCACCTCCGAACTCACCTGAACCTCAATTGACTCGTTCATGATATAACGACAAATTGATGAACTTTAAAAAGACATGAAACGCCGAAGAAACGTAAAAAAATCTATAATTTAGGTGTAAAAAGAAAGACATACAGAAACGATTTTATGCCAGTAAAAAATCAAAACTTAAAAATTTGAAAAAATACAATAAAAAATTGAAGGTATTCGTTATAATTCGGTCCATTACTTTTTTATTATTAAAAAAATGGCAAAGAAGTAATGAACTAAAGTAAAGTTGACGATAAAAAAACTAGAGAACTTAGAATTTATTTTCACAAGAAATGAACAATTATTTCCGTGAAATCATGGTTATTTATGCAACAAGTGCTCAAAAGGCATTTTTGCGCACAGTCTATAAGAGATGAAATATATTTCAATGAATCATTGAGTTTTTTATATTATCAAATTCATCTTTCTATATTTTTAGGGGTCGGGAGTTATAAAAGCAGGTTTTGCTGGAGATCAAGTGCCGAAATGCCGATTCCCGAATTAGTAAGTATGGTATTATTAACATTTTCATAAATTAATAAGAATAATTTTACAAGAATTTATATTTCGAGTTTATCTTCAAAACTATTTTGAGCGTGCTTTAATTTAAACAAAAAATTCCAGCATTGGCAGACCCAAGCATGTAAGAGTTATGGCTGGAGCGCTGGAAGGCGATTTATTTGTCGGTCCAGTTGCTGAAGAGCATCGAGGTCTTCTTTCAATTCAGTATCCTATGGAGCATGGCATTGTAACAGATTGGAATGATATGGAAAGAATATGGTCATACATATATAGTAAAGATCAATTAGCAACTTTTAGTGAAGAACATCCAGTTCTATTAACTGAAGCACCCTTGAATCCATGGAAAAATCGAGAAAAGTCTGCCGAGCTATTTTTTGAATCGTTTAATGTTCCAGCACTTTTTGTATCGGTTCAAGCAGTATTGAGTTTGTAAGTTTTGAATATAACATTTTTAAATTATTAGTGATTTTGGTTAGAAATTAGTACGAAAATATTTCTTCAATTTTTTAAATCCTAAAGGAATGAACGAATAGATTGATTAGTCCCCAAAAATAAATACGAGAAGATAGTTCTAATATTTAAAATAATTAATTAAAATCAAAATTACTTTTAGATTATACTCTAGTATAATAAAGTTTTCCGTATTTATGGAATAATTATATATTTTACGAATTTTTATCATACAGATATGCCACTGGAAGAACCACTGGTGTCGTTTTAGATTCTGGTGATGGAGTGACTCACGCTGTACCTATTTATGAAGGTTTTGCAATGCCTCATAGCATTATAAGGATTGACATTGCAGGACGAGATGTCACGAAATATTTAAAACTGTTGTTAAAAAAAGAGGGCGTCAATTTGAACACATCTGCCGAATTTGAAATCATTCGTACAATAAAAGAGAAGGCATGCTATTTAGCTAGTAATCCTCATAAAGAAGAAACTATTGACACTGAAAAATTTGTTTTTAACTTACCGGATGGAAGTCATGTTGAGGTAATTAACAAAAGTAGTGGCCTTGGTTTATTGGCTTGTTTTTTTTTTTAAATATTCAAATTTATCGCATGGTGCTAAGCTCACACTTTTTGGTTACGCGAAGTGAGGTTTGCGCACAAGCGTAGCGATTGTGATGTGAACGATAAAACTTTTCAATTTTAAAATCGTATTGCTTTTAACATTTATTTTATAATGAACACAATTTTCTAATAGATCGGACCTGCAAGATTTCGAGCACCTGAAGTTCTATTTCGTCCAGATTTGATTGGCGAGGAATTTGAAGGATTGCACGAAGTTCTTATCTACTCAATTCAGAAATCAGATCTCGATTTGAGAAAAATTCTTTTCCAAAATATAGTTTTATCAGGAGGTTCCACACTGTTTCGGGTAAGCTCTATGAAATTACTGACGATTTGCTTATTAATGCAGTTAGCCATTTGTAATGAAAATTTAAGAATTTTTTGTAACCATTTTGAAAATTATTCATCAATTTTATTTATTTATTATAATTTTCCTTATTCATTAACTTGAGTTTTCGCTTATCCTAAATCTAAGAAGACAAACATACAATTCTTTTATACTTTTTTCAGGGATTCGGCGATAGACTTTTATCAGAGATTAGGAAAATGGCACCTAAAGATGTTAAAATAAGGGTACGTATTTTATTGTTTTCTAATTGTTTATTATTCAAGTAAACAAAATTGAACGCCGTCTACCGTTTTTTCTTGATTTTTAATATCGAATTTTGCATGTTTAATCAGATAGTTTGAACCTTGCTTTACCAAATAATTCAAGTCTTTTTTCACCTCTCTAAGTAAACTCCGTATCGGTTGAAAAACTACCAATGTAGCCTGCACCAACGAATAAATCCTAAATCGAAATTCATTGAAATGTTTATCCCACTTGTCATGCCGCACGTTAATGAAAGAAACCGTACTCTAATGCGTTTGACAACCCAGAGTGAGATTATAGACCGAGTGCATGAGTGTGAGCGCCATTGTTCCCCATGATAATCTTATAGAGGCCGCGGGGACTTTTCGACCCAATTTTTATGAGAGAGCATATTGAAAGCAACGACAAAGTTACATTCCCTGCACTCGGCGTTTAGTTTTTATCAGTCGATATAAATGCCGGCGTTCCTCGCTGAAATAATATTAGTCGTTCCAATGTACCTGAATTACTCGTCATATGTTTTAGTAGTGTTACCTAGATCTACTTTGTGAATAAATTTGATTTTCGCAACACAAAAGTTACATCATCCCCTGCTATACCATCCCCCATATCCCATCTACTATTTCTGATGTTATACTGAACGAAGTTTCAGAGAGTCTAACTTTCAGATATGTAAGCAAATCACTTTACTGTGAGTCACAATACCCGTGAACTACTATTAGAACTTCGAGTTTTACTATAGCACAACAGGTCCACAAGCATTTTGATTTTTTATTTTCAAGCCCAATCAAATTTCTAAAAGCTTGAAAACAAGAGTTCTTGTAATTTAGGAAATAATAAACCCCGTGGTGCTCACATACCCTTCATTAATTTAGACTAATTGGATTTTTTCGGAAGTTTACGCGCATAGTGTGTAGGAAGATGAAATTCTTCCAATATAAATACAAGTTTAAATCGAATTCTTTTTCCAGATATCTGCACCACAAGAGAGACTGTATAGCACTTGGATTGGAGGATCAATCTTAGCTTCATTAGACACTTTCAAAAAAATGTGGGTGAGCAAGCGTGAATACGACGAAGAAGGAAGAAGAGCTATACATCGCAAAACATTCTAAAACAAACTTTTTATGTCAACTCAAACTTAAGTTAGTTATTATTTTAATTAATGCATTTGTTACATCCTGATATCGAAAATAAACATATGAAATTTAGATTACTACCAGTTTTCGCAAAGGTAGACGGATGAAAATAATTTCACGAAAAGTTTTGTAATAAACTTACAATTAATTAATCGGTCTGGTGCATTGTCACATACAACTCGCGCTTTGCACTTGCTGTTATTGAGCTGATAGGCGCTTGAAGAGATGCTCACACAATTGCGAATTTACAGATTATTACGAACGAGTATTTGTTTTAAATTTTTTATGTCCTAATCGACTCACTGGGGATTTTTCTGCGTTGGATTAGGAGATCTAAATTGCATCAAAGACGTGACACACAGGGTAAAAGTTATTGTATTTCTTAACCTTTAGACTCCAGAAATAGTAAATAAATCTACCTTATGAGATTTACGGCGTAAAAAACTAGTGAACCGATGTTTTTAGACGTGAATTTTGGTAAAAATACAAAATCAGTTTTCACCGAAAAATCCTTGGAGTCTGTCTAAGTCTTATAGATCACCTCATAGCACCCAGATGGAAAACAATAAATCGAAATGTAATGGTTATTTGCTTTGGCAGTGATAGTTATTCATACGTTTTATCATCACCAAATACATTTGAAAATACGCGGATACTTTTAGTATGTTATTTCTGCTTTTTTCATTCCTATATTGCACATTGTGATCTAGCATGCTCTTTTTTTCAATTGGACCTTCAAAAATTATTCGTGAGATTGAATAACTTTATATTAGCACGTATAACTTTTTATGAAATTCTTATTTGTTTCTTTTTTATTTTCCCGCGTAACGCACTTGAGCTACCAACGTAGCTCACGTGCTCACGTAGCTTGCGACTTAGTCGCAAAGTTTTTAAAACTATCACGGCGCTGTACAGAGTATCAGAGGATGGAAATGAAATTACAAAGATTCGACAATAAACTTACAATTTATATTTATCTTGATCGTTGGCGAGCCTTTTCTTATAATCCTCTCTATTACCGCTCACTGGTACTCAGCTGATTAGCGTTTAATCTAAAAGTCGCTCACTTTTAGTGTTACAAAATAATATAAATCAAGTATAGAATGAAATCGATTTCTAATCTCTCTCACAAAATTATAAAATGAATATGAGTTAAAATAGCAGTATCGCTTTGAAAGTTAAAGGCGTGGTGTTTATAACCTTTGATTATGCACGTCAACCTTCTAATAGTATATTATGCAACAAGTGCGCGAAGAAGATGACTCACCCAGGAGTTGTTTTCGCCCGAGCGCAATGAGAGTGAAACGTGATTAAAACGTGATTTTTATGTCACTGAAAAGTTAGAAAAACCATTTTTTAACTCACAGAGCGTTAAAAAGTTTTTTTACTGCGCTTTTTCCTGTATTCATAAAAAATTTTATAGTGCAATGCGGAATGTATTATTCCTAGCCAAGTATTTGTTTTTACTACTTTAAACAAAAAATTCTATAATGCGCGCGAAATCACATTTACGTTTTAAAAATGTGACAATAGGTCAATGGACCTAAAACACGTAATAATTACTCTGTAAAATTTTTTACGTAAGCGTTTATTAAAAGTTTCTGGCGGTGATATTCTCAAAATTTTATTTGTTACTTTTTTTACTTCCCTTATTTTCAACAAAATTGTGAGATCTCTACAAGTGACTTTGCTCTGCAAAAGGCACTGAGCTTCATTCTGAGCCTGTAATAATTGTAATCTCTCAGAAAACTGCATTAAACAGTCATTGGCACACGTTGTGATTTCGCTTAGTTGCTTTATTTTTTATAAATTTATAACTCTTATAATGCTATATGTAAGACAAGATTTGAATCTGATTGAATATTATTTACTGTATATGGCTAAAACCATAAATTAAATGTCTTTTTAGTATAATTCATGAAATTCTGGTTATTTAAGAAACAAACTTCTTTTAAAACACCAATGCAACATCTACATCATCACAAGTATTTAAACCAAAAATTCTTATGTTAAAGATAAACATAAGTATCGTATGTTTTCCATTGTTTGAAAAAATTGAAACAATGAATGACAAATAAAGAAAAAATTGTTTCGTATGAAAATAGAGTACAACAATAAAATGTTTTTACATAAAATATTATTCTTTATTCAGATTGTATTTCGTAACACTTAATTTTAATTTACAAAAAGGCAAATGATATTTTATGAATTCTTGAAACCATTCTTCGTTAAAAAAATATCATTGCGGCTAGCATCGTGTCCTTCTCGGAAATTTTACTCCTCTGAAAAAATTTAAAATACTGTAAACCCATATTTTTCATTTATATCGCATTTATATTTATTATAAATTGTTATAATTGAAAATTATTTTATTGTATAATATTAGTAATTTACTGCATATTTTTGGAATTATACATTTTCATATGCTTATTGGGTGACAAAAGTTGACATTTTCGTATTATTTATTAAAAAATAGAAATTCATAATACAGATTAATCTGCAGCAGTTTCTTTGACTTTGGCTTATGGAATTAAACGAAGAAGTATGTGTTTCTTTTCTATCAAGTCAAGAGGTGCGGTAGCACCTAGCCGGCAAAGTATAAAAAAAATAAAGAAATTACAACGAATAGTACATTACGTAACTGAGGCGGGGTTGTCTATCTTGCAAAAGTGTCAGTTTGCCGTCCGAGCGTAGCGAGGGTTGCATTGACACGCGTGCAAGATTGACAACCGCCCCAGTTGCGTAATCTACTATTTCATCATCGAGTGCAGGAAGTTGATTTTAAGATTTTCACGCGTCGTGCGGGAAGTATAACACTGTGATGAAATGTAGGTTCCAGGGCTAAATTAGTCGCAATAGTGCGAACCCTATCATAAGCCACTACTGTAAATCAGTAAAAACATCGTATGTTGTGATAACATAAAGATATTACACAACTACGTCAACCACATGCAAGGAAAAGTGGTAAAAAAATCTGAAAAATTCATACATAGGTTTTTGAGGACGTTAACTCCAAATTGGAGGTCAGACGACGTCTATGAAGTCACCTTCCAGGTCATTTAAAGGTCAAATTTAGAGATCTCAATAAGAACATCCGACAAAAAATCACATTCATGTTTTGAAGGTCGCTTAATCTGAGTCAAAGATTATTTTGACTAGATCCGGCTGTATAAAGGTCATTTGAAGGTCAGATCATAAAAAAATTTGAAAAACTGAACTATAAAATATATGGTATTTGCTGATAGAAAGTCATTTAGCCACCTCTGCATTTTTTCTTTTTATTATTTAATGAATATTCATTGTAAAAATGTTAATTTATTTAAGGTATTTAAATCAGAATGAAAAAAATTTACATACCAGCTTTACTGAGAACAAGAAAGTTGAAAATATCGGATAAAGAGAGAATTCCTATGACTTTCTCTTCGTCATCAACAACAACCAACCGATGCACCTATAAAATAGTATGTCACATTATTGTTGTGATTAAGATTATTATCAATACGGTTTTGGTCACTTCAGAAGTCAGTATGTTCAGTTTCAATTTTACAACTTGAAGCGAGTATGTCTATCACTGCAGGTACTGTAAGTAATAAATTTGCGACAGTTTATGAGGTACTCGCTTCAGAAAACCTTTACCCGTACGTTGGCACACAAATCATTATAGTATGAAACCAAGAAAGTTAATTTTTATAATTGTTTTGGAGGTTGTGAGGAAAATTTTTGTTGGTTTTTTCTCTTTTTTGAGATACAAAAGAGTTAGTTAAATGGAATCAAATGATATCAGCATGATGTGTTTGGTACAACGTTAGTCAAAAAAAAAAAACCTATCCCACTCGTATTAACTTTCCGAGTCAGTTAAAAGTCACCTTAAAATAAATTATTAATTAATTAATTGATGTTACCTCTGCTTTAACTATTTTCTCCATTATGGAAAATAAACTCTCGCTTAATTTGCAACTTTGAACACCTTCGAACCAATCATTGCGATGCTCATTTGCTTGCTTCAACGTAACATCTAAGTCGTTGTAAGTTTTTTCTGCAGCTAAATTCTGAAAAAATATAATCGTATTAGAGACAAGAGTACTCAATATTGCATATTTCATATCATGACGTGCCTTTGTTGTTAAAATATTTTTAAAAGGATTATTGTTCTAATTTCTATCAAAATAATTATAAATACTTGTTTAATTATTCAGTTACTCTACAGAAACAATAAAAAAATTGTCTTGATACAGCTATTTCAATGCTACGATATTTTATTTGACTACCGATTTGTGTTTTATCTGAGATAAAATGAAGATATCATTATTAGAATTACTAAATACTTACAATTACATCAAACTTCGAGTATATATTTATGAGTTTTCCCTCGCTATCGATAATTGGTAATGCAGATACCCTTCTTTCAACAAATTTTCGCAAAGCTGAAATAATACTTGTATCTTCTGTTGCCGTTTCGATGTTAGAAAATGTTCCTATTTGTAATTCTTGTAGTGTTTTGAGAGTGAATGATGGTTTTGGCAACTCGTGAATCTGAAAATATCACTTTTATTCAACAATCCTGTCGTATTAATTTGATAAAATATTTCTTTGTTGCGTAATCTACTTACGTATAGAAAAAGAAATCTTAATATACGTTTATGCGTCAAAATGTAGAGAACATTTCCGGTATCCGTATCAATTACAGGTAATCGATGAATCCTATGATCTATTAATGTTTTAATGGCTTCGAACAACGAGGCATCAGGGGAAATACTAACTAACGGATTAGCTTGATCTTGTAATTTATCTGTAAGAAAATGTTTATAGTAGCAAATGATTTTGAATATTTTCCTTCTAGAAATCTGTCTGAAATCCGAATATGTAGTTTTAACAGGGATAAAGCACTTTTTAATGAACAGCCGAGACTAAACCTTTTCGGTCTTACAACCTCCCAAGTTGTATATTATATTTTATAGCACTGCGTGTCATAAGTCGCACATTCCGGTACGCTGCGTTCGCATCACACTCGCATGCGCTCGTGCGCTAACCTCACTTCGCGCTACCAGAAGTGCGACTCATGGCTCGGAAAAGGGGGCATAAATGTGAACTTAGCTCAGTGCTATAAAATGTTGTACGATGCTCGTGCCATGGGGACACTTTTCAGCCTAGCTATTAGGACCCTCGCTGCGCTCGGGCCCTAAACTACGCCGTGTCAAAAAGTGTTACTTATGGCACTTGTATTGTAAATTACTATTAATAACTATCTTGTATTGTAAATAAGTTTGCAAAATAGATTTTTTGTACCCGAATTGTTCTATGAGTACACTTCTTAAATAACTAATAATAAAAATGAATGAAATAGAACAATAAATTTTTCTTACTTCTCCATGTTTCCAACTCATTTTCTTCCAATTCGTCCATTATATCCAACGGTTTTTTGTAATACATTTGTAAAATTTTTATAAAATCTGTTATAGTAAGCATTCCAACAAATTCCTGACGGGAACTGTCCCATAAAGGAGCTGCTCTGACACCTATCAGAAAAGATAACTTTTCAGAAAACATTTCTATAATATGCTTTATTTACATTTCAAAAAGTTCCTAAAGCTTTTCTTTAAAAGGTTAATGTTTCAAGACCATTTCAGTCTATCTATAAAATTAAACTCTAGATTTCCAGCTGAATTTAAGTCAAATGTAAATAAAATCGAATCGAATCTAATTAATTATCCAAGTAGAAATATATTAGACAATGAATTAATTCATTTTAAGTACGAATACAATTGTTATCGATTAATGCATACTAGCGTACCCAAAATACATCTGAATAAGAATTTTTTTTCTTTCTGGTAGTAATTATTTTATGGTAGTAAATATAGTAAAATAATAAAACACTAAAAGCATACAATTTAAATGGTGTTAAAAATAATAATTATCTCATGGGGTTTTACGATAGACTTTTATGTGGACTTCATTCTTCCGGTTCAATCAGCTCTTAAACTTATATTATATTATAAATACTACAGTCGAATTGATGACTATTTTATTCTTTTAACTCAACTTACCATTGTAGACGAGAGCAAAAAATGCCTTTTTCACCAGAAGACGGGTATCAAATACAACTAATTTTGCACTAGTTGGAATGAGATCGTAACATTTATGGAATTTGAAAAATTTCACATATATTTGAGAATCATCTTCTCCTGTAAAAAAATGCATAATTTTATAAAACACCAACTATTTTTAGCAATTTCGTAGAGTATTATTTAATTTTATAAATTGTAAACCATAATAATATTTATAACTTGGATAAATATACATTTATTACAAAAATCCAATAATATTAATTTAATGATTTTTAATTAATTAAGTAAATACTCAGAAATATCGAACATAAGGGGAAACTTTCACCAGTTTTTAGTCACAAAATCGGTTATCTTTATGATTGATTTTGTTTATAAAATTTGTATGATTAAAAAATCTTGTATGATACTCAGGCTGTACGGAACACATTTTGTCAATGAAGGAAAATAAAAATTAACTACAATAAATCGCCAAATGTAGCTTTTGGCCCACGATCGTAACAGTTTTTTATGCATCAGATGTGAATATGCTTTGTTCTTTAGTGCAATATTTTTTAGTACAGATAGAGGTAAATTTGCGATTTTGAGGTTAAAAAACTGTAGAGTATCATTTCACTATTTGAGTAAACTTTTCAAAGTTTGAAACTTGACATCTAAGTTACATCGGACAAGTAGTTATTTGTTATAACTGACAGTCCATGGAATATATTTCAAATGTTACATTATATAAAGGTTTGAAGAATATTGTTATTAAATCAATTTTGTTGGTTATACAAATAAAATAGTGAAAGAGCTTTTCAAAACAAAAGAGAAAAAAGTTCAGAGTAAAAAGTAATTAGAGTTTTTTTAAATTATAAGAATATTAAAGTCAAAAATAAACATAGAGGTTTATGTATTTAGACTAGCTCGCCACTTTTCAAAATATTTAAAATCCTAAAACCATTTACATGCTTGCACATAAAAATTTACTTTTACGTTCTTCATTAAAAAATCTATTTAAAATTCAAATTCCTTGAATTAGCTTTCAACGTTTTTAATACGATCATTATTTTAATTTTTTCTCATTTCAAACATAAATGAAATAATATACTACGTAGAGAAAAAATAAATATGTTTCATTGCAGTATTGCAAATTTATATTCTATTTGAAAATGGAGTTACATTTTCAACCAAAATCTTAATAATTTTCTAAACTTAAAAAATTAAATAATTTTTTCGAGAGTTATTTTTTTTGTGACGTTAGAAAATTATAATATGCAAATAAAAACAAAAGACCTAGTCCTTGCACGTTTGTATTTGTTTTTTAAACATTGAAAATATTATATCTGAAAGTAATTTTGTAGTCGAATATAAAACAATGATAATGATTATTAGGGTTAAAATCACTTGTGTACCACATTTTGATAAAATCCAAGCTAATTCTTCATCGAGGGGCGGATTTATTACTTCAAACTCTTTAATTAAGTCTAACGAATAAACAGTATTTTCATTATCATGTTTGATATTTTCTACAAAAAAAACTGTTTTTAATGTGGAACAATCTGAATAATAATTTAAAGACAACATACTTTAGAGTGATACATCTATTATATAAATTTATGTACTATATGTATCAGCTTACTAGAATAGAAAAAATTCCATAAATAGAAATTCACTCTAAAAATTAAAAAAAAATTACATACCCAAATCTGATAACGAAACATTTTCCAAAAAAGGATCCACCACTGGCAACTGTAAATAAAAAAAACAATTTTTGTTATTATTTAATTTTTAGAAAATTTTATAAATTCGTATTTCTCTAATACTCTAAAAATATACTTCACAACGGACGATTTTAATGCATAACTCTTGGGTATCAAAAAAGTAAATAGTATGCCTAAAATAAAGTCTTTTTTTAATATAATTATTATTATTATTACATAAATCAATTGAAAGAGTTATGTTAATTAAATTCGAGCGTTATATAATTAATATTACTATAATATTCATATCGCAAGACCGCTATTTCAAATTTTAAATTGTGAAATAGTTTTAAAAAAATGTAAAAACAATTTAAAAATTAAAATAAATATTATTATCATAGCACAATCGAGGTTTTTTTCAAAACGTGATGCAATTAATGCAACGTCAAACCAAACCTAAACGTGATATTGATAATACCGGTTAAATTTGGGGGACAATAATTATCACCCATAATAAATTTTTTTGCAAGAAGTTCAAGCTCATGAAATTTATGCACAATATGTCGATTTCAAGTGTTTCATACTGTTACATTCATAATAAAGGGTTGAACCTAAAAATTATTGATAGACTAACCGCGCTGTCAAGAAGCAAAATGAAACAAAAATTCACAAAAATCACTAAAAATATAGCTCACACTGCTTTATTGAAAATCTTAAATTATCCCTTGGTTGCCCAGACATTATAAGCGAAGAAGTTTTCTCAGGGACTTGAGTTGACCTTCTTATCAGCGTAGTAGAGACTGACGGCCGCAGCTCAGTCGAACGTCGCGAAATTGGATAGAGTGACCGAAAGTCGCGAAATCGCATCGAAAAAAATCTTCACTGGGGCCTACTCATATGTAGTGATTTCATTATTTTTAAATGTGCTATTACGAGAAGAGGAGTGACAAGCTGCGATGATCATTGCAAATGATGAATATGTATTTTCAATACTTGAAGTAACGATAGACAAAGCTTGAAACTGCGTCGAATCTAACTAAGACTTAGCGTAGCGTCAGTTTTCGAACTTCAAAGTGAGGCGCGAATATATGAGCGAGGAAGCTCTATCAAGCTCTGCATAAGCGACATCAACCTCTGTTAGCGTTAACAATCCTCATTGGTTCTCGATAAATCAGTGGCGATACGCGAGACCATGAACCACACACCTAAGAGTATTATTAATAAGTGAAGGCACGACGTCCTTTTCAAAACAAATTGGGATAAATTCAAAACAGCAATAGTCTTTTCAGGACAATTGCCTTTTTTTTTTTTAAATCATTAAATAAAATGTAATATTTTTGTTTCAACTTGCAAATTAACATTTTCAAAAAGTAATATATTTTTAGCTTTTCTTCAAATTCTTGAGACTCTGACCTGAGATATGGTTCTTCTTAACCGCAGAAACAGTAAAATGACGATATAAAATGCTTCTAGCCACGATTTACTCTATTTTTAAGTTCAAACGAAATTTCAAAAATTTCATGACATGGTCTCATGCAATCTGGAAACTGAGTGACGCCTCACTACACACGTAGATGCAAATCGCTACTCTCCACAATTTTCACGTAGCAATTTCCAAAATGGCTTAGAATTGCTAAGTGAATCAACCTGCGGTGTACAAATGTGAAATTTAAGGGTTAAGAACAAAAGAATCTAGAAATCTTTAAATTTTTTATGTGATTAACACTTTGTTTTGTAATCTAAACATAGAATAACTAAAACTTCATTTTTGTTATTCTACTGTACTAAAGAATATGATCAGATATAAACCCCCTTGTCATTTGCGGTCAGTGCCTTCCAAAAATATATTTGAAGGATGAAATTCGATTGATGAATTATATTACGTATTTATAAATATTTGACTGAATAAAACTTACCCCTCGGGAATCCCTGAATAGAATTGCTGCATGAATTGGATCAACTGATGCATCTGACGCCCTATGCAATACTTGAGGTATTCCAAGAGAAAAACGTCTCGTAGTTTTGTCAAGTGATCCTCTTCTTAACGAACCTACGGGTTCAATAAAATTATGAATTAATATTGTTTTAGTGCAATCGCATGGGTCATAGTACATTTTTTGAAATTAAATAATATTACTATGAATATAATAACATTTTTAGCATTGCGGGGCATAAGTTCCGTTTATAGCACGCTTTTCTGTTCAAGTTGAATTTTGAAAAATGTAGTACACAACTGGGGCGGCTATCAATTTTAAACTCTTGTTAAAGCAGTCTTCGCTACGATCGAATTTGGCACTCAAGCAATATAGACAAACTCCCACCCTTGTTGCAGAATTTACTCTTTTACACATTTTATAATAGCGTACGAGAATAGTAATTTACGATTAGAACACTTTTTGGGATGTCGTAGTGTAGGACCCGAGCGCAGCGAGCCTAATAACCGTGCTGCAACGTGTCCCTTATGGCCCGAGGATCATATTACATTTTATAGCACTGTGCTAAGTTTACATTTATGCCCTGTAGTGCTATTAAATTCATTTTATAAATTTCGTGTCAAGTTCACATTAATGGCATGCTTTTCAGTGGCATGAATCACACTTTCTGGCACTGCGTTATTCGCATCGCACTTGCTATGCTCGTGTGCTAACTTCATTCCAAGTTACCAAAAAGTGCGACACATGACTCGGAAAAAGGGGGCATAAAATTCAACTTAGCACTTACTTAATATAACATTGAGTATGATACTCGTGCCACAGGGAACATTTTTTGATACGAGTTTTAAGATCCTTGCTCCACTCGGGCTCTAAAACACGCCGTGACATAAAGTGTTACTTACAAGACTTGTATCATAAAGTACTATTAAAATAGTTGGTCATGCGAAAAGTAACACTTTCCACACGTTGTGATAAAAATTCAATTTTCAGATTTCTGTATATGAAAAATCATCAGCTTAAGCCGTGAAAAAAATCCCAGGTCATTAATATGTTTCGATGTTTACTGGATGCAACATACAATGTACGAAAAATAATAAATATTTACGTTCTCATGCTACTATAAGGAAGAGGAAAATTTTCTCGATATTGTGTATGTTCTTTACATAGCGCATTACATGATGCGTATATAGATCGAAAAATCGCCTACAACATCATGCATCGAACATTGAACGAGCATCCTCAAGTAGCAAAATTACGTAATACATTTCAACTAGGATAACTACTATAAGCTTTTTCTGTTCTTTCGACAAATATAAAAAATTATAATTGATCTTATATTTAATTGACTTTCATAAACGATTAATCGAATGTCCTGATTCAAATTTATATGAAATAAAATTACAGTGTAATAATGTTTTGAATTTACATAGACAATATAAAAAACAATTTCCTTTACTGGTTTTCTGTACTTTATCATCGGAAATTTTATGCAATACAATAACTTTTGTGTTTAGTGGATAATCATAAAAATATTTTATCGCATTAAATAGTAGCATTTTTGACAGCTTAACTGTAGCAGGGACTTTGACGTACAATTAGCAGAAAAATTTAATGTTTTCATTAAAAGATTGAAATGCTTATTAATGTAGAAATTTTGCAGTATATTTTGAGAATGAATGGTGTATAATATTAATAATAGGACGAATTTCGTATGAAAAAATTTTTTTAACGATATTTTTATCAAAGTTTTTTCTAGTGACATTATATTACGAAAATTTGATAATTTGATTTATAAAATTAATATTTTCAAAGATCAGTTATTATTAAATAAATTTTAAGATATTTCATTTACAAAATTTATTTATAACAAATGGAAATAATAATCTTTATTCGATTGCTTTCTTGAAAAAACTAATAATTATTCAATAGTTGGTATAAATTATTTAAGTAAGTTTTATTTATTTTTTACATTGTCAAGAAATTACGAAACAAGCGTACGAATCAATATTTTGAATAATTTTTTTTTATTCAACATGACAAGTTGGATTTTAATAAATAGGTAAAAATTAAAAATAAATTGAGCATGTAATTTATGACGAAAAATTCAACTATAGTATACTCTTCAATTTACGTAAATCGATTAAAATTTTTGGAGAATTTTATTCATTCGAATAAGAACAGAAACAATTCCTTTTATCATGATTATAGTTTGTTTACTATTCGTTTTTTATAAATACCTTTGTGGAGAATACTCTCGTATATTTTGTAAGTTGCTTCACAATCTGAACTTAAAGATACTGATAATGATTTACACGCAATTGGATCATCAAGGCTATGACTACGATGTCTAAAATCATCATTTTCTGACACAAATAACTTAGGGTACTCAGTTTGTTTCTTTTTATTTAATTTCTTATTTATATTCCTAATCATTTTTACTTCTAATTTTGTTCGTCAACGCCACTATATTACGATCAAATAATCAAATGACTTTTAATTATGGAAATAACTTGCGCTATTGTTTTGATTTTCAATGAAAACGATGTAATTAGAGATTTTTCTGGTGAAAAAAAAAACAATTCAAAACTCAATATGTTTACTAATAAAGGATTAATATACTATACAAGAAAATATTTAACATTCTCAAATACACGTCAATACGAAATGCACGTGGCTAGTATGTGCATGATCATCTTTAACATATGTGCGTGCGCACGTTGAATTATCAAATTTAAAGAATAATAAATTGTCACTGATTTTTTTCGAAAAATTGAGCTGCAAAACATTGAGTATCAGGTATCATTCAGGTTTTTTCATTAAATAAATAACAAGGTTAGCGTTTGGGGATTGATAATTATAAAATATATTAAAAAAATCATAAAGATTTTGTGTATAATTTTTTTGTATCTTTGCTACAAATTAGACAATCAGAAATAAGGTTTCTTCATCATACAGTTTTAATAACTATTTTTTTATAATCCTGTTGTGAATAGTCTATTCCGAGTCTCGAAAAAATGAATATTCTACAACACCCAATATCATAAAAGCGAATTCACAGAAAAAGATAGGGAATTATACTTCAAAATTCAATTATCAGCTGTTTGATATTTATTAATGAAGCTTTGCGATACGTGCATAAATGACTTCCCCGTTGTTAAAATCAAGGGAAAAATTCGATGATCTCTAATACCAGAGAACATCAGATGAAAAGTTCAATTATTTCTTGCCTGATTTTTCAGGAAAAATGTAAATTCTTACAAAAATTCCATTAAATTATGTTTTTTTTTAGTTGACCATATAATTAAATATCAAATTTTGATAACATTGGATAAATTCAAATGGATAAAGTATTTTTACAAAACTACTACAAAAATAGTTTTTTTGTAAACTTAGAGTACAACTGAGAAAAAAATTAAAAGTGATCATTTTAGACTGTCTTGGTCTAAACATTCCATGTTCAAATATAAAACTTTGAACTCAGATATTTCAAGTTATAGGCTCAGTACCCTACTTCTTCAAAGTAAATATTGATTCAACAGATCCTACAAAACTTATTTTCTCAAATTGGGAAAAATCATGAAAAAGATTTTACTGCACTTTTTAAAAATGGCGTCCCTCATTATTTTTGAGTCAACTCTAAATATAATGATATATCCTCTTTTAGAAAAGAAATGAGCCAAAGGTGTCAATAGTTTATGAGCGTTCTGATCAGTTTATAGAATTATATCAGTTTTTAATTATGTTTTGACTGTATGTTGTGCGTTTTGATGCAGTTTCCCATAGGAAGCGTAAGCGAGTAACGAAACAAGAGGTATGGACTTAAGGCTTCTCTATACACACTGAAGTCGGTAACTAATTCGTGTATTTTGTACTCATGTTTTTCATTTTCTATTCAACCATTAGTCTTGAAATTTTGTGGGGGTGATCAGGAAACTAATACAAATGTGCCTATGAAGCTATTTTTTCATATAAATATTGTAACAATTTTTTTTTTCAATTATCTGAAAAAATAGCTTCATAGGCACATTTGTATTAGTTTCATGATCACTCCCACAAAATTTCAAGACCATAGGTTGTATACTAAATGAAAAAAATGGGTACAAAATACGCGAATATAGTTACCGACCGAGTGTGTATAGAGGACCCTTAAAAGAGCGCGCAGCGTACTGTAAAACTGGCTAATAAAGTATAAAAAATTGAAATAATAACTGTTTTATGAATATAATATTTATACATTGACCCCCATCTATTTATAGGAGAATGGTTAAGCCAGTTTTGGTACGAAACTATACAACCGAAGGACCTCGGTTCGAATCTCGTTCTCATACACCAAATTAAAAAAAAAATATTAAGTTACAGATATAAAAAGTCTCTCAAAATTAATATTTAATTATATGGTCAACTGGAAATAATAAAATGGCAGTATTTAATAGAATTGATATGAAAATTTACATAGTTTACGAAAATTAAGGTAATTATTAGACGACTTGGTATGATGATGAATAATCTGATTTTTTAACAGTTTTTACAAATGTAAAAATATTTGCAATGTGGGCTGTAACTATGTATGAAAAGGTACGGTAGCCCCTTCTTCGCAAACATCAAAACATTTTATAATTTTAGCGATTTTCCAAATTATTGTTATTGAATTTACTTCAAAAATTCAAGTAACAAGGTTTGTGACTATGGATTAGATTACGTTTCATTCAGCCGACTAGATTTGAATTTGCCGTTGTGCCGGATATGACTGCTAAAAAAACTGGCCAAAATTCGGGGTCTTTTTTTTTAGAAATTGTAACAAGAAGACGCCTGGGCGTTGCTTCATCTTCTATGTAATCGAAGAAATAGTTATGTACTGAAGTAAAAAGGCTATATTATAAAGAAGTCATTTTTACGTGGTCAGCTGTTTACGGAAATCTTGAGCAAGAAATCGCTTAATTTTCCATAACAAATCTATTTTTATTAATAGAATGAAGTTATCAATATATTTCTTTTGATTGGCTTTTTTTGTACAAGTCTTCTAGCTTAATCTCATTCTAGAAGGACATTATATATAACACGGCATTTTTTAAATCGACCTAAAAGTTTATGTGAAAATCCACTTCTTAATAAAAAATGAGCTTCCCTGCTAATAAATCACAATTGAGATCTAAGTTATAACCTTAATTGAGATCTTGCGCCAATAACACACGAGATTTATCTGAACCAGTGAAATGAAACAAAAAGAATATTTTCAGGAGTTCTTTAGTCATGTGTGTATTTGGTGGACAAGCATGAAAAATTTGATGCAATGTACTTCGATAAAATTCAAAATAACTCATATTTTTCTGAGGGTCAGATTTAAACCTTTGATCATCCAAATTTAATTTCAGCATACAGCAAAATACGATTGGTTTACTTTTATAAATAATAATCAGTTGATTTCTGACCAGATATTTCCGATAATAAAAAAAGATTTTCAAGTGGATTGCTATAAAAATTTATGTTCCATCTACCACATGAAAATCAGCGTTGAAGTCTAAACAGGTTTAATATCGATTGTGTCCGGTGGAACGCTGGAATTTCCTATGAGCTTATAGATGTTCCAGTATTCGATACGATCGGACACAATCGATGTTAACCTAGTGTACAAGCACATCGATCTATACAAATTGTCAGAAATATTTAGGTTGAAATCTAGCTAGGAATGAGTACTTCAATATTTATAACATATACTACAATACACATAAGACAATATACTCACTGCTTCCTGACATTTGAGACAGAGATTGATTGGATTTCTAAAAATAAATTATAATTGTTAAAAAGAACAATATATGTACTTTCGAAGAATAAAATGATGAATCGTCGTATGAAATTTTAATAACTTTTATGAGTACACAGCAGGGATGTGATATCGGACGAACTGTTCGAGCAAGTGCAGTTATGTTTACACATGATTGACTTCCAAGTGTCATGCTCACTCCGAACATTAGGCGAGCGGAAAGATATTGGGAGCGAGGAGAAAGGAACATATCAGTGTGCATGAGTTCCAACCTTTATATAAGATCTCGCTCACTTAACACATGTATTATCACGGTATCTCAGGCCGTAATGCACTGAGCTACCAACCTGATGTATACTATGCGTGCACGAATATATTTTGTCTATTGGAACATGGAATTCCGTCTGCTTATAAATTTCAATTTCTGTTCCAGGGACAAAATATACCCACTCATATGGTAATCAGGTCGAATTTTCTGCGCAAATTTTTTCACGCATGAGTGCCAATACGCACACTGGAATAGTCTTTCCGATATCACAATCGTGGGATAAAGCATATGAAGAAAGGATATTAACTATTACTTAGTAAGGATAAATGTAATTAAAATATCGAGCATTTCAATTACGTCTAACTTTGCTTAAAGCTTACTCGCATAAATTGCATACAATATCTTATTTCATAGGAGCCTACGGTAATTTTTGTTCAGAGAACTATAAATATCATTTGTATTTGTCATTTGTAAATGACAATTCATATCATTGAATTTAGCTCATCAATTTTTCCAGCTTCATTATTCGTCAAAAATGTTTTTGTTAGTCAAAAAATTTATACATCGGTGAGCAAAGCCACGTCAATCATGAAATGCTCAAAATCGAAAAAATGAAAATGATAGCTAATCATGACTTTTTATAGCAATAATTTGATAAATGATTCAAAGTAAATGGAGATGGTACTCACGTCTTTTTTCTTATCTTCAGTAGTGATAACGCTATTACTTCGATGTCGTATGAGATCAATCACTCTAATAACTGGGTTTCTATGGCTATCTGATGCAGCTCGTGGTCTGACTTGATCGGGTGTGTTATGCATTTCTTTACTAACGGCGGATTCGAAAGAAGAGGCGGCATGCATACTTTTGTAAAATGAGTTCTGAGGAAAAAATTAAAATGTTTATAGAACTTTATGATACAAATGCCATAAGTACCCCCTATGGCACGATGTGGTACATAAAACAAACATCTAATATATTCCGCAATTAAAAATTACCACGACAAAAATTTTTATAGAAATATTATTAATTTTCCATTTCTTGTATCTTCGTCAATTTTGAATATACAGGGAAAAAAAGAATATGCACCTCAACAGTAATCCCATCTCCACTTCCCACGACTTGAATGCAAAAACTATCGCCTGATGAATCCCTACACTGAAAAAATTGTGGGTGTGTTTAGTTTCCACTCAAGTCGTATAAAACCCCTATCTAGTACGGGGAGAATTAATCACTGTATTGGTGCTAATGCAGCTCAATTTTGGGTAGGATTCGTAACAACCTCCTTGGCAATATTTGTAAAATATGGAAAAACATTTTGAAAAGGGTTTACTTTTTTAAAATGACTTGTTAAAAGAGTACTTTTCCTTCAACTAGAAAAATTTAAAAAAAAAATAAAAATAAATCGTTCCAATACGTTTAAAATTTACGGAGATATAAGCATTTGAAAATTAATATTTCTATGAAGATTTTTATTGGCGTGTATTTTATCGATTTATATTTGAAAGAGAATTAAAAGCGAATAAATATAGATGAATACAATCTACTTACTTGAACAACTGTTTTCATGTTTGCAATAATATTTGATTTTTTCGTTTTACTTATATCTGATTTACTCCGGGGTCTAAACGTTTCATTAGAAACTGTTTTGGTTTTATGTTCATCAGTTGTTTCTGGTTTGGTACAATCTTCATGTGAAGTGCTTTTTACATCTGAAGTTTTACATTTTACTTCAGAACGAAGAGAAGATGATGAATGCGGAGACTCTTTTTTATTGTGTTGAGGAGTCTTTTTCTTTGTCGTAGTTGAACTTGAATTTTTTAAGGTAGGCGTCCGGCTTCCCCAGGTCCCTTTAATTTATAAAAATGAATTTTAACTGTAAATTCACAATTATAAATTTAAATGTTTTCATTAACAAATATTTGATAAAATAATTTTTTTACCGAACATATATACCGATTATTTGTGCTTATTGTTTCATAATCAATTATTAATTATTAATCAATTAAAGTGTTTATCGGTATTACTATAATATTCAAAATTTAAATTATTACACGAATTGTTCACATAATTTGTTGAATTATGTTTACCTGCTCTTTGTCGATTACTCAAATCTCCTTTATTGAAAATGCTTTCATTATCTTCAGTACCAGAAGTAGGTAATGATTGCGATCCATGTTCCTAAAAAAGTATAAAAAAAAATATTAAATAATATTAATATTATCTATATAAATGACCAATTGAAATTCATGTTTATAATGGTTATTGTAATAATGTTTCGAATTGTATGTACAATTTTAGTTAAGATTAAGTATATATTGTGGTATGTAATTGTATTATGCCGTTTTGAATTAGTTAAATTTAAAGAAGTTTCACTTCTGATGGCTGTCCATGGATAGTTTACTTGAGACTTTTGATATACTTTTTAAGATTCTTTAGATGTTCTTTTTGGTTGCAAATACTTCTCGGTCAGATATAACTTTCGGCAGCAACTTCTACTACCTCAACATAATTTCAACAGAATTATATTTCACATAATGAGTATAATTTATGTATACTAACACATGTATCATTTACAAGAGTGCACGAGTATGTGTGAAAATGTACGGCGAAGTCCTCACAATGTGATATTACTGGCCAAATGAAGACGAGAATGGTAGACGAGCGAGAGAGAGAGACAGAGTTACACAATGCTGCATAGACGTTACAAAGGTATGAGCGTCGAGCACATTTGCTTGCGTTACGTGCCGCAGTAGAGGGAGGCTAATGAAGTCTCAACACTGCCGAACGATGACCAATCATACAGTGTACGTCACAAACTGACGCTACTGAGTCTAAAAACCAACGATTATCACGCTCGCCCATATGGTTGAATACTTGTTTTTTACGATTTGATCTCCCATACCCAACGCGCGTACAGAAGTTTCACTTCAATAAATAAGTAGGTTGTGATAATGCTCTATGAAGCATCGATTAACGTGACGTGCGACTATTTTCAGTGGCTCCCATAACCCCCACTCCTATTATTCGAGCGAAGCTATCGTGAGTAGAAGCAGAACTACGTTCTTGTGGGACAACTTTTCACAAGATAATTTCTCAATTCGGAAATTTATTGACGATACTGGGGAATAAGTTTTCTTTCGATCGATATAACTTGAGCCAAAAAAATCTACCGATTGGCATGTGCCAAGAGTAGTATAACTATAGGGATACTAGGACATCCCCTAAAAAACCACCCCTAATTAGAGCTAGCAACCCCTAATTTTTTTACAATACCCCCCCCCATATAATTTATTTGAATCAATAAATGTGAGTATACTCGAGGTTCCTCGAGGAACTCTACTAGGTGTGTTTTATAGAGGATGTTCCAGAATCTCTATAGCTATACTACTGTCAAGTATTTTTTGAAAGTCACTAATAGTTTTGCCAGTGAGCTAGAAAAGATGTTAACTATAATTTTTTTAAAAGTACAAATTCCTAAAAACTTTCGAGAAAATATTCATTTTCACCTACTGAATTTAATAATATTTGTTAACATTGTTCAAACTTATGAAAATTCTTTACTTACTTGCTTTTTTTTCTCTTGAATATTATCGACTCTACGAACCCAAATATCTTCTGCAGAATCATTGTCAATTGTACTCGTACTACTTGCTTGGCTCTTCATTTCAACTAAATTGAAATCAAAAAATCGTTTATCGAAATGTGGACTCTGCATTGGACTTATTTTTGACATTGGAATATTACTGCATGAATGAGAAGGAAATTCGGATGCTGTAAATGTTATATCTGGTCCAGTAGTATTCCGTCTTCGCAACGTCGATTTATGAGGAGTCGAAGCAGTAACATTTGGGCTCGTCATTTTCGCAGAAGTCGCAGATAAGTCGTCGTTAGTATTTGCACTTAGCACTGTAGTTTGAGTCGGGTCAGATATACTTACTGGGGTTTCTTTTACTGATTGTTCATCAGTATTTACTGTAGAATCATTTTGAGCAGTACTTGGTGCAGATGCAGTATCTGTAGTTTTACCTAAATAAATGATGTTTTTATAATATATTTAAGTATTATCATAATAAAGAATAAGATGATAACATTAAAATGAATAGAGATTTAAGATTGACCTGATGCTCTCTTTCGGTATAATAGGTTTAGGATGCATCGTCTTATACCTTAATGAGGCTGTAGCGAAAATAAAAAATACTTTAGATCGAAGTGAAATTTTAACCAACGATAGTTAGTAAAATTACAAGATTTTTGGTAAAAAAAATTTGGGGTTTCCATGCAAATTTGGAAAATAATAAAATTCAAAGTTTTGGCCGTTTAACATTGAACCCATTGGGAAGTGGCAGTTTTTAGTGTACTGTGAGCTCAAATCACTTTAGAAGTTAATGAAATTAATATATGTTATAGGAAATCTTATTTGTTTTCAAATGATATAATTATAAATGGGTGTTTCCAATCATTTTCAAAATATATGAAGAGTCTAACGCATTTCCCCTATGTTCTGTCATGCTAACGCTGTGCGCTGCGTAACGCATATAGCGTTATAATACAGAATAACCTTGCATTGCTACAGCCTCCTTAACGCAGGTGAAATTACTTTCAGGACACGAAATCAGTACTTTAATCTTTAGAAGGTTTTGACAAGGTTTTATATGATCATTATATCTTAACTGATATCACTTAAGATTGAAAATTTAATAAAGATTGAAATCTACTTCCCATAGTGCATAAAGTATAGAGATATATCCTTAACTTTATCGAAATCTATTTAAATTATGCGTAATATACCAATTGAAACTTAAGCTATGCCACTATCTCAAATCTCAATATCAGGAATACGTGATCGGACGGGATTTTGGAGTGGAAAATTTACTTTTTACCGCTTTTTTTGTTCACATTGTTGAAAGATTCGATTTCAACTGATAACAAAACACGTAAAAAAATTTAAAAAGAATTTTTTAAGGCAGTTGGAGTTTTTCCGTACACTCTAGTAGCAGTGTCAGAAAATTTATTATTACCAAGAAAAAAATTGAGTCGCACTGGCGCGTGATAAGCTTCCGAGCACTGCGTTTGCTTTAATTGCTAGCATACTATATTGATGTTGGGAAAAAAGTTAGAACAGCATGAGCAAGTCTCATCTTTTATGCAATTTCGCTCACATTTCACATATAGATCACAATGGCTCAAGCTCAACCCTTAACTTAATGTCCACCGGTTCCATTCCCCGTACACCTTTTTTATGCATTAAGAGTCACATGACCACTTTTTCATCTAAAGTATTTATGAAATAGGATGTGATTGTTGAATATAAATCAATAAATAATTTCAGCAAGAATTTTATATTCGAAGAATGATCTGTAGGACTATATGATATATGAGTGCCTTGCCGTCTGAGCCCCTATCATGTGATGTAGACTGTGAGCAAGATCATATAAAAGTTACTACTTTCAAATACCGTCCGATCTTACGTTCCTGGTATAATTATAACGTACCGTCTTCGGCCTCATATTCATCTTCTTCGCGGCATTCCGATAATCTTCGGGTCCAAGGATAAGGGCTATGAGTTTGATTTCTGGATGGTAATCGATTTACGTGAGATAAAAAGTAGTGATTAAAAAAGCTATCAACACCATCAGCACTTCCTCCTGAAGATTGAAGCATATCTTTAAGCGCTGCTAAAGAAGTAATAGTATTGTAATTGATAGCAGATATTAAATCATCTTCAGTATCACTATCTTCTGTTGGCGAATCAGGTTTAACACATTCTGGTTGATCCGTTTCACTTTTTTTTGCTAAATTTTCATCACTATCATCTTCAGAATTTGAAGTTGAAGAGGATGAAGAAGATTGCTTATTTGTTGTTGAGCTAGAAATCATATCTGAACTTTCGTCCGCTTTCTTAGCAGATTCCGACATACTTGATTAAATAGTAGAAATGCTATAAAAAGTATACGTAATTGAAGAACTTCTTCAAACTTATCAATCCAAAATGACCATAAAGTATATAAATAATTGAAGTGTCTAAAATTCTGAAAAAAATTTAAACCTGAAAAAATCATAAAGTCTAAATAACATATTTTTTTGGAGTTATGAAATTATTTGGTATGATTTAATAATATATGAGATAAATAAAAATACATCAATATTATTGAAAATCGGAAGCTTATTGAAGTAGTAATGTCATTGGGAGAAATTAAAACCAATAAATTAGAAGAAAAGAGTTGTCGGTTCACCCTACATGTAAGAGATCAATACTTGATAGATCAAGTGACATTTTATCATATATACAAGGAGGTCAAGAGCTACTTCGTGGAGACAAGTATCACATAAAATTTATATCGACGCTCGGTTCGGCAAGAGGTTAGGTCCATCCGCGATCAGCACGCTTACAGTTTGAAGTTTAATAATTTTTCAAATAATAATTTAAAAATTCCACTTCAGCCGCCCTATAATAGTATGCGCAAAAAAGACACGAGTAGAGGGTACGCCGAGACAAGCTGACATAACAAGTATGGTCATATTAAAAATAAAAATGGTATTTGATTGCATACTTAAGTCCCAAAACACTTTTTGCGCACTAGAAAGGGCGCGATAAAATCTATTTTGCGCTGTACTATTGCATAATAGTTATTTTCTATACGATCGAGGACGGTAGCGCGCTCTAACGGCGTTCAAAAGCTTCACCGCTACCTATACGGCTATACCGAACACAAAAAACGAAAATGAAACGATTCAAGGAAAAAAAATGTATGAAATAAGAAAGTTTTGAAAAATCACTTAAAAATATTCTCTGAATCAAAAAATAGCTTTGACGATTAGCGTAGAGGTTAACTGCGTTAATGTATTGCAATCATAGGATTTTTCATTATTTAAAATCAGGCAAACGTTTAAAACTTTATCAGCAAAAAATATACCTGTAATAGTATAGTAGAATAAAAAAGTTAAATTACAAAACAACGAAAATTTCCTTCTTTTACAAACATTTATTGCTGTGAACATTTTTTCTCTTTGTTTATATTCAAATTATATCAGTTAAAAATTTATTTTAATTTACTAGTTAAATAATATTGAGCTTCAATAAGTTAATGAACATATATTATTTAAACAATAAGAATTAATTAATATAATAAACATTAATTAAGAAGCAAAAAATGTTTCATTTAAAAAAAATGTTTTTTACATCTTTGTTAAATGTAAAAGAAATTTTATTTGGTAATTAAATACATGAAAAAATATATATCCTAATAAAAAGATTGATACTGATTTATTAATTCTAAAACTGAACTATTTATTGAAATATGTTATATCCTTCCATAAGGGAAAGTAATAGAACCTTAGAGATTTGAAAAAGATTCATTGCAGTTATGGTATGGATTATTCTCATTCTTTCAATTCAGTTTTCAGAATTTATATACTGCTTCTGCTTGCTTGCTTAATCATTATATTTTTGTTTGGATTAGAGATTTTGAAATATATATTTTTGTAAAGAATAATAATTTTTTATACTGCCAAATCCAGGTATCAAGGACAGCTTAATATAGGTTTCTAATGAATTTTGTTTAATAATTTGTAAAGTTCTAAATTGCTGCTGGTAGTTAAGCAAAGTTTAGACAAAGCATCATGCAGAGGTGTCAAAAGAGTAAAAAAATTTGATCTACACTTAACCTACACAACTAGCTACTTTAACTATAATTGGCCTAGAATGGTCAATTATTCCTCATTTACAAACACTCATGTACTCAGCATATTTTTGACTGTTGGAAAATCCTGAATTAAAAGTTACTTGTGTAATAATTTATAGTATTACAAATGATCAGAAAAGAATATAACAATAATTTCAGAACTATGAACATTTAAAATTTTAAATTCATTTCAATTAATAGAATCATGATAATTAGTAAGAGAGTATAGTAAAGAGAGAGTGAGAGTATATTAATTTTGAAATATCAAAAAAATGTATGACAAATAGATTAGATTATGAGTACAATCTATCAATATCAAAAACTATTAAAGTTCTAAATTTATTAAATATTATGCAAACTACACATTTTTACTTTTAAATTTGTTCTATTTTGAAAAACTTACACTCAAGCAAAAGGGTTAATTTTCAACATTACATAAACTTACACATTGAATCACAACTCACAATTTAGACTTGAAATACTCAAACTCAATATGAAATATAGTAAGCACAAAACACAATAACAATTAAATTATAAATATGAGAATTTATTTTCTAATTATATGTAAATTTCAAATTAATATATTTATTAAGACATTAAAAGTATCATAAGAACAATAATTATTTATTAAGATTTTTGAATTATCATTTTTTCATCTATATTTTGGGAAACACAAGCTTTAATACCAAAGAAAAACCATTTTAAATTCTACAAACTATAATGAATTTCTATAAACAGAATATTTGTTTTGATACTCATGATTCATCAAGCTCTAATTTGCTTGTAACTTGAAATCAAAAAGTGATGTAAAAATAAATTTTACTAATTTATAAGGTTTCAATCAAATAATCAGTATTCTTATGTACCTAACTTAAGATTTAAAATTTTCTTACACAGCCTTCATTGAGATGAAATTCAATTTAAGATGAAAAAATTTCATTAACTAAGAAATACAATTTTTAACAAAATTTTTCGGCTAACAACGATTATTTTATTTTCTTCCTTTCCTATTGGTTTTTATTACATTTCATTAAAAAAGTGAAAACAGTTCGTAATAAATCAAGAAAATGTAGAAAATGCGCAACACTTTCTCGGATAATTCACGGTTTCCATAGGCGGGTTGTCACTGCTCCACGCAGTCTGCTTTTGTTAAGCAGACGATAAAATAAACGACTCGAAAGGCTGAGTCTACAAGAAAAAAATAATACTCAATACTCCACCCAATGATCTGGCTAAGCGTGAATGTAGAGAACTACGTAAGAAATTTGAATTTCATGATTGCATTCGACCCCAATGTCTAAATATTTCAATTTTAATGACAGAAAGTAGAATATGTCTTAGATTTGTAAGACAAAAATTAACATTTGATCGTCAATATTAATAAAATAATATAGTGAGAGCATTATAACATAAGTAAAATTCAAATTTTTGGTTAAACATTTTTTGTTTTAAAATGAAAAAATGACAAATTCGACATTCAAAAGTTAAATGTAATTTTTGAACAAACAAAATTTGTATGAAACTTATATCATAATAATAAATAACTAATATTCTTTATAAAAGAGGTGTCTACTAACTAGCTCAGATAAATTAGCGTGATCCAAATGATTGAGGCACACTATTGGTACTTCTAATTAGTTGCGGTTTTTCGTAAATAAATTTATTTAGTTGTTTGCATTGTTAAAAAATTTGAATTTAAATACCTTCTGATTGCTAAAACGGCCGTACACACACTTGACCGGAAAAAGGCTGGTGATTTTTTCTGAAAAGTTATTAAAGCCAAAACGTACCAAATCGCCTAATTATGTCGATCGACACTTTACTGATCCAAATTCATAATCCTGCACTCACAAGGATCTCTCTTTATTTCTTTGTTCTCAAGTACTGAACATCATGAATAAAGGCATACGTGTTTAAAAACCTCAATTATTCTTCTCAAGAATGAATAGAATATTTTATAGAAGTCCTATTTAGTACGCAGGGACTATTTATTTTATAAACAACTAAACCCTCGACGAGGCTCACTGCACGAATGTGTCTACATCAATTTTGTGTCTTTGCCATAACATATCTATAGACTGTTTCTCTACCCCCCCTAACCGGTATAAAAGGCATCCGTATTCCGTCCGTCAGTCGACACCGCAATGGCGTGACGCATAAACAATCCAACATCCTTTCCTTTTCTTCTTTAAAACCCCATAATGACTGATGCTTACGTACATGACGTAAACACAAATACTTGCACAAATACTTGCATTCAAGAATTGTGCTTAGATAATGCAAAACTTTTAGTCTTTTCCTCGGGAAATTCTATAAATAATCAAAAAGTATAATAATGGTGTGAAGTTTTTTTACATGTTTAGAAATTTAGTATAATTGTGAATGTTTTCATGGGAGATACCAAAAATATGCTTTGTAAATTGTTATAAAATTACAATCATAAAAATGAGTGAAGTTCAAAAGCAAATCACACGGAATTTGCAGCGTACCTTAGAAGATGCTCATATTAGTGGAGAACTCAAACTTGGTAGTCGAAAACTTAAAGAGTTTCCAAAAAATAACTGCTCTTCAACTAAATTAAATTTGCAAGATTTAGTTTTTGCAGGTAAAAAATAATGAATGTCTTGATTACAATCAATAGTAAATATTGATAAATTCTTTTGGTTATATCCAAAAATTTAATTTTTACGCTGCTTTAGTTGAACAAATTTTACTTATATGAAAAAGATTTTAGTTATATGCCAATTATATCCACCCCATTAGCTTGTTAGTTATGCCTTTTCATTGATTTTACATTGCTTGCTAGATTCTTTTTATAATCATACATTTTTTTGCTAAATAAACCCTAAATGTCAAAGTAGCATAATTTTTGAATTCAACAATATACCTAAGTATCTTGTAGATCATTATTAATCAATATAGAAATTTTTTTTGAAATGATTTATTTAATTAATAATTATTATAAATGTCTTATTAATTTATTATTTTGAAACTTAATAGAAGTGTAGATTAACAATGTTTAGTAACGATAAAATTTTTCTTGTGCAATAGTGATCTTTAGCAAGACAAATTTTGCTTGAAAAAAATCACTTGGATATTACTTTACTATGATAAGTGTTTATTGAAGTATTTGACACTTGTGAACTATCAAACAAGTATTTCTGTGTTTGATTTTATCTTTGTTGATTTTACTATACTGCCCACTAAAATTTTGAATGTAATTATAAAATTAGTGAAATTCGAATTCAAATAAACTAATCCTAAATATTATGAATATGCTGAAAATGAACAAAAATATATCCCAATTGGTCATAAATGTGTAGTCCTCAAAAAATTGATAGTTGCAAAAAATATTTCATTATTTTTTAGTTCATAGTAAACCCATGATCTATTTACACATTTCTATGATAAGATTATATTGTTATTTTATAGATGGAGACATTTTTATTATTTAACAACTTTTGGGATTAAAATAAATTCAATTATGGATCATGTTGAAATAATGAATTAAATTTTAATTATACTTTTATCACAAGATAACAATCTTTGTTTCGTTTACCTATCAGATGCAGGTGAATCATTAAATTACAAGAAATAAATTTTTTAAATTAAAGCTGTTTTCCTGAAATTTGTAAAAATATTTATAATACATTTTGTTAAATGGAAGTTGACGGTGGTGAATCCTGAAGTTGAATTCTATCAAACGTGTACTCCTAGTTTTCTTACATTAAGATTAACTTGATATCCATGAAAAGGGCTGATTGTTGTGTGAAAGTGGACTTCCTTGTCCTAGGAGCGCTCAAATCATTTTCGGAAAGCTGCTTTTCTACGGGCGTCTCTTTGTAGCGAGTAATTAGTCTCGATCCTCTTGGCCTCTGGAAGAGTGCGGATACGATAACTGGCGTGATAAGGGCTATGAGTAGCTCAGGCTGCCAAAATAATTTGTCAAAGTGATGATAAGTTAATCTCGAGTTGTTCAGATCAGTGAGCGAGTGTTCTTCCTTTCCATAACGTAGCCGTATTGTACGCAAGAGTTGTGGTGATGGCGGTAGATTTCCTTGCAAGTTAAGCGAAACGAGTCGAGCTGAACTCGGTAGTGGCTGCGGATGTTAATTCCCAGGAGTCACAAACTGCGGTGATTGTGAACCTGGGAGGCTAGTGTCGGTTACATGGGTTGTTCAATGTTCCAGGATTTCTGCAGGAATTTCTCAGGATCCTACAGAAAATTTTTCGAGGTTCGTTACTATTCTCCAGTCTGGAATCGTGTACAGATTTAGTTTCTCATTGCGATTACTGAGGAAGATGGCTCTATGACGGAATGACAACGACCAATGTCATCTTCCTGGGTCGTTCGGCCTGTTGTAGTTCAAGCGGTCTTAATACTTGTCCTCTTTACTGGTGGTACCTGATGTTTCTCTACGTTAGCATCGGATATAAACTATCGAAAGTTCCAAGCGCTCCCGCGGGTGTAATAGTTCAAAGAAGAATGAATAAAACGCGAAACCAGCTCAGTTTTTATTAATTTTGGTGGTATAACAAACCAGTGCCCTCTGGGGTTGAGGAAAGGGAAAAGCTTAGGCGTCTCCAAGCAGAAGGCTTGATGATAAAGAGAAGGACAGTGATTCGCAAACTCGTATTGAAATTTGGAAGCATCAAAGTCAGATTTCACTGTTTTTCGGGATCGACTTGTAGTCCTGAAGAGGACAATGATGTTCAAGCTCGTGTGGGAGATTTGCAATCGGTAACGTCCACTTTGGACTTTACTGATTTTTGTATTTGATTGTAGTCCTGAAGAGGACAGTAATTTACAAACTTGCGTAGGAGATTTGCAAATTATTATAGTGCGCTTCAGATTTTTGTCCGTTGAAAGCTGTAGTCGGAAAAAGAGTAGTTAAAATAGGATGATTTATTGAAGAAATCGTTGTGGAAGTCCTTTGTCCGCTGGACTTTTCGCTGCTGTCTCAGTTGCGATGATATCTTGGGAGAACCAAAAACGCCACCGCTGAGTCTCTCCCGAAAGCTCGACCGTATATAATCAAGTCAATACCTTAAATTCTGGTTAATTCTTTATTCGTGGTGAGCTGAAACTAACTAGGACTACTCTTAAGGCCTATGGGCATTCGATTAAATCGGAGTTGTGGGGAAATTATATCGAGAAAGCCGTTGTCAATCAGGATTACTGTGATGTTAAACATAAATAATCGGTCTGTATTGATCGCGTTTTTTCACGAGACACTTTCCATAAAAGATTCTTGAGCCATCGTTTGTCCTTAGTACACACGTTATCATTCGACCACACTGAGTATTTATTCATCATGATCGAATGATAGTTAGGGTGGCTCTTTGCGTACAAAAAAATAATCCACGCTAAATATTCTGGGTTGTTCAATAGAAAAATTATCTGTTATCAAATTAATAAAGCACGATATATTGACATGGTTGCTTTGTCAATAGTTTTTACGATACCGTCGCTTATACCGTTGAGGCTAAAGATTCTCAATCTATTTTTTTTTCTCTTTATCACTCCTTGTTGCGAATGCCTGCAGGAGGCTATAGCCCGTGCGAAGGAAAGATTTTTACTACCCGCCTCCCTACTGTTTCGCATTTGCCCAGACCCGAGAACTTGTGGGGCAAGGGAAACCTGAGGGTGTAAATAGTGCGTATGCACTGAGGGTACACCCTCCTGGAAAACCTCGCCCCAAGACAGCTGGAGCATATTGGGTTCTCATCCGGCCGGAAGAAAATCGGAAGAATCCTACCTTCTTCACTAGGATTCGAACCCACGGTAGCTTGATCTGCATTGTCTCGATGCCAAGCACACTACGCACCGAGCCCACGACCGCTATTTATTCATATTCCGTCGCGTAGTTGATCGATTTTTATCAAATTCAAATCAGAACCAGTTTCAATTAAAAATGCAGTGTTATCCAGTTTTAGTTGTAGGAATCGTGCTGAGTTGACTGGTGGGTTGGTTGTTCATTTTGATGTGATCGTGACATTGGCCTTCTGTGCGTTTGTCTCGCTAGCAGAAATTGCAATACAGTCGGTTGTGTTAAATCCAACATTAGACCTAAAAAAAAAGAAATTATTATAATCTTGAAAATATTAGTTTCTAAATGAAAATTCACATGTCTCACTATAATTTTCATGAATTTTTGATAGATTCCCTCTTAAGAGGTTGAATACAAATATTAAAAAAAAATATACCTAAATACACCAACTTTTATAGGCATTTATGAAGAATACGATTTATTTATTATATTAGCAATGAAATTGTCATCAGAAGTTAACTTAATTCTTGCTTTAATAATAAAAAAACAAATAATTTTATGGTATTAATTTTAATTTAATTGTTTTTCAGACTTGTCGAAAAATCGCCTAATAGAACTTCCAGAAGAAATCACTGAATTTGTTTTTCTCGAAAAATTATATTTAAATCAAAATGCTATTAAGTGTATTCCTGAAACAGTTTTATCTCTTCAGTCATTAAGTTACCTGGACATAAGGTAATTATTTTAGAAATCATATACTTGACCACTTTTCAAATATGCGATGTAATTGCACGTTTTTTGTCTCAATTTTAAACCAAAATGCTTCTCTACCATAATCACTGCACAAATTTTCTTGTTATAATATATAATGACCGGAAATGTAGAGCATTTTATAAGAGCCTTTAATTTATTACACTTTTCGCCTTTTATTACATAAAAATTTGCGCTCAGCATACTGCAACCAGAGTTGCCGCTAGTTTATTACATGGCGGAGACTAAAGTTGAGTGATCTATAATTGAAGAGGATAAATTTGTGTTTGTACCAATAAATACAAAAATATGTTTAAATTATATGTTAATTTTAAAAATTTTAGTTTGTGATGTGAAATTACGCGTTTGCAAGTTTTAAAATCATGTAAAAAACCGAAAAAATTAAATATTTGATTTTTTTCTTTTAAATAACTGAAAATAACTGAAAATAACTGAAAATAACTAGAAAAAATGTGGATTTAAAGATATCCTTGTGGAAATTCAGCCATTCATATTAATACGATACACATATACTCACACGCACTTTCATGGACCATCGAACTCGCAGTTTAGATTCCATAATGAGTTGTTAACTATCGACGCTGTGCAGAAGGTTCTGAGAACAAACAAATTGACCATCACTGTTGAAAAATATTAACTGGCGCCAAGAAGTGCTATGCTATTATTACCTTATTCGTAAAGAACGCCTTCAATTCGGTGCGGTGAAACAACAAATTTACTATCTTGTGCAAAATGAGGGTTCCAACATACCTGCTGTGGATTATTTTCGGCTATTTTCACGGCGGAAGTTAGGATTCTCCACGGTTGGAGCATAGACTTACGATGTCAGAGTTTGTGTACCTGAAAGATTTATACTTAGCTACATCCTTTGAGACGTCATGTGCAACAAAATCCTGAGGGCAAGGCTATTGGACTCCATATAATTTGTTGGCTTCGGATTGACATCGCATTCAGAAAGCAAATACACTGGTGTGGTCGACAAGTACTTGTAAGACATTCGATATAACGCAAACGAGACCAACGGTCTTGCATGAGCTACCTTTGATCACACCAGTTTTAAAGACTTCTAAATATAAACCTGAAGTTCTTCTGATATAAAGAAAGGATTTAAGGAAGACCATGATCCTTAAAGTCAGTGCCTGTAACATTACGTCAATTTCCCACATCCAGTACATTGGCATAGACAATAGAGCCAAACAACGGTTCAACGACTGTTTTAAAATGTTTAACAACAAGGTTGCCGGTGACTTGCTTGGTTTCATGTCCAATATTAAAGTTTGACTTTACGTTAACTTTGTCGACTCAATCCTCTTTTACAATGACATTATAGCCTGATGCATCTTGAAGGGTTACGTTGCTCTTATTTTAAATCTTATTAAGGCAGCCATGGGTATTTTTCAGGCATCATCAATTCTCTAGCATGCCTATCTGCAATCTGCAGCTTTCATAGCATCTTTCACAAAGTAATTTGTCTTCTTGTTTGTACTTCACTTGGTTTGGTTTTACCATCGTCTTTACAGAATCCTCTAAAGCGAAGAACACATTAAGACGCTGAAAGAAGATAGGTCCAACGGGCCCCTTCAACGTGGGACCAGCGAACTCATTCCAAACATCACCTTGTGAGTTTAGAGAAAATATAAAGAGGTGAACTGCCATTTTCAAACCAAAAATGACACGAGTGACTCGTGTCCGGTTTTTTCTTCTGCAATAAAAGGTTCTAACCATGTCATCTTTTACTATTCTTGATTCACGGTGGAAATAGAGAAGGTATGTCGATGGAGGCCCTAGCAGCCTGAAACGTTAGTTCAACTTCTACTTGCTGCTGAACCCAATAAACAAACAGTGTATTCCTCCTGTTAGTCAGTCATGATAAGACTGAAGAATAAAAGAGGGCCAGAAAAAGTTAACAGGGCAATGTGCTTAGAAAACAATGCGGAGAGTATATATAATCATAGAAAAGCATCTAGCTCCAGCTTATCTCCACAAATTAATACTTTACAATAATTTTGCGGAGAAAAAACAAAGGCAGAAGAAGGGGATACATTTTATTTGCAGAGTCAGTAGAGAGGCACATGTTTCACCCACGTAAAAACAATACACTACTCGATTCTCACGTTGAATCCTTAAATGGACTTCTTTCCCCATTTGAAAAAAATAAAACTAAACAATAAATAAAGTATAAAAAAAACAACATTTATTGTAAACAGTAATCGCATACAAACAGAAATTTATCGGGCATTGCTACTGCTTTTACATCTAAGCGGTCCTCTTGAGAAATAATGTTTTTCTTTAAAACTGTAGTTAGTGAATTATAACTGCCATACATTAACGGAGACAAAGTTGCTGCAAAATGCAAAATGAAAAATTAAATTCATACGTTAACTGAAAACTTCGAGATAAAAAAAAATGAAAAATTCGAATATACATTAAAAAAACTTTATATTTTGTCTGTCATGATTGATTTTGATACAAATTTGACTTATAAATTTTATTTTTTACAAATATTATTAAAATTTTTTTTCAGTCGGAATCAATTGCTAACTTTGCCAAAAGAAATATGTCACCTTCCTTTGCAAACTCTGATAGTATCTTACAACAGGCTATCATCACTACCTGAAGATTTGAATTTGATTACAACCTTAGCAGAACTTGATGCTGGCCATAATGAATTGCGTAATTTACCGTATCGCATAGGAGATATCTCTACCCTTAAATATTTGGATTTGCGTAAAAATTATTTAGTTAATTTACCAATAGGTAAGAATTTTATTATCACTTAGTTAATTTTCTTTAAAAGAATAAAACTTCAAGATAAAAAGTTTGTTTGTAACCTCAATTACAGAATTAATGTCTCTCAAACTCTGGAAGTTAGACATAAGTGGGAATCGTATATCTGTTTTACCAAATGAACTAAGAAAAATGACGTCTTTAGTTAGCTTCAAAGTGCACGATAATCCATTAACTTCTCCTCCTGCAGCGGTGAGTATAATTTTTTTTAGAATTCATTATAAACTTGAAAAAATAGATTTTATTTAACTATTCTTATTTCTGTATTAACAATATATTGTATCTAAAATTTATTAGACTAAGACTAAATCTATAATGGATAATATTATTGTTGCAGTTATGTGTACGTGGCCAAATACATATATTTAAGTACTTGGAACGTCAAGCTGAAAAGTATGAACGCCTCAAAAGCGTCAAGGGTCGCAATAATGATTTTACAGAGACTCGACACCAAAATGATTCTCAGTCTTTGCTTCATTGGCCACACATTGATTGTGAAAATGTTGGAAAAACTTATCCAGAAGAGGATAATAGTACGGTCAGTGTTTATATTACGATACATGAAGTTGATATGTCATTAAAATTTTTATCGAACTTATTAAGTACTCAAAGATATTTTAAATCTTTATATAATATTTTCACTAAATATAGCTGTTGGAAATTTGAAAATTTTTTTTTCAAACTTACATAATTATAAACTTCAAGACTTTGCGACACCGTCCCAACTCTACACTAGTATAAATTAATAGTTGAATTGTACAAAATTTATGTAGTATTTGATTTCAATTCCATGTCTTTTTTTCAAATCATTTGAGGTTTTTAATTAAAGTTTGTAACAAAGAGAATGAATAGCAAATTATCTCTACCATCAATTATCGAGTAACTATTATTTTTAGATGCGCTTCGTACAAAATATTCCACATAAAAAACAACTGGAACGCAGCAGATCGGAAAATGGGGAAAAATTTGAAAACCCTCATTGTAGTAGTGATCATACATCATTTCATGTACAAAGGTGAGTAGAATTATTCATATTTGTTTAAAATTTAAAGCAATAGTTGATGGTTAATCTAATGTAGTCACTTCAATGTGCTTTTGAATTAGATACCATAAACTTACAATTAAATAATTCTTCTCTACGTCAGGCCTCTGTGTCTAAAAATAGTCCATTAAACATTAAACAAAATCGATTTTTTGTTCAAATTTGATATGTAACTATTAACCATATCCACTCATGATCTCGATATATAAGTATGTTAAATATCTTATTTATTTGTATATTAGTAATTAACTGTTCAAGTTTCAGTTATCCGAATCAAAATGTACTTGCGGATTCTTGTGATGGAGTCAAAGGTGTGGGATCGAAGTCTCCATTTCATGCAGCCAATTCACTATCGTCGATAGATACAAATGATAAAAAAGGGTCAACTCACATCCAAACTTATCGGTATGATCTCTCATTTCCTTTACCGATGATACTGTACCTAATGTACTTTATAGCACTGCGTGGTATAAGTTCACATTTATGGCACGCTTTTCTGTGTCATTAGTCGCACATTATGGCACTGCTGCGCTTGCATCACATTCGCATACGCCGTGCGCTAACCTCACTTCGCGGTACCAGAAAGTGCGACTTATGACTCGGAAAAGGGGGCATATATGTAAACTTAGCACAGTACTATTAAATGTAGTACGATATTCGTGCCATGGAGACACTTGTATCGTAAAGTACAAATAAAATGTACTATAAAAAATGCATACAACTTTAATGATGTAAATAAATTTTCTAGAGAATACAAAGAGGCTTTAAGACTTCAAAGAGTGAGTGAAGCTTCTAATATATACAGATCAAGAGATTTATCATCAGTATCATCGCAATTGCATCCATGTGATAATATTGATGGAGAAAATGATTTCACGAAGAAGATATATAAGAAACCTAAATCACCATCTCCATCCTGTCATACTTTTTCTGAAAATGATTCATCCGAAAGTCATGACAGACTAGATGGTAAGTACTATTTGTTCACTCCAACTGTAAAATAAAAGTATAGAATCGGTAAACTTTTGATTGTGAATAATTTATCTACCTTTAATATTGTTCCTTACAAAATATTTTTTAAATATTTTGCTGGGTTATCACACAGCCACATAAAAAAATGTTCTAGTCCAGAGATCAAACTCAGTGGACTTAACGTTTTTGGGGTCGCTGAGTCCGAATCCGATATCGGGTTTTCTAGGTTAACTCATTTTCAAGGTCATTTAAAGGTCGAACTTATAGGAATTCGATATAAAATTCCGAAAATAAATTACGTTTATCTTTTGAGGGTTGGTACTTAATTTTTTACACATTTTTTTTTATAACATATTTTTTTTTCTTCTAACGATCGGCGTAATGGTTGTCGCTTAAGTTTTTGTTCTCTATTTGACTCTCTGCAACATCCAGCAGTTATCAGTCATCATCGCAACATCTCATCTACCTTTATACCACTGCTTCATATTGTTTATCTCTTGATGGAATCTTTCTCCATGCTCGTTGCTTAAATCTCTATAGTTTTCCGGGAACTCTTCTGAGTAGTTATGCAAGAAAGACATACAACGTCCCATTTAACCGAAATTTTATATCATTGTTCATGATAAAATTTTGTAATCCTCGCTTCTGTGATTACCTAAAAAGTTTTCCACAACATTGTTGAAGTTAATCCATCCAGTTTCTGAATCGCAGGCATCTTAGATAGAAAATTGTTATCTTTCAGCACTTTTCTTACTTCTGGTCCATCGAATACTACTTCTTTCAATTTGGCATCAGATTAATGTAACGACCTTAAAATGATTTCGAAAAAAAAATATTTTTCGGTTACTCTATTATGAAAAAATCTGCGAAGAAATATGTTCGTACCATATAGTATAAAATAAACTTTCGCTTATAGTTGTCAGATGGGGTAAAAAGGCAGCTCCACTCCAGAATATAAGCTCGTTAAATTTCTCAGTCTGAAAAATCAATCAACCACCCCAAAAGCATAAAGTCCACTAGGTCCGGTCTCATAACGCAAACATATTTTGGCTATGTTATTGTTAATCAGCATAATTGGCTCTTCTATTCATAGTTTGGATAAAACATTGCGATTTAATATTTTTTGATCAATCTATGCTTTTTAATTTTTACATTATAATCATTACCCTATACTAGTATTCAATTAAATATCGCTAAGCTCTAAAGAAACCTAACTGATATCTGTGTTTTCATTTATTTTCAATTTTTAAATATATTCATTTTATACTGATGAAATATGCAATAATTTTAACTTTATTTTATAGAAACATCGAAAAAATTGAATGTAGATAACTTGAAAAAATCATCTTTTACAATAAAGAGGGAACATGAACGAGCTAAAGAGGAAGCTGAATTAATTGAAAAATTACGACACGTAAGTAAATTTTTTACTTGGGTATTAAGCTATGTAGTACTACAAATATATACTCATAAAAACTTCTATTACATAATTCTTTTTATGTAATCATTAAAGTATAATATTTTAAATTAGCTTGAAATGTCATTTTTTAATTAAAATGTATTTTAGGACATAGAAAGTAGATTAAAAATCAATCTCTCAGAAGATCTTGCCTCAGCTCTAATGGATGGTGTTATTCTTTGTCATCTTGCCAATTTTATAAAGCCGAGGTCAATCGCAAGTATACATGTACCATCTGCAGCCGTTGTAAGTATATGATAATATTTTTTTAAACAATAAACATTTCTAAATAAATTGTATCATTAATTAAAATATCTGCTATTAAGTGGCAAATTACTCGTAATATTATTCATGAAGAGATTATTATCTGACGTGAGAAAATCATAATTAAAATGAATATGAAGTCAAATGCATGTTATCTATACTTCAGTAATATACTAACTAGTGGTCTCCTTTTCTGTCACATGTTCTTAACATTGATTAGTGATAAATTTGTTACAAACTTTTTTATCGTTTTATTTGCTGAATGAATAGAGTGGTACTACGATGACAAGACCCAGCTTTAGACATTTTCTGACCAACATTTAGATCAATGTTTTGGGGGTAGAAAAATGTCAGGTCAGTGATATGTTTTCAAATAAATGCCCTTCAAGATCTGAGGATTCGACCCTGTACTTAATCTAGTCTGGGTGCCACAATTTTTCTGCATCTCTATTTTGTCAGAAGTACCACTCTTAATGTACAATAGGCTCAATCTAATTTTGTCCAGAGGAATGTGGAATTTTACATGCTTATACACGTTCCATTCAAACAATTGGACAGAATTATATTGGGTCTTGCGTATATATCGTCACCCTAGCGCAAAAACCGCACTTATAAATTCGAGAGGCAAAACGTACTTTAGGCATACGTTGAAAGGATAGAACCAAGACAAGTTTTTACCTCTCGAATTTGTCAGTGCAGGCTTTGCGCTGGAACGACGATATCAGATTAAGCATATTATTTCTGGAACAAGTCTGCTTTATCGTACTTGCTCAGCTTCATTTTTTTTGCCCTTTCTGAACATTTCTCGATGCAGACCAATACGCATTCACCGAGCTGATTTACGCAATATTAGGTACCATCGCTAGTAAGAGCGAATTAAATGGTGATGAGTTGTGTACCACAAAAGTGAGGACCTCGTTCTTCTAAGCATGCACGAGAAATTATCTGTATTATTATTGTACTAATAAGTTGATTTAATTTTCTACAAGTAATATCAGAGCCTGTTTCCTTCGCGTACGGTATGCCTAAACATTACGAAAATGTATCTTATGGACAGCCTACTTAGATTGTATGAATGACCATAGTTATTTTATCACCTCTTTCCTCCAACTTTATTCTAAGCTTTCTCTCAAGCTTTTTACGTTCATTTTAATTCTTAACTTAACAGGTAGCGAATGTTAGTGTTATGTAATTGTTTAAAATTAGTTGTTTAAAATTAGTGTTCAATTTTTTTCCTGAGTAATTACACAATTATGCGATAGCATTTGAAATATCAATACTCACGTCAGAGATGACCCTGCAACAATTTTTTACCTCGATCACTACATAATGGGCGTTTTTTAAATGAAATTAAAATTCAGTGATTTTTGGTACAATGGGTTCAATATGCTCAAATCCCAAAAACTGATACTTTTAATAATTTTAATTATTCTGAATTATTTTTCATATCACATTAAAATAATTTTTAGAGAAATTACAATGAATAAATTTATAATGGATATTTTTTAATTAGCCCAAACTGTCCATGGCAAGGTGTAGAAGAAACGTCGATAACTTTTTGGATGCCTGCAGAAAAAATGGGGTAAATGAGGTAAGCAAAAAATGTATTACATTATACAAAATTGATAAAATAAATAAATTACATATCAGATCATCAAATCAAATTTATCCTTAGACCCACAACTAATCACTGTGCAATATTTAAAAATATTACGTGACTGAATTATTATTTCGACGAAAACCGACTAAACTGCGTATGAAGTACTCCTTTTAGATATTTTAATTTGAAAATCCAACTTGTATATTCCTCTATTGCAACTTAGAGGTTTACCAGTTTGTAAGTTTTAATTTCTTTTGAGGGTGTAAGGACATTTGATTAGAAATGAATCTATTGTGACTAAGAAAGTACAAATTTATTTATTTTATTAATATAGTTTTTAATTCAGCATGTTTTGATAAAAATTTATTCAAGCCCACGGTTATTAATATTAATGATACACCCGTGTTGAAACTTCCATTGAGTATATTACAAATATTATTAATACAAAAAAGGAGATACATGAACTTTGTATCAGTTAGCTTGAGTTAGCAACAATCTTCCAGGAGAAGTCGTCCCATTCATAAACTTCGCCTCGCGTCCAACAAATGAATTTTTTCTCTGATCCCATGTTTTCGAAAATCATTAAATTGTGTGAATATTATTTTGCCAAAGAAAAAGTTTGTTGAAAAGTTTATACTGGTCTTCCAAATAACGTATTTCAACATTGGCATTTACGAAAGATACGATCGAATATCTTATTTATTAACTCTACCTGAAATACAATCTTGTTCCCGCTGAATGAAATCTAAATATTATTTTAGGCTGGAGGTCTAATCAAAAATTGTATTTACAACCTTGCATCAAAAAAATCTCGAAGCAAAATAAATTTTTATTCTTTTACTCCTCATTTACACAATGAATAATTACACGTGTATTTTCCATTCCTAATCGAATTTTACCATTTTGTGCCATATTACTTAACCGGATTATGTCACTATCGACGTTTCCCACGAAGAGTTACACATTTCCATTTAAATTAACACATAAACGTATTACTCTTCGTGGGGAGCGTCGATGTATATGTGTGTTCTAAAATTCAAATGTAAAAAAAGTATATTGTTTTTAAATTGATTTGCCACGCTCAATAAATTCCATTGCTAAAAGCTACAAGTATGAGAGCGGAGACTATTCATCTATAAGTTACGTGAGAACTTATGATACTAATTAACAAATAAAACACCGTATGAAAAAAGAAGAAATTTTTAGAATTGTTTTTATAAAAATTATGGATCTTATCACAGAAACTCAATTTATCTCGCGTATTATTCAAATTTATTCCATTCCCCTCATATCTAAATAATCATTGTGGTGCCGTACATTCGGTGATTTAAATGCAATTAAATGAAATGTAGTGTTTATTACCAATAAAGATGTCGCGTTCATTCATCCCGTTTCGAGGTATGTTAATCTCTGATTGTGCGACGCCATATTCGTTGCATATACATGAGCCAAATCAAAGTTAGCATGATATACTGAAAGAAATTGAAATGATAATGCTTAAAATCTTAGTCAAATTAAATTTAAGAGTGTCTGTTTGGCGACCTGAGCGTATTTCACGAAACGCTTTTTCACGTACATTACAGCTGCCAAACAGACACGCGAAGTGAGGTTAGTGTACGGGTGCAGCAAGTGCGATGAGAACGACGCTGAGCTAAAAAATGCAACGCATTCCTCAGAAAACTGTGCCATAAATATAAACATATGCCACGCAGTACAATAAAAAAATTCTATATACCCTGCGTGAATATGATTTGTAGCACTATGGAGTATAAGTTCAATAATACTAATAATAATAAATTCACAGACACCTGGTTTAACTTAATATCGGCCCAACAGATAATAACAAAAAAAATTTGCAACGGTGGTATGCACTCCAACGACAAAAAAGTTCAAATTTACTGTTAATGTAAAACCGGGGCCACCGCGTTTAAATAAAACAAGTTCTTAGCGCTGTTCATCGCCAACCACATGTTCTTCCGTTGCAATTAAAAAATGATATTCAATTATATTAAGAGCGTTCTTACGCGAAATAATTAATCTTTAGTTTTTCCAGTAGTAAAACGAAAATTTACAGTCAGTATTGAATGGCCCTAAACCATTCGTTAAAACGTAAGTTTCACAGACTTTTACATGTTTATAGTAAAAGTATTGTGAATTAAATTGCAAGCTACAACCTCCTAAGACCCTGTAAATGAAGATTTTAGCTTTGTACTAGCCTTTACTTGTTGACTTAATACTGAACTACTCAAAATATTAGAAAGATGTTCACCCGTACATACCGGTACTAAAACTGTTTAAACATCAGGAATTTTTAAACTTATTTTTACTTTTCGCTGCTTGTGAAAAGCTATTTGTACATGTTAAAGTTTAAATTATGTTAACGTTTAAAAATTCCAATTGTATTAGAATATTTTTTGTTAACGGCATTGATATTTCTAATTTTGGACAATACAAACCATAGAGCTGAGAGAGAAAAAGTGGAATTGGACTTCGAGTCTCTGAGTGATCTGGGAGCCATTACTTGCGACAGTCAAACCTAATGATACAGACTTAGCGCTTAGCTTCTCCCGCTCGTGTATGCGTTCCTTGGTAAAAATTGTGGCAATTCGTAAAAAACTCTTTCACTGATTCAAAATTAGTCGCACTCATAAAGCTATCTTCAATTAAAACATTAGAATCTACAATTAGAATCTTAGACAACTTTTTCTTAGTAGAGAACGTTTTTATACATTTTTGACATTTTGTCTAATATGGTAATTGCTTACATAAATTTATTACATGTTGGTCACTATTTCAGGATTACTGTGTCTCTTTAGTTTTTCCATTAATTTTTAAATTATATCTTAAACAATTTAAAAATTTCAGAGAAAGAATGTGGTCACTATAACCTCCAAGAATACAACTTTATTTAATTTTTTCTATGATTGTCGGACTGAATAGTCTCGATTTTTTTCAGGAGTTAATGATGGATACTGACGCTATTATGGACATTGGTTACATGAATAATTCTGGTCTTGAAGCTTTAGCACTTCTAATCTCAAATCTTGTTATAACCTCAGATGTACCAATCAATCAGGAAAGAATATGTGCAACTATTCAAGAATCATTTTTGTCTACAGTTTTATTATTAGGTTTTATAATTTCACTTATTTTATTATACTTTTTTCCTGTACCTGCATAGCTTTTATATATAATTACCTTCAACTGCAATGATTAGTTACTTAGACAAAATAATAATGTTTATAGATGTAATATTTTATTTTTTTGATAAGTGAAAGCGTTTTTGAATTTCTATGAAAGTTGAAATAGAAATTAAGAAAATGTTCTCTAGTTGTACACAGAAAATGGACCACATACAAGTAATATTCACATAAAAAATGTAATAAAATTGTTCACTATTTTCATATTTTCATTTAAAATCAAAAAAAGCTTTTTTAAAAACAAAATTGTTAAGCCATAAAAATACTTATGAATGTTAATTGAATGTGCTCTCGCGTATAATTTAAGCGTTGCGTGGCTCACGGTGTATAATGATCACTCTCAGATCAGCTCAGATCGGCTCACTTTACTTAAGTGGAAAATATTACATTTTCTTCACTTGGCTAATAAAGATTTGTTTTTTATCAATCGATTACCTGATTTATGCTCACTCCACTTCCTACTACAGAAATAACTAGAAAATCATCCAATAATAAAAGGTACCAATTCAAATTAGTGATTTCAAAAACTTCATAAAGGTAAGGATTGACTTTCCTTAGATGTTCGATGTGGCTTTGTATTTAACTGGATAAAATATCTTTTAATTATTAGCCAAAAATAATTGTATTTATTTTTGCCGTTAAACAAGTATTAATCGAAAACAGTAAAAAAATAGTATATTATGATACCTGTGACTTAAGCAGGCCATTATTGCACGTCAAGGTTAGCACCCGAGCGTAGCGAGGGTGCTAGTGCTGTTTTAAGAATGAGCTAATTGAGTCATAAGTATCGTATACTTTTTTATAGCACTGTGCTGAATTTACGTTTAAGCCCCCTTTGGTGAGATATAAAGTGCTCATAATAGCATCGCGGTGCATAGTGAGCAGCTTGAGTCACGGCAAAGCGTGCTTTAAACGTGAACTTTAGCCACGCAGTGCTGTAAAAATTATCACAAAAAATTTATTTCATTTACAACAACATTGAAAGACAACCGCGCAGTATACAGATCTAAACCTAAATACACTTTCACCTGAATAACCTCTGAATCATTAAGTTCAATTTCAACAAATTTAGTTGCGTAACTAATGAAAATAAATTCAAAGAAAATAAGAGTATTTAATGTTTCAAGTTTCAAATGAGCTTACAATTATCATATGCAGAACTACACTGCTTTGTTTTCGTTTTTGCAATTAACTGGATGAAAAATCAAAAAAATTTCAAAATGTTTATTTTAATAAAATGAAGTCGGTTCAAGTTACTGAAAAATGTATTCAAAAACTGATTTGGAATATATTATTCTTTTGAAAATGTGAATCTAATCTTTCCATTTTTATTACTGAATTTCAAAAAATTTTAAAACAAATGATTTTAATTTCATCTGCGATCATGAATTTTTTTTCCAATTTTTCAGAATTCACGAAATCTTTTGAAATGATTATATTAACTTGAAAATGATTAAAATTTTTTTGCTTATCTCGATCATTTATATCATTGCGTCGCATAATTGCAAACTTATGGCACGATTTTCTATGGCATAAGTTGTACTATAGGTCACCGCGTTTTTCGTATCACACTGGTTTTACTCGTGCGCTTACTTCACTTTGCGGCGTCAATAAGTGCAGACCCCTTGTAGAGGTAGTGTCCTACTGTGGAGGACTTCAAAGAGCTAGTGGGCTATCTTCCCAGTTAGAAAAGAAGTCACAAATAGGAACTTAGCACAGTGCTATAAATTTGCATACGATATTTATGCCGTAGAAGACACTTTTGCTCCCGCAACTCTAGTTGTGGGCCGATGACGTGCCATAAATGATGGCTCTTGTATGGCAATAGTACTGGATGATATTAGGGTCATACAATGTCTCCTATAGAATGGATATCATGTCCAATTTGATAGGACTGTTCTGAATTACAGTAAAAGTGCCTGTTAGTAATTTACGGTAAAAGTGCCGTGTATACTTTTGGCAACAAGTATCGTACGTAATTTTATATCAGTGTGCTAAGTTCACATTTATGTTCACTTTAACGAGATATTTCGCCCTCTTTAAACAGCGGAGTGAGGTCAGCGCTCGAGAGTAACGAGTGTGATGGGAACAATTTTTCATTTTAGTATTGCGAAAGTAATGATAAAGTTATTCATATCTTTATGCATCAAAATAAATAATATCTCTACGTGAATTATACTTCAGGTGCTTTTATTATCTCGCAAATATATTTTTTACTGTATTTTTAAAATTTCAAAACAATGAATCCCAAAATTCAACAATAATTTATTTGAATTACGTATGTAAGTATCATAGAGTCAACATTAAACAACAGTCCTTTTTATTGAAATAAGACATACAAGGGTAAGATTTAAAATTTTTTAATAAACCTGCGGACGAGGTCCAAAGATTTTCCTGAAATTTCGGTATGTTATAGTATGTGGAAAAATAGTCCTGAAGCCGGGATTCTAACCTTCAATATCGCTCGTAGCCTTCGGAATCCGTAGAGACTTCTTTTTACCTTTAGTCATGACACTAAAGTCTAGAGCTGAAAAACTACTTTTTTCAACGAAAATAATTTTTTGGGACGATTCGGAGCCTTTTTTTTCATCAAAATACATAACCTTGAATTTTTTCAGATTTTTTTATAGAGGACGCTAACGTCTAGAACTGAAAAACGCTGCTTTTAATGAAAATAGGTCGTAGGAGCCAGAGTTTCGGCTGCAAAAAAATTTGAAAAATACTTTTAAATTTTTTGCCAAATTAAAAAAAATTTTGTTTGCATTTTTTCGGTTAAGTCCTAAAATTTCATTCCAGAACAACGCAAAGATCAAACACAAAATTCTGAAGACTTTTAAAAAACAATGCAACCATGACAAATGTTTTCAGATTTCGTATTAATCTTTTTCATGATCACGAATGAAAAAAAATTAATTTGGTACTGGTTTTGCTTCCTTCCTATACTTTCCCTGAAATTGATAACTTTTACATTTTGCATAAATCTTCATTTTGATCTTATGCAAATTAAAAAAAATATTGATCTGTTAATGAGTCCAAAAACCTCACTTAAAAATCTACGAGAAATGAATATTAGATGCACGTGGTTAATCCTAAACAAAATCCAACGGGTTATTTAAAAAACAGTTTATCATTCTACATCAATTTAACAAAGAATTATTTAACTTTGCGCAGTCGCAACATCACATTTTTAAGAAAATTGTTTTATTTTAAATAATAGAATTTTCATGTTATTTATAAAATAAATCAATCGATTGATGTGGATATTTTAAAGTGAATAACTCAAATAAAAATATAATTAATTTAATTTGTAAAATTATTGTAAGCTGAATTATAATAATATAGTCATTTTATTTTCAAGAACCTTGCTGCAAAATAAAAATAACAATTACAAACGTACTTTTTTCAGAATTTCATGTGTTGTGCAAGTGATGTACTTGAAGGAGGTCGTGGAATCGTACGTCTTGCAGTTACCATTTCAGAAATATTAAAGCTGAATTAATGTCAGAGTTTTTTATATTAAAATCTGACACTAAACTAAACATTTTGAGATTAAAATAAAATAAGAGTACTCAAGTCTTCAATTATGCAAATATTCCATTATTTATGTAATAAAAATGAATTAATAAAATAATTTAATAATTATCACTTTTGCCTTATTTCTACATTTATTGCTTTCTATTTAAAAAAAGCTCTATTACGAATTTAATTTGACACTGTCAATGATCGTTCTACAATAATATTTATAAGTAAAGCAGATAGAATTTTGGGGTTACCCAACATATCTACTTTGGGTATATAAATGGTACACCAGACCCAATCTACTTCAGTGGGTAATCCAATGGAATGTGGAATTTTGTATGCTTATGCTTCCAATTCCTGTTTCACCTGAAAAATTGGACAGAATTATATTGGGTATAGTGTAGTAATCCGCAATAGTATAAGTATCAGAATCGCAAAAATGTTTGAGTATGAGATTCGAAATGATCAAGTATCAACGACGCACGGTAAGAAAGTTTTGGGTGGTAAGAGAGGAATTGCATATGAGAATGTATATTTCAAGAGGTTTTATACCCTTTAATTCCCATTTATACCTAGGCGATATAAAGCCATTTTTGGTACGGCGCGACCAGGAAAAATTTTTGATCATTTCTCATGAGATAAAATCGATGCATAACGAGTGGACTTACTGAGCCTGAGGATCTCAAGCGACAACCTATATGTGGGGATCCGACTGTAGCAGTCTCCCCTCTACGCGCACCTCCCCCCGCTCGCCGTTGGGAGCCCACGTGTACCACATCGGTGTTTGCTGTGACCCCTGATCAGCAAGTCGCATCGACGCAATCTCCTCATATATAATTCAAGTCTTTACTGTATTATAAATTAAGGTGAGTGATCAACTTATTTAATGTTATTCTGAAAAGAAACAATTTATGAAAATTGAAGGGTCCATCGGTCCATTAATTAACATTAAGTAGACAAAAGGATTTTAGTATTCAAGTGACCAAGAAAATCGTTATTACCATTGAATTTTGTGGTGAATATACTGACTACAATATCATTGTCGAAAGAAACGTTGCATGTTATGGGCTCTCTATACAGACGCTCAGTAGATAACAAATACTTAATTATTTTGTACCATTTCGTTTATTCTCTGGGCAAGCATTAAACTTGAAATTTTGTGGAAGTAATTATGAAACTCATAAAAATGTGCCTATGTCGCCAGTTTTCAAGAAATGACCGGTACTTTCAAACAAACTTTATTTTCAATTATCCCCCTTTTCTAACCTAAAATGCAACGTATTCTCAAACAATTAATTTTTAACAATTAATTTTCAATTATCCCCCTTTTCTAACCTAAAATGCAACGTATTCTAAAACAATTAATTTTTAACAATTAATTTTCAATTATCCCCCTTTTCTAACCTTAAATGCAACGTATTCTCAAACAGAATTATTTCATTAAACATTTTATCGAAATCTAACGACATTAGCACATTTTTAGTTTCATATTCACTCTCACGAAATTTAAAGTTTCATGGTTGTCTAGAGAATAAAAAAAATGGGTACAAAATAATGAATTTAATTGAAATTAAATTTATTAATTCAAAAATTACTTTTATCTAAATTTATATTTCATTATTATATTTCTTTTCCCGTAATACGCGTATGCCCCAAATTTTGATTTTAATAATGTTGGCAAAAAGTTAGAAATTTTAATTTTCAAATTATTATGTATTTGTTCGCCAATTTGTAATTACTGTACTTTTTAGGGGTTTTATTAGACAGATTAGTACTTTGACACTGATAAGTTATTCATGGATAATAATTTATTCAATAAAAAATCTTTATCTTTGAATAGGCTAGCTGGTTCTGCTTCAGAACAGGTGGCTCTGTCCTATTCTAAAAATACGATAGCATAATATTTCTTTTATTAGTTTCATTTTAAGGCAAGATCATCTGATTTTTGTGTAACACAAATCCCCTCATTTTTATTTATTTATTTATTTGTTGCATCAACACTATTCTACATAAAACGGTAACCTTGCATATTCTTACAACGTTATAGTTAAAACATTGCTGTAATGAAGAGAAGTTTCAAATTTTTGAAACATGGATTCTAAAAATTTTGCTAATAATTAATTAATATTTGTACGATGGAACGTTCAAATCACATTTGCATTACATTATCTTGCTGAAATATTAATATTTATCTTGATTTTATAACTTATGATCTTGTACAATTGTGTTCCATATTATACTCTCAACCTTATGGTCAAAATGTATATTTTATAATTACATTATGTATCTCACCGAAAACTCTTTGAAAGTTATGGCTTATAATTTTTGCTTGGAATGTACTTTAAAATAAGAACATTGTCCCCTCCTCGAATTTTTTTTAATGTTACAATCAAGTGTCATACTAATTTAACAAGATGTTATCTTGAATTATCATTTAATTCTCCATCAAGTATCACAGCTTATATCAAACTGACTGATAAATGTTTGAATTTGGAATTTATTTATTTCAGTTGTTCCTGCTTAATAAAGCCAGTTATATACTATTACCGAGTCACCATGGCAAACTTAGCGAAAACCCAATTAGACGAATTGTCTTTGAATAATTTTTGCGAATATTTGCGGATTCCATCAATGCACCCAGACATTAATTATGGTTGGTCTAAATTATCCACGTAACTATATTTTTATGCTTGATTTATTAACAACAGCATTTCACCGATCTTTCATTTAAATTATGACCCGATTATAAGCCATTGAGTAAAGAAGAAAATAGTAAAGAAAGATTAATATGCTGAATAAATTAATATATGAGAGCAATGTTTCATAATATTTTTCTTTTAAACGACTTAGTTAAAAATGAACTAAATTTTTTAGTATAAAAATTAGAACATAAATTTATAACGATTTTTTCGATACTAGTTATTAACTAGTTTTTAGCATAAAGAAGAGTTTATTTTAAAGTTCCTTGCAAAAGTTTTACTTAATTCTCTGACTAAAATTATTACTAAATCATTTTATTAATATTTTTGCCTGTAGTACGTTAAATTTTAGTTTCGAAAAAATGATTTTATACATTTTCAACCGAAGAAAACTTAAATGGCATATGCTTCGAAAATATATAAATATAAACGCTAAAAATAAACATGGTCCATCTACCGTAATAATGAATGAAATACATCGCCATAAGAATAATTTTTTTGATTGCATTTGGATACATCTTGACTCATATTATCTTATCGTGAACGAATATTTTACCGTCAAAGATATTAAATCGCTATTGTAAATGATGTATTACTTTTCATCGAACTCAATTTTTTTTTACCAAATGGTTAAATTTATTTCTTAATTTCAAATAAGTTATACCACCAAATGGATTATAAAAGCAAATAAAACTTTTTACTCATACTTAATTATTCTTACATTGTATAAAAAAAGTTTCAATTTTCATAGTGTTGTCTACTACAATTGTTTTCTTAAACAAATATTTTCTAAAGTTGTCCCACACGATTTGAAGATAAGTATTCATCTGATTGTGTTAAAATTTCAACACGATAATTTTCACATGTTACTGCTCCAAATGGAGTATTAGAAAAAGAGTTTGGAATTAAATTGAATGTCGATTTTTTCTTCTGTAGCTCATTCTGAGTAGTAATGTATGCAGATTATCGAATTTCAAAACAAACCTATAAACACTTTCGTTTTTAATTATGCACGCTAACTTAATCAATTACTTTTTTTTTTAAGAAAAAAATTTTACATCACTGCCCTTATAAAAATTTCCAATAGGATCCCGCGAAATTCCTATTGGAATCCTATAGGACTCCTGTAGGAATTTCGCGAGATCCTATAGGAAATTTTTATAAGGGTGAGTCACAAATTTTTTTATGCAGTAGTAGTCCAATAAAGTACGTGTAAAAATTTTTATCAAGTTATTTGTTTTGATTACATTGAAAGTTATTACCTTTGAACATTTATTTTCGACGTGTAATTCCCCTTAAATTAATTCAAGCCATCACCTGTTCCTTTTACATTGAGCAAGTATTCATTATCAATAAATATGGTTGAGTTTCATGCTCAAGAAAAAAAGGCTTCTATACTGCGACCTAGTGGTACCCCGGGTGAAAAAATAACGTGGATTTTTTTTTCTCTCTCTCTTATTAGACTCTCTTATTATCCGCGCAGAATCCACATTGGCGTGAATCGGTACTCCGCGCACCAATACGGCCCGTTAAGGAGGTTAGGGAGTCTCAGAGGGGGACGAATCGGGACGCGAGGGGCTCCTATACTTCCAATGTTAAATTTTCAGCGCTGCCAACTTCGAAATAACACGAAATTGTAGGTTTTTTCAATGAGCTGGCACACAATTATAGCTATTATTAATAATTCAATCATTTTGATGAGTTTTTTTCGATGTTTTAGGCTTAAAACAATACTCTATTTGTCATTAGAGTCGAATGAGCACATATTTTTGTTGTTCTAGCTCATTTGATGGTTAGGGTACGCGCAAATGACCCACGAATTTTTACACATAACAATTTATTTCTCGATAACTAAACGGTCGATGAACTTCTTTTTGCAGTCAAATTATTCCTTATTAAATTTCCTACATGTACGTATTTTTTTCTATTTAGTTTTTGTTTTTTTACATTATGTTTATGCTCATTGAAAGCGAAAATTCATGATTTCTCGTAAGAAACCATGTTAAATGGTCAAAAAATTTTTTCATCATTTTAACAAAATTTTGCGGTGAAAAGTTGTATTTTGATATTAACATTCATATTATAAAGTTTCAAAGCAATTAAACGTGTTTTAAAAATTTGGCTGCATTTCGCTGAGACTCCCGAACCTCCTTAAGCCGCGCTAATGATGCACGATATACTCCCGTTCATCGTCACAAGGATGGTGGGAGACACGCTCAGCACGAGACGACCAACATCAAGAATAAAATTAAGTGCTTACTGAGAAGGACACCTGAGAAAGACATCCTCGTATTGCTTCGCCGATGAAGTTTATCTTGATTGAGATGAGTCACTTTACTAGCATCATTGAATTACCAGTGATTTCTGTGATCCATCTCGTCCAAGACATTTGTAGCCCGTAGCTTCCCCGTCCCTTTTATATGATTACTGCAACAGTTCACTCAAATCACAAGTTATTTATGTCTTTTTCCGGTAAATTACCTTCATTATAGAACTGCAATTACCGCTAGTTCATTTTATCTCGCGTATCGTTAAATTTTATCCTTTGACTCGTGATTTTACCAATAAGAAAGATATATATTCACAGTGCATGTGATTCTGGTCTGCGATATTAGTTTCGTTACCTCTTGGACACAAGGTTATCATGGTGAATTAGCTAATGCTCTTCGACTTCATTTATCTTACAGTGACCTGAAATCTGTTAGAATAACGCGTATCATGGCCAATGTCATAGATAGACATTCTCGATGGCCCGTAAGTCGAGAGACATGCGTGCACTCATGGGGGTTGTGGCTACCACCAAAATATATTTGATCAAAATCTATCTCTTTATATTCACATTTATGTACGAGGTGAAATATAAAATATGAAATATCTAAAAATGATGTATCTCTTACTGCAATCATTTATGATGAATTTTAATCCATTGATGAAATAATGCGAACTAACCAAAAATATATTTGTTTTAGAACCCTGCATTCAATTTTTAAGAAAACAAGCAAAAGATCTTGATCTTTCTATAAATGTTTATCATGTACATCCTAAAAAACCAATTGCTGTGATGTCATGGATCGGAACTGAACCGTCACTACCTTCCATTCTACTAAATAGTCACATGGATGTTGTTCCAGTTTTTGCCGTAAGTATTTAATGTTTTTAATTTCGTTAATTCAAATCTTTCATTAAAATCTACGGGGAAAAATTGAAAATACTAGCTCGAATATAATTCCACGTTTACACAGCTACCATAATTTCATTAAACCATATTTACGTTTCATGAGATATAAGCGACTGACTATTAAGGTCTTTTGTAGGCTCGAAGTTTAATCGTAAAATACTAATTTTAAAATTTTTCATTTTTTACGTCAATTGCATATCAAAATCATAATTTTGTATGATGACTTCAGGACGATTGGACATATCCTCCATTTGATGCGCACATTGATGACCAAGGTAACATATTCGCTCGTGGAAGCCAAGATATGAAATGTGTTGGAATTCAATACTTAGAGGCTATTCGTCGAATGAAACTGGAAAAAAAACATTGTAAAAGAACTATCCACATATCTTTTATGCCAGAAGAGGAAGTCGGAGGAGTTTTAGGAATGAAAGATTTTGTTCACACCCAACATTATAAATCTTTAAATATTGGTTTTGCTCTTGATGAAGGTGTTGCGAATCCAAGCGAAAGCTATTCATTATTTAATGGTGAAAGAACAATATGGCATGTTACAATTCATTGCCCTGGAAATCCTGGACATGGTTCTTTACTTTTGGATAATACTCCAGGAGAGAAACTACGTATTATTCTCGATAAAATGATGGACTTCAGGAAAACTCAACAGGATAAACTTTTAAATTCAAAGTTACAATTAGGAGACGTAACTTCGATAAATTTAACTAAAATTAAAGTGAGTTCAAAAAAATTTAAACAATAATAGTAATAACAAATGGCTCAAGCCGTTTTAAACAAAGCCGCTCTGAAATGCGATTAGAAGTACTTGAACGATGGTTAAATGAGAGTTAATTACCTACTCATTTTTGGTTAATTATATAAACATAAACGTATTGTAAGAGTAATAAGTATTGCTTAAACTTTCGTATCTTACAGGGAGGTATACAAGCTAACGTTATACCAAATAAAATGGAAGCTACGTTTGATATCAGATTGGATCCTGAAATAGATCCCATTAATTTTGAGTCAACCTTGAAAAATTGGTGTAAACAAGCTGGAAATGACGTTTATTTTACGTTTGATGAAAAAAATGAAGTTGTGAAATCAACCAAGTTAGATGATTCAAATAATTTTTGGAAAGCTTTCAAAAGCACTTGTGATAAACTTGAAATTAATCTAGAAATTGGCATATTTCCTGGAGGAACTGACAGTCGCTACATTAGATCAGTAAGGATTATTCATCTCATTTACATCCTCATATTGCACTTATCTATTTCAAATAGAACTATCTTAATTATCATACAAACTTTTTCATACCAGTGACCCGAAAGAAACTATTTTCCTGCCACTACGCAAAGCGAGAAAAGCTATTTTTCATACCAGCAGCCCGAAAGTGTTTACTTCCCTGCCGCAAGGCTGCGCAAAGCTGGAAGAGCGACTTTGGGCCACTGTGCATGAAAAATAGTATTTGTACTTATGTAGCGTCGTCTTCGCCTCGGATAATAAATTACACGAGCTCTGAGACTTTCCAGTTTTTCCCTCTCTATAGGTGCAAAATATACTATTTGAACCACTTATTAAGAAAAATAGTTCAAGACCTAAGCCGCGAAAAAAGAAAGCCCCAGAACAAGTGCTTATCGGTTTAACCTCTACCGCTGATTACAAGTGCCCTGAGACTTTTTCGCGGCATGGCGTAGTAATATACTATTCTAGACGTGTCCAATTTTGAATTATAAATGAGTATGAAATCTTATAAGTCGGCACTCAAGCGCAGAATGGTATCATTTCAAATTCAGAGGCAAAACTTTTCCTAAATTCTATCGATAATTTAGAAATTTTTTGATCTCAGAATTTAAAAATGGACCTTGCAGCTCTGAGGCAATGATGTTGACTTATTATATTTTGTAAAAGTTTATGAAAACACTTTCATAGATTAAAATTTATAGAATAAAGTGAGTTAAAAATACTGTATTAATGGAGCTCCTATTATTTGTTTATTCTTATTAGGGATAAAAAATAGATTTCGATATAAAATTTGACCTTAACCCGTCTGATACCAAGAGACCCTATTTTTGACTTATTTTTCCACGCGTTATTTTTTCATGAAAACGTAGTTAAATTAATGTGGAAATACAATATTTTATGGGATTTTTATCGCTCTTTTCAAATCTGGCGTCAGATTTACGATATATGCAACCGTTTTAAAAATACATTTGTTTAAACAAAAAAAAACGTGGTTTTTGAACATTTTTTCTCAAAATGATCGTTTTTTTCACCACGATTACGCATTCGGATCGGCTTGAAACTCTGGATCTGGTGGCATACAGGCCTAAACTAAAAGTTAGCGGCGTTGGTTCATCCAGATTCAAGATGGCAGCCACCAAAACAGCTGATTGTAGCCGAAAATGTAAAAGAAAGCTTTGGTATTTTTTTATTCGGTAAGAATGGACTCTACGAAAAAATTTTATAAGACAAAAAGTGTTTAGAATTGATAAAAGAATACGTATAAATTTTTTTAGAATTTTTCGGATGATTTTGAAAATTTTTGGATATGGATATTTTATAAAAATTTTCAAAATCATCCGAAAAATTCTGAAAAAATTTACACGCGTTCTTTGATCAATTCTAAGCACTTTTTGTTCTATAACATTTTTTCGTACAGTCTATTTTTATCCAGTAAAAAAATATGCACTACAGGACGCTACTGTACAAGTTATAATGCTTTGGCGTTTTTTTACTCAGTAAGAATGGACTGTACGAAAAAATGTTATAGAACAAAAAGTGCTTAGAATTGATCAAAGAACGCGTGTAAATTTTTTCAGAATTTTTCGGATGATTTTGAAAATTTTTATAAAATATCCATATCCAAAAATTTTCAAAATCATCCGAAAAATTCTAAAAAAATTTATACGTATTCTTTTATCAATTCTAAACACTTTTTGTCTTATAAAATTTTTTCGTAGAGTCCATTCTTACCGAATAAAAAAATACCAAAGCTTTCTTTTACATTTTCGGCTACAATCAGCTGTTTTGGTGGCTGCCATCTTGAATCTGGATGAACCAACGCCGCTAACTTTTAGTTTAGGCCTGTATGCCACCAGATCCAGAGTTTCAAGCCGATCCGAATGCGTAATCGTGGTGAAAAAAACGATCATTTTGAGAAAAAATGTTCAAAAACCACGTTTTTTTTTGTTTAAACAAATGTATTTTTAAAACGGTTGCATATATCGTAAATCTGACGCAAGATTTGAAAAGAGCGATAAAAATCCCATAAAATATTGTATTTCCACATTAATTTAACTACGTTTTCATGAAAAAATAACGCGTGGAAAAATAAGTCAAAAATAGGGTCTCTTGGTATCAGACGGGTTAAAATTCATTTGTAAATACACATACAATTAAATAGGATCTACGAGAATCAAAATGAACTGCAAGTGGATTTTAATAGAAACTTTTAGGCCATAAAAATAATTAAAATTTCTTGCTCATTCTTGGTTTAAAACCAATTATTTCAATTAATTTAAATTTACATTATGTTTTATAGTAATCATTCATTCGTGTATTTCAGCTTGGAATTCCAGCTATAGGATTTTCTCCAATGAACAAAACAAAGATATTGCTGCATGATCATGATGAACATTTGAATAAAGAAGTCTTTTTAAATGGGATACGCATTTATGAAAAAATTATTTATGCCGTAGCTAATGTATGATTATAATTAAATGTATAAAAAAAATATTAAAGTCTCTTGTACTCAGAAACAATAAAAAACTATTATTCTATTAAAACAACCAACTGAGAGAGTGTAGTGGGAGAGAGTCGCAACGCACTAAGCGTGGTGGCCGTTACAGTGGTTATCTGAAATGAATTGGGATTTTTGCATGATTTCGAAGCATTTACATCTATTGGTCCGTAAGGCGATTTTTAAATGTTCAGAGTGTATTATTTGTGAGTGATGTATTATTAATACAAGGTTTGCAATCACTTCTTTTCCTACTGCATCGCGTTTTTTGATTTGTCACTACTTAACCGTCATTATAAGGGTTTGTTTTAGCGACTTTTTGTAGAAAGGTTAGCTTAGTCGTTAATTAAATAAAAAAGACAATGAACCTTTCTCGTCAAATTAAGCGATTATTCATTCTTCAATAAATTAAAGAGCAAGTTTTTTAGTATTTTCCGGAACACATCGGAGATCATATCACATTATGACCTTGTGCAAATCACAGTAGGACTCGCACCGTGCGATGCGAATACGCGCCGAGTCCATGTTTTCACATTGGGAGCATCGTATTTAGACCCATGCGTAAGTCACGGAGCGGGGGAGCTTGAACGGTTACTGCAGGAGCCGCACCTCAAAGTAGGTCAGCAGTATCCGTCCGATTGTGAATTAACACGTGAAATCTATTCTCCGCGCGAGTGAGAATTTCAAAGTTTTGAAGTACGAAGCACTAGGTCATAATCTTATGACTGTGAGACATTCAGCTCGGTAAAAAAGGCAACGAATTCTCGGTACACATCTTGTGATGGCAGTGAGAGTAGGCGTGGTCATCTATGAGAAAGCGACCACCGCATCTCCATTATAATAATAAATACAACTTGAAAAATTTTGGCCAAACGTTGCTGATGGGTTTACAAAAACCACAACTAGTCCTATATATTTGCTCACAAACTAATCTGTGGTTGTACAGTAAGAATGTAATAACGAGATATAAGAAGATATATTACAACACACCACGTAAGAATTATACGTGATAAGTCAGGGCATTTTAAATTACGCTTGATGAAATGATTCGTTTTGTTTTCTTAATAGTTACTTTACTATACATCATAAATGTATTTCATCAATTTTAAATGAACATTGTTGCTCGACAATTTACAATGAAAAAATCCAAAGATACGAAAAAGCGTATTTCTACGTGTACAAAGAAAAAATTATATAAGTTTCAGGCTGCAGAGGAAAACAATCATTTAGCGAAGAAGAAGCCCCAACCCGTTGGCAATATTATTCCTTACACTGATAGCAGAAAAATATTCTCGGAAACATAGAATTAATCTAATAAGTCTATTATCAAATGCGGTGAATCCATATATTTCATACGCTTAAGTAACATCAAATAACAACAAAAATGTTAATGTCTCTAATGTAAATCAAACAACAATGGTTTCACGAGAACTAAATACTAAAATAAATAAATACCAAGACTAAAATCGAAATTATTATGTTACAACTTCTCCAAAGAATTTATAGCGCACGGAAACTCTTGAATTGCCTCATAAGCAAGATATAATTTAGGGAATAGACACGTCGACAACATATTAAGATTATGCAGAAACTTTAGCCGACGTATCAGGAACAATTTTTCAGTAAAAAAGTTTATTATATTTTCTCCAGCATTCCAAGGATTATAATCTTATCATGTTTTGCGTTCTTCTTGTTGCGTTGATGCATAAATAGTCAATGTCAAAGTCAACATTTTCAATAAAAATAAACAGAACGAACATTTTTAAAGAAATCAATATACAACTGTGTTTAAATATATAGGAATTAAAAAACTATTTATAAAAATGATTACTAACTATATCAGGTTTTCGCAAGTAATCAAACAAAAAAATTTAATTCGTAAAAGACCACATACCACACATAAATTTTAATTTTCAGTCTATTTTCTGACTTAAAAGATTAATACAAAAGATCTGTACAAAAAATTGAGTAAATGAAAAATATTTTTCAAGATTTCTGAAATATCTTTGAAGTTTGAGGGCATATTTCATTAAGTAAATACCCAAGTAAGTGTAAATTCTTAACTTTACAAACATATTATTTTCTAAATTTTCATCCAAAGCGTGTCTTGAAAAGTTTTATATTGACCTTCACTATGCTCTTGTTCAGGTCCCTATAAAAACTTTTGAAAAAATGTTTATAAGATGTATTACAATATAATTTAGAAGTTTTTATTTACAATAACTGTACTGGTTGTATTAGAAAATAAATAAAACTAGACACATGATTCGAAGTATAGTAAAAATTTGAACATTTTTTCTTATTTTCTAATACAGATTTGAAAATTCATTTTATTTATAGATATATTATTATATGACAGTTACCACTAAGATAATGTTATCAAATAATGAGTAAATGAAAATAATTTGATACATGAAATAAGCGTAAAATAATCGTAGATGATTTAAAATATACTAGGAGGAAAATTGCTTCAAACACTAATCATGTTCAATATTTTCTTAGACGCGATAAACTTACATTTGGTATCAGTAATGAGAAATTTGAAATATATTCATTTGATTGTACAATATATATATATATATTTTTTCGTATATGAATTAGGCTGACTAACAAAAATTTGTTTTTAATTCACTTAGATGTTCTTTCAAAGTTTTCAAAAAAATTGGTGACAAATTCGGTCAAGTATGTATAATTAAAACACGTGTCGCAAGGCGAACGTAAATTAATAACATAATCTATTTTCTTTCTATACCGATTCCGGAAACATATTTAATTTTAAATCCTTGAAAATTTCATCCAAGAACCATTTAACAATCCATAACGCCCTATATTTTTTTCGTCAGAGTTTTATGAAATACTAAAAATTTCAAAAAATGATTAGCTGTAATGTAATTCTAACGCACCCAAGAAATATTCTTTTTTTTCTCTTATAAAAATACATAACTCGCAATTTTTCCGATAATTTGATATGATCTACGGACGTGTTTTAATTAAATCTTTAACCACCTAGCGGCGCGTATTTTAATTAAGTTTGCCCAAATTGTTAACAAAATTTTTCTCATGTTTTGAAAACTTCGAAGGATTTTCTAGAAAATTAAAAGGAAATTTTCTGTTCGTCAGTTAGATGATATATATAAATGTAAGAGATATATATTTATATTAGGTAGATATTTATATATATACATATATGTGACTGACTTTTTGTCAAATCGACCGCACCAAATTCTTTTTTTTATAAGCCATGAGTTACACTTCGTTTTTTATGTCATCAATGCCCTAGACGTTTGTTATGTTTTTTTTTTTTTTTTTCTTAAAACCCTCATGTAAGTTTCTTAAAAATACATTTTATGATAACAGTAAAATTGAACAATTTTTGCTTGAATTGAGTTTGTTTGGATATTGATTCTACAAACAATTTTTAGTACTTTACGATACTAGTGGCATAAGTAACACTTTTTGGCATGGCGTAGTTTAGGGCCCGAGCGCAGCGAGCCGAAAAGTGTCCCCTATGTCACGAGTATCGTACATTTTATAGCACTGAGCTAAGTTCACATTTATGCCACCGAAAAGCGTGCCATAAATGTGAACTTATGCCACGCAGTGATATAAAATCATTTATTTTTAAATTGTACAAATTATTAGTGGAAAAATGATCCAAAGTCAATATTTTGAATTACAATATTTTGATAATGTGTATTTTGGAAAAAATTTTATCACAGTGATCCAACTAAATCTGAACTGTACTAATCTGCTAAAAAAATATATCCAAATGATTTATAATAACGCTAACAATCTTAAAAATGTTATTCTTGGATCGAGAATCTAATGGGCTATTTAAGAACTTTTTAAAACTTCAAATTTGGGTTGCTAAAGTTGATAGAATTTTGAAGAAATTTTGGGCACTGGAGACATGAAAAACAATATATGTTCATTATGTTTGCTGAACAAATTTTTCGGCCCAGTCAGTTGGACAGAAAATTAGCCATACTTATAAATTCATGCCTTACACGAAATTCAACAGTTTATAAGTTGTTTGTTCTACTGATAATACAGTAGAATAAAAACTAGACTATAAAATATTCTGACTATTATTTAATTTATGATGTTTTTAAGTAATGTAATAACCCAGTTATTTTTAGCGTGAAACCTGGGAATTTTTTGAATTTGGATCAGGAACTGAAAGTAATTCAACCGATGTCTCAGCATGCATTATTGACGATTTTAATATTCGAAACTGTTCCTTGTCACTTTTTATACTCGATACATTAGATAGAATGTCAGTTTCATTAGTTACTGTGGGTGGGTAAGGATTAGACCCTGGAGGAGCTTGAGGTAATCTGTTTGTTTGATTAGTTTTTACAATATTATATCCATTCTCTGAAGATGGAGTACCTTGATGTTTTAAGAGTAAAGTTTGATCAAGAATGCTTTCTTTTTCGTTGCACGATACCATGTTAGAAAATTTTGATGTTTGTTCGTCAACATGATTCGTTGAATCCATATTGTTGATTTGTATGCAGTTTGAATTCCAAATATCTTCTTGATGATAAGCATCAACATCTGAAAAATCTGATTAACATATTGATTATACTTAATATCAATTAATTATATATATGGAAGTGTGATTTAGTCAACTAATTATTAAATAAGGGTTTATTGTCGATCGATTAAAAATAATAGTATGTACGTTGGGTATTATTACGAATTATTATGTAGTAATACGTTACTAGAAATGATTTACGTTACGAAAATTTTTTCACTTTATAGGTGCGTATACTATTTTTTATCCCAGCGTGCGGGAAATAAAAACTTCCCGCATCTCGTGATAAAAAATAGTATACGTTACTCGTGCTCGTGGTGATTCTCGCACGAGTGACGTAATGTACTATTATGCAACAAGTGCCCAAAATGCGTTTTTGCGCACAGTGTGTGCACGAGGGCTGGCGTCAGTCAGTACGAGGGCAAAGAAACAAGACATGAGTGCTGGCTACGCCGGCACGAATGGGTTGATTTGTGAGCGCGAGTATTGACTACGCCGGCACGAGTGGCTTATTTTGCGCACACTGTGCGGAAAAAGCTGGGCACTTGTTGCATACAAAATTTTATGCAATAGAAAGCGAAAAGTGCATAAATGACAAGCATGGCATTTCACAAAATACCCGAAATTTTATCGCACACCAGTGCCCAAAAACGCCTTTTGGGCACTTGTTGCATAAATAACTATTTAAGGTGTTTTAAACATTTGATGTCATAGTAATAGAACGACATAATTATTATACATACGTTATATACTACTCGTTTGTGAAGTAAAGAAAATGAAATATCTCAAGAAACAAGGTACATACCAATATTTTGCAACGGTTCTCCATTTGTTTTACTAGAAAATAATCCAAATTCACGACGTAGACGTCTAGTGGGATTTTCACGTTGTCTTTCGACTAAAGTAGGAGCAGCTGACCATCCAATAGTATCATCATCTATACCTGAAAAAAATTTTAAATGATAATAAGTTATAAGAGATGATGTTAGTATACAGAGTCGACTCCTCGTACGCTCGTACAACAAATTGCTTAGTGCCTCAGATAAGTCAATCAGGCGATATGCTAAGTAATCGGTACCAGAAACCACTGATACTAAAAGGTTTTTTGATAAATAATTGCTAACAGTACAAAAAACCATTGTCAGTAACAGCATACTCGCAGTAAATTTTAGTTTTCACGTAACTTTATGAAAGATCAATTCTCTTAGAAAATGGATATACAATTCATCAAATGAAAAATGACCTTTGTAGATGATTTTCAATTCTTTATAAATATTAAACTAAAAAAAATCCCATTTTCAATTTCATAGAATTTTCATAGAACCAAAAATGTTCAATTTACACAGAGTACTGATGGTGATTTCAAAAGAACATCATAAGAGCACTTGACTTTTTCGAATGTAAAACCGTTAACAATCATGAGTCTTTTCTAAAAAAGAAATATATGTTGAAACTTACTTTTCTTCTCGATTGTTTTATCTTCATTTTTTAGTAGAGAATCACTTGCATTATCTTCATCAAAACTTTTAACAGAGTTTGGACAAAAAGTGTCAATAGCTTCATTCAAAAGTGGTTTCTTACTTGAAGAAACATTGGATTCAGGTAATAAAACCTTAACTGTCTGTTTCCGTTGTCGATATTCAGATATAGACAGCTATAACAAAAAAGGCAGTGCATGTTAAAATTAGAATAATTACAAAACTACACTATAAAAAATTATTTGTACTTTGTAACTATTATGGGGATATTGAAGCCAACCAAAAATTAAATTTTTAATTGAAATATTGAGAGAAATATATTTAACAATAGATTTAATTTTTGTCGATTTGAATATTTTAAAAAAACGTAGAAATAGCGTAGGGTTGATTCTACTCAGGAAAATCTTTGCTTTTGGAAAAATAAAATTAATAATTATCATTGTTTTCTAATTCTAAAATTTGGAGTAGTATCTCATTTACCTTTCTTTTTTCTGCTACTTTCAATGACTCATTTTTACTGAGTACGTTCGGAGCAACAAGATTTTTAGGTACTGCTGTTCTAGGATCCTTAGGTGTCTTTTTAATTACGGGTCGTATTTCTTGGTTTTCAAATTCTAAACGTTGAGGTGAAATTAGTGGCTTGGGAGTTTCGATGTTCGCTGCCATAACTTCTTTGATATCATTACACTTTTCATAGCATTCTCGATGAGATTGGTGTGATGGGACAGTTTCAGAACTTTCAACTTGTATTTCTAATAATTCACGCAAGGCTGATGAAATATCTTTCATGTTTTTACAATCAATTTTGTCATTAGTATTTGAACATTGTATTAAATCTTGTCTTATATTATCAGCACTTGTTTCAGTTGATTTTCTCTTAAACTTTTTTCTAATCCTTTCGCTCAAAGGAGGAATAGGCAAAGTTTGATTTTCGTCTTTCGGAACAATTGTTTCACAATTGAAAGTATTGTTAATAGTGGTGGACTCTTCTAAATCCTCGAACACATTCGAATTTTCTGAATAATCAAAGTTAATTTTTTTTTCATCTTCTACCTGCAATTCCTGCGATAGCTGAAGTTCAGATTTTTCCTTTTTGATCTCACAGCCCTCCAACGAAATAAGTTTATTATTTAATTCTTGTTTTTCATAAGTTTTACTATCGTGTTGCACATAATCGGTTGATAAAATCGATTTTTCAGAACTTTCCGTATCAGTACTAAAATGATTTAGTCGAAGAGTATGAATAAAATCATTTTTTGCATCTTCTTTTTTTACGACCTGAGTTTCTGATTTTATATTCGTTTTGTTAAGATTATTATCACATTTCTGTATATTATTTATCGTTGAAAGCTCATCGCCTTCATGACATTGAGGCTTGACATCGTCGTTTTTATTGACATCAAAAAAAATCGATTGGTCAATGCTATTGCAACTATTAAATTCCAATTCAGTGGTGCATTTTTCTTTCTTAATTTTTTCCTGATTTTCATTGCAATCACCCTAAAATAAATAAAATTATTATTATTGAGGGAAATCATGTCTTAAATTTAAAAATATGCTAGTACCACGAGCCGTAGTACCATCATAGTCCAAAAAATGAAAATGAAATTAAGTTCATACGCTTAAGATGTACATTGAAAAATGATAATTCCTAAAATTTAATCCTTGTAGGTTACATTTATGGATCTATAGAGGCTCTAAGTTAGATTTTGTTTTTTTTTTAGATTTTATTCTGATTTGCTGGGGTGAATAAAAAAAAATGGTTGAATAATAATTTCTGAGGTGGAATTATTCTTTTAAAACGAATTGATATGTTTCTTCTCAAGTTGTATATACAAATTTTAAACCCCGCAAAAATAAAAAAATAGCACGAAACTCTAAAAACAAATTCGTTCATTTTCTCCGATTAGGCCAATATTGAAAATTAATTTTCCAAAGTCTGAAATACAACTTTCCTAAAATTAAGTGAGTGGCACGCAATAAGTCAAACTGTGTCTTTCGGCTGGCGAAAGATTAACTTTCAGGAAAAATTTAATTTTAGTCTTCGAAAGAACATACACGGAAAAACTTTCAAGCTAAAATTCTGAAAACGAATCACACACGAGTTTTACTGAACTCATTTCGTCACCAGCACTGAGCGCGATTCAGCCTCGAGACTGAGCGTGAATCACGCTGGGGCCTTGTCGCTCAGCTTACGATCATAGTTAGTACTAGACAGAACTCGAGGGCGTTTCGCACTCGAGACTGAACATGAATTGTGCTCGACTCAGAGCGCGAATGTATCTCTATGTATTCGAGCGTGAAACATGGTCAAAAGTTTTTCCGTGTACAATGTATGTCAATTTTGATCAATTTGACAGACATTGGAAATATATTTTATTTTAACATAATATTTGAGGGGGTTTTAAAGCCATGAAAATAATTTTTTCAACAAATTTGAAGACTCTTAAAGAGTACTTTACTCAATACTTTATACTCAGTAAGTGCTCTTTAAAGATACTTAGTTTCTTTCATTTTTTGGACAAGCAAGGTTGACGTGATACATTCCATATTTATAAATGTATAATATTTGACATTACCTTTTTGAATTGTTCCACGTGATCGTCATTGTGATCTGTGATTGGAGCAGTTTTTGGTAATGAGTAATTTTCTGTTAATAAATTTTCTCGGGCTGTTCGTCTTTTCTTTGGTGGTGCGACCATAAGAGGCGAACTATTAGATTCAATGCTTTGCTGTGGTGATTCAGATATAGCTTGACGAAGCCAACGCTTTTTAGCTGAAACGCTGAGTGGATCAATGGTTTGATTTGATGATTGAAGATTTTGAGAAGAATCGAATACTTTTACACTTGGTTCTAATGTTTCTGCGAGTTCAGCCAAAGAAGCTAAATTTTGTGTTTCATGATAATTTGGACTTAATACCTCTACAACTTCATTTTTTTTATCTCTAATTGATGATTCCAAAAGCCAATCGTTTATACATTTTTTTTTATTATCTACAATTTTATTTTCTGAACTTAAAGGTTTCACGGCAGAATCCGCTAATGAATAAGTCGACGATACTGATGTTGGCGAAGAATTAAGTTGATTCATATTTTCCTCAAAATTTTCATGTTTAAATTTGTCGCGAAACAAACGTTTTTTTGACGATTTTAAATATCTTTCATTTTCAACTTTTATTATTGAATCCGTTAAAGCATTATGATTATCATTTTTCAAATTATCATCAGACAAAATTTCAGCGGTTGGTTTCATAATGTTCTGTTCATTTATATTGCTGTGTTCGTCTCCAGATGTTAGATCTGATTCTGTTGAATTGAGATTTTCATTTGAAATGAAATTAGTACTAAAATTCTTCCGAGATTTCTTTTTACTTCGATGAGATACAAGATTTGGTAAGCCAGCAACATTTTTACAATCACTATTTTTACCTTGAGAATGAAATTCGATTGGTTTTTTTCTACAAATTTGGCGAGTTAAAGCATCTTGCTTTCGTTGTTCTGCTTTTTCAAGACGTTCAAACGCTTTCATAATAGCTTCAAGTTTGCGTTCTTCCCGAGTCATTTTTTTTTTATGTTTAGTATCAATCGTCATTTCTGGTGTATTAAGACTGATTTTTAATTGCGAATTTGTAGTCAATTTACGATTGCGATTAATTTCATTTCCTATAATTTTACTCTTTTTTGTGAACATGTGTGCATTTCTGTGGCTACTTTTTTCCTTGATTTTATCAGACCTTATAGTTTGACGCATTTGTTTTTGAATCTGCCTTGAAAAATTATTCTTCCATTCCTTTTTACACAAATTCCTAATATAAAAAATATTAGAAAATTAGTAAATATCAGTTTTCTCGAGTAATGAATTGTAAAATATAATGTTTTGTGAAGAATATGTGTATATTACTACGAAAAAAATATTTAATTTAGGTAAAAACAAGATCAATTTCTGTACAATGACAAATATACCGATAAGTAACTCTGAACTTACTTATTAAAAAAAGTATTCTTTAGTAAAAAAGAGTTAGTTTTAGGAATGATAAAAATAGAGGATAATTGTATATTATTGCTGCAGAGTACGAGTCATTAGCTGAACACGTGTTCCGGAGCTTTCTTTTTTGCGGCTTAGGCGTTTGTATGATATTTTACTCAGCGGCGCAAAAATCACTCTTCCCGCTTAGCACAGTGGCAGGAAAGTAGTCACTTTCAGGCTACTGGTATGAAAAAGATATTACCTAAACATTTTAATACTTACTCTTGATTATTATCTAGTTTTTTATAAAAAGTATCATCCGTTTGAGTTTGTCTTAAGCTACATTTTTCAAAATTATTGCACGCACATGATATCTGTCTTGAAGTGGTATTAAATATTTCGGAATAAGCTTCGTATCCATCATGTCCTATTGTGATTTCTGTATTTTTTTGGATTGGCGAAATAGCAACAATATATAAGTGCAATAGTCTTTTTCTAATTTTGTGTTTTATTTGAGCATTTGGAATGCAACTGCGACGAATAAATCTAGCTTCATTTCCGTAGGTTTGCATATCAACGCATACTTCGACGTCGTCTTTTTGAAAATGATAGAAAAACATAAAAGGTAAAGTATCGGGATTTGGTTGATTGTAACCACGTGGATGCAGATTATCTAATTCCGACTTTAGTATATATTTTCCACATAGTTCAATTATTGGAGTACCCTCTTCCAAATCCTGATTAGCTTTCAAACACTGAAAAATAAAAATATGATTCGATTTTGTGACAAAAAATAAGAAGCATCACAAATTTATTAAAAACTTCATTTAGTTTTCTTTTTTATTTTAATTTATGACTCATAAGAATGTTAAAAAATTCCTAATCCAAATTTCATTGTGAACTAGCTGTATTAGGTTTTACTCCATATAGTTGAATACCGTTGGCCAAGTTCACAACGAGAACATATAACTCCAAGCTTTAGGTTCTACTTCAATTTTGCTAGATGCCGAAAACTGAGACATAGAGTTCTTTTCATTTCTCATATCCCACCCCTAAATTCTGTGCACGTTGACTTACAACGCGAAGCTACACAGGTACGAGCCGCCCAGGTACGTCGTTCGACTCTCACAAGACGCCGCCGAATAAGGTAAACGTATATCAAATTCACTCATACAACAACCCCCATTCAAACACGAACACAGACACTTGCAATGTCTGACCAGGCCTCTTTTTAGAGTATTAGCGAACAAGTACGCAAAACACCAACCATCATAATTCAAGATCACTAATTGTACAACCGATACAATATTTCAACTTAATAAAATTTGGCCTTTTACCGTAATTACACTGATATTCACAAGTCATTTAAATATAGAAGAAATACCTGTCCTCAAGTGAACGAACCTACTTTCATGAATAATTCCGAGCTCTCGCGAATACAAATTGGGCTCAACGTCGCACAAGTAAAGTTTGCGTTGACTGCTTATTGGTCCTCCAATTTTTTGTGCCAAGCCAAGATTGCAACCTTTATTTACCTATCGCTAACGATTCCAAGTTGTTCATCAAATCTTAACATGGCCTCAATGTACACCATGAGGTACCGGCTGCACGGTAACGATATAATGTCATTCTCACCGGCTAATATAATAGTATTAATGGAAAATTTTGCGAAATTTTCGTTTATATTGCCATGGACCGATGACAAAGTACGGTGGGATTGTGAATGCTGATAAATATATTGCCCCGTTGCGAAAGAGTAACTAATTGTGAAGAAAGCTGTGATGAAGTATTTTAACGGATATTTTAGCTGTAAAAAGAAGTACTCTTAATTTATTGCACAATATATAATACTAAAAAACAAGGGCGTAAAAGTAAAGAATGTCTCAAACCACATGTATTGTCACCTGAGGCGAAGCCGGGGGCTGATATCACGAAATATCACAAAATAACCCAAAATAACCCATTAAAATGATAAAGTAATATTTATAGATAGCTAAAAACATTAAAAAATTTAAAAAAAATCGACGGAGATTTTGTCCCCGAGATTTAGTCGCGGAGACATTGTCGCTGGAGATTTTGTCCTCCTTTCTTCTCTCATTTTACCCAGGTTGTGTATTGGATTATTCTTCATGCCAAGGTATGAAGAAAAATTATTTTTGAAAGTAGTTTATTGAACTGTGTACTTACTTTAAAAGTTCTTCCTTCAAAAGTTGAAGAAGAAAGAATTACATTAGAATCGCTAAGATTTTCGTAATCTATTTCACTTTGTGAGTTATCCGTTTTGAAACCAGAAATTTTCATTTTCAGTTCTATACTGTATTGATTTATTGTTGCCTTTTTATACGTATCAATCGATGGGTTTGATATCTCCTCTTCATCAGACTTTATATTTGATATAACATTCAACTTTTTGCTTTCCGAATTTACTGATTTTTCTCTTTTAAATTTTTTGAAATGTTTATGCCTGTTTTGATAAGGTTTTAAATGGCATTCTAAAACAAAAATAGTATGAATCTTTAGTACAATTTAATTTTATATATTGACAATGAATACAAAATACTTCCATACCTTCATCTGAATTTTTCCTCTCAAGCGAAAATAATTCAATCTTTTTAGAACTATCAGACGCTTTATTTTCCACATGTGAATTGTCAGTAGAACCATCTGACGAAAGGTCTGTAGTAAAAAGATCTTCACGTTTTCGCATTTGCAAAGATCGAGCGCGAGATCGGTCTACTTTTCTAGGGCAACAAACTTCACATAAATACTCATCAGGAATGTTTGATTTATCAATTCCCATGCAATCCACGTGTTGCCAGACGCTGTAAAAGGGAATTTTCGAGCTCATTAATCGTATTTATGAAATAAAAAAATTTATTATTGAATTACTTTGAAATTTTTTTGAATGTGTTTCAACTAAGTAAGTAAATGGAAAATTAGTTACGAAAAAAACTTTAAAAGCATATTTCAAACACAAGTTAAATTATCCAACAGAATTTCTATCGTAATCTTATAATTAGTAAATACTTGTAACAAATTTGTTTTCTCATAATTGATGGAGGATAGATTTCATTGACATTGATGGTAAACCCGAACTCAAACTATTTCATTTTTTGCATTATACACTACTTGATAATCCCACTAATATAAATATTATTAAAACTCGATTAAGAAATTGACACTGTGAAACGTATATGAAAGGTATTAGTTCTAATATAGCTGTCATCGATACTTTGTCGGCAACACTGACAACCTCCACCAAAACCTACCCAAACATTATATAAACTGCATTGACCAATAAATATTGTTTCAAATAAATGTTTATTTTGTTATTATTTTCATTTTTATGCTCTAGTATTTTCAACTTAGAAAAATTAATAACTTTAATATAGAAATATTGGCAATCAAAATATAATATCAACGCTTAAAAATAATGTATAGTATCAAGGGTAACTTACCAACATCGATCGCAACATATCATGTAACCATCATCATGCTCGAAATCACTAAAAATGATTGGTAACATTATTACATTTGAATATGTACAATTTTTAATGAAAAATATTGTTTTACCATATACACCGAGTATTGCCGTCACCACCTTCTTCCCCCTCCCCTTCGGGAGCAGTTTCGGTTTCTTCTCCCTCTGGTTCAACTTCATATCCGAGTTCGATACTAATAATACTACTTGCATCGTCTTCAGTTGAATTTTTTATATTAGCTGCAAATTAAAGTAAAAAAATTTTTACAATATATGTACAGTAAAAAATCAGTTGTATATTAAGTATCATCTGAATAAGAACTATAGGTTTTGCAGGTAATAGCACAAACAACAAGTACCAAACTTCATTAACTAAAAAAATTCTCAATAAGAATAAAAATCCTACTACAACGAAGATCTAATCAGATCTGATTTGGTGGTCCATATCAAAAGTCAACAAAACATAATTACCCTTCTTATTAACCTACTGGTCATTAATATAAGAAAAAAGGGCCTACTTTTTTTCATAAAGTTCATAGATCCTAACATCCAGGACTCATTACAAGCCGTAATCGGAAACATTTTTAAAGGAGAATAATAAAGGAAATATGTTGTCGGTTTTGACAGACTGAAAAGTATAGCTCTGGTTGCTGTTATGCAGCTACATGAGTAAATGTACTGGATCTCTTTATTCACATATTTGACTTTGTGAGTAACTAATCGTAGTGAAGGAAAACGAAAAAAAAATTGAGCAATAGTGAGTGGGTTATCATGAAGTCATTACACGTAATAATCAAGCGATCTAATAAGAGAATTAAATTTTTTTATTTTTTTTAATATATTTGAAAATGTTATAGTAAAAAACTAATAAAATAAATTAAACCTCTCTTGAATAATTATAAAGTGTATTATAAAGTTTAATTGTTAATATTTAATGAATGTTACCTCTATCAGATGAGTCAGATAAATCTTTGTTTGTTTCATGCGTAGCATAGTTAGATTCAGTGGACGATATGGTGCGAGGAAGAGGTGCTCCATAATTATGATCCTGCAATATACTCTCTAGGTGCTGAAATTCAAATAAGTTTAATTATTAAAAAAAATAAAAACATTTTTTTTTAACTCATACACCCTCTTATATAATGATTAACGACGAAAAGGCTTGATTATTTTGTTGGCTTCTAAAGCGATTTGTTCCGTAGTTTTGGACCTCAAAAAATGGTAACACGGCTAAAAAAAATCGAAAACTTGCTTTTTTTGCTCAAAAATCAAAATTTTGAGCTCAGTTTTTAATCGAGTTGACTCAGTTCTTCAAATTTTAAAAATTTGGAAATTTTGTCCTCTTTAAATTCATATATGTTAAGATAAGATTCGAGTTAATGTCGAGTTACCAGTAGTAGATAGATAGATAGATTCTGGTCGGTTACGGCTTCAGCCTACTTGGCCTAGAAACCGGGGCCACCCACTCACCACCTATGTGTGGGGCTGTATTGCCACACCATTTCCTACCTCTATCTTTCCTGCGTGCACTAAGTGAACGTCTCCGGTACTAGCCATGTCAGTAAGGCTGACACTCTCTGCGCCTACTGGCGCATCGGTGCATAGTTCACTCCGTACAGCCTCTTTCCGGATATTTCGCCTTGTACACTGGCGACAATCCTCGCCGGTTAAGCCGACGATCTCTGCCGCAGCATCGGGTTGAGGCAATTAGCTTCACCGAGCAGCCCCTTGGGGTCAGCTCTGCGCCGGTAAGGCCGACGTTCCCTGCCAATGGCATCGGGTCCGCTAATCCGCTACCTACCTCCTTGAGTTACCAGTAGTATTTGAGAAATTTATATTTATTTAAAAATTTCTGAAAAAATTGACTGTTTGAATATGTACCAGTTCCACAGTAATTTTTCTATCGAAATCTGACAAACACCATAGCAAAGTACTCTTTTGAACGAGTAATTTAAAAAAAAGGACCTCTCTACGATTTCTTTAACGCCCTGTAGGTCGATTTGTGTACGCAAAATGCCCAGAAAATCGTCTTGATTTCAGCTAAACGAGGGATTTTACGTACTTTAAATGGTACCTTCAAAACGACCTACACGGCGTTAAAAAATCGTAGAGAGGTCTTTTTTTTAAATTACTCGTTCAAAACAGTACTTTGCGATGGTGTATGTTAGATTTCGATAGAAAAATTACTGTGATACTGGTAAACGTTCAGTCAATTTTTTTCAGTAATTTTTAGTGTCACGCTCAAATACTACTGGAAACTCGACATTAACTCGAATCTTATCGTAATATATATGGATTTAAAGAGGACAAAATTTCCAAGAAATTAAAAAAATCGTGTTGATACGATAAATCTAGCCCTAGATAGAAGCATTTGAAAACCGACAAAATTTCGATGGATTTTTTTGTTGCGATAATTTTGTTGCCGAGTGTGTTTTCGGTAAATATTTTAATCAATTTACTTATTAGTCATTTAAGGAGGCTGTAGCGAAAATGAAAAAAACTTTAGATCGAAGTGAAATTTAAACCAATGATAGTTCATTAATTTACAAGATTTTTGGTAAAAAAAAATTGGGGTTTCCATGCAAATTTGGGAAATGAAGAAATTTAAAGTTTTGGCTATTTAACATTGAATCAAATGTGAAGTGGCAGTTTTTAGTGTACTGTGAGCTCAAATCACTTTAGAAGTTAATGAAATTAAAATATGTAATAGGAAATTTCATTAGCTTTCGAATGATATAATTATAAATGGGCGTTTCCAGGCAAATAAAAAAGATATTAAGAGTCCAACACATTTTCCCTACGTTCTGTTATACTAACGCTGTACGCTGCGTAACTCATTTAGCCTTGCACATACAGCGTTCCAATACAAAACCACCTTGCATCGCTACAGCCTCCTTAATTCATTATAAAATTCTTTATTTACCTTGTGAAGAAGAGGCATCTTTATCATTAATTAGTTTGATTAGGATCAATTACAATTCTCACGCCGGAAAATCCACATTTTTTTTCGCCTTGATTCCATTGAAAATTCTGAAAATAAAATATTCAATTAATATTTCATGGAGCTAGTATCAATTTTTATTTCAAATTTTAATTTTGGTACAAGTACTTTAATTTGATTAGCATGCTATACTAAGCACTCTCTAGTTTTCTTATCCTTAAAACAACAAACACGTTTTCGAAATCATCGCAGCGAAAAGGAATATTGCGCATGCGATTTTGCACAACAAAACGTAGTACCTGCATGTCGTATAAACTAATCTGAAGTACGTAGTATGAAAATTAGTGAGGCGCTGAATCATATTTTGACGTATGAAATCGTTATTTGCTCCAAGAAATAAAGCAGGACCAAAAGTGATGCTACATTAATAGGTGATTTCAATCTGTATGTAAGATGTGCGGTAACAATTCTATTGACATTTTTTTCTTATTATCGAATCACTCTTACCCAAACATGAATTGGGAGCAATAGGTTCTCTAATTTAAAAAAAAAGCTGCATTATATTTTGCTTCCAAGCTTTAAATAGTATTTTACGGTACAAGTGCCATAAGTAACACTTTTTGGCACGGCGCAGTTTAGGTCCCGAGCGCAGCGAGGGTCCTAATACCTGGGCCGAAAAGTGTCCCCATGGCACGAGATCGTACAACAATATTTTTTGAAATGCCTTTCACTCAGGTCCATTTTTAAATTACACATTGAAAATGTTATTATTTCGATCATAAATGTCCCTATTGTGACATCACTTTGACCGTCAGAGGGCAGCACTGTCGTGGGTACTAAAATGTGTTATCAATCGACTGCAAAAAATGGTGAGACCCATTGAAGATTGGAAATTTATCAATTAAAAATTCTTCAAGTGCCTTTTTGCAATTTGAGTGGCATTTTATCGAAATCTACCATCCAACCCAATGTATGGCTGCCAACACCACGGGACCGAACTTTTTTTTCGTGCTTTAACTATAAAATTAAATGGATAAGAAGTTAATAATAAACCTATACAAAGATTCAAGCTAAATATAGTATATATATTTTTTTATTTGCCCGAGCAACACGCAAGAACACTTAAAACGCGAACGAGCAAAAGAGACAGAGGTACATGACGCTAGTAAGACTTAGGACCTGCGATTGTTACGCTCATTTTCTCGCTCGCTTGTTTTTCACGGATTCACTTCCCCTACCCAACGAACGATAAGAAGTTTCACATCAAATAGTTTATTTAGTTAACAAGTAAGGTTAATAAATAATTTTTAAGGTGTTTTATACTTTTTATCGATAATTCTGTCATATGGAATATTCCATAACAAGCATGTGATGCTAAAAAAAATATCATTAAAACTAAAAAAGAAAGTAGTATTAAAGAATACAGTGACAACTAAAATGTTTGAAAATCTCAGCCCTCTAAGTCCATCCCTTATAAACCTATAGGAGCTCAAAGTTGAATTTATCATTTACTGATTGTTATTTAGCTTTTTTCTGGTGCAAATATGAAAAATTTTTTTTGAATCATGATTTTATATGAGATTTGATGAGGTATATAAATTGGTCCTCAAAAATCATGTTTATAATCACAAATCCCCTTGAAAATATAAAAGTAGCATAAAAGTATAAAAATAAGATTGTTCATACTACTCAAATTATTCAAATTGAAATATGTTTTTCATGGATCAAAATACACCTTTCTTTAAGTGATGTAATCAGAAAATCAATGGACACAATTTGACAGGATGTATAAAGAATCAAAACCTGGAATATTCATGAAAATGAGGAAAAAACCAGAAAGAATTATTAGGACATGAATAGTGACAATTAAAAATTAATAAATAGCTACTATCAACTAGCATTAATTAATATCTACTTAATATTATTATCTACTTTATAAATTATTAAGGATTATATGTCACAATATGATGTAATATTGAGAATTGTTCAAAGTTCATTCATTACATGATATGTTTAATTTTTATCATGAAAATACATTATCACATTGACATTGAAAAATATTGGAAATAGATATCTTGCTAATCATAACCTATTTGATTTGAATAATTTTTTTCTTTTTATTGATTTAGTACATAATAAATTGAGAAATGATAACCTCAAATTTATTACAATGAAAGAAAAAATGTTAAATATATGAAAGCATAAATAGTGAAACATTGAATAAAAGTATAAATATTTAAAGATATAACTATTATACAATTTTGACTTGACTTTTACCACATATAAGGTTTGGTTCTATTATTGTTTCAAAGCCAAAAGTATAAATTGTAATAACCATGTAATGATTGCAGCAAGACAAATTAAAATGTAATAAGTTGAAACCAATTGTATGTCTTTCAATATATTATTAAGTCTAAAACATTATAACAGTCTAATATTATCAAGATTGATTTTGTTTAAAATTTTATCTTAATTATTCAACCTTCTGACAGATAGAATAATGGAAATTGAAAGAAACCAATGAAATCTTAGAATAATATTATTGTTTATAACTTTGATTATCAATCAATAATGACATTTTATAAGACATAATATCAATTGCAAATATGAATTACTAATAAATCAATTTATAGTTATGGCATGTTGTACTAATTATAATCGAGATAAGCAATAAAAACGAAATAAAAAAAGGTATAGAATGGATTTATACTAATTTTATTGAATTTTTTTTTCAGTAAATAACAAAATTTTCAACATTGAAATCTTTTTAAATTTGTAGCAATGAATTTAATAAATTTTTCGATACATTTCTGTAATATGAACAGTCACTTCAAACTACAACATCACTCGAAAAAACAACAACTTTATATTTTTAGAAAAATGATGAAAATGTTTTTCAAAAATTGACACTTGAATATATACAATTTCAGTAATTTAAAACTAAAAGGGTGCCTAACTAATTTAGAAACAACAAGATTTACAACATTTTCTGCTAACAGTATTTAGAAATTCATTGCGTATCAAATTATGGAATAATATTTTGGTACCACATTTTTGTTTTATATTAGCTTTGAATTTTATTAATTAATTGGTATTGACGTTTTATAATGAAATTATGATTTTCTTTTTTTGGCTTTCTTATCATAATCAATAAATATAAACTATGCATCAATGGAACAATAGCTAGATTTTATTGGATATGATAAGTATTTCAAAAGATGAACTGTTTATTAAATATGGGGATTACATAACAGTGAATATTGGAATGTAAAATCTATTTAACAAAGTCTGATATAGCTTTATTTACAGGATAAGTTTAGACTTGTTTAAATAATGATAGGTTTTCTCATCCTAACTCATCACCAGGCAAAATCCACTTCATCATTTTCATTATTTGCTTTAATGCTTCAATTAAACTTTAAAGTAGTTCCATTTAAAAACAAACAACACTCTTAGTTCAACTGACCTGTTAATAAGTAATATAAACGACGAACGAAGTGTTTAATAAATATCTTGAACAGACGATTTTCCAGTGCTCATTAAATATGCACTCTTCACTTGCGATTTATTACAAGAAACATAAAATATTCACATCGTTTTATTTCAGTCTAGTAACGCGGTTTAAATTAATACTGAGCGACTTGAGAATCTTCAACAAACGAACACAAATTTTTTATTTTCAAAATGCACGATTATACACTAAAATCGTTTATCTTCTGATGTTAATAAATTCGTACACTGAATATATAGATATTGATGTTTATTGATGTTTATAACTACATGAATAAGCAATTACTTAAAGGTAGTTGTGAGTAAAATTTAAAAGGAATATTTATATATCAGCATATTTATGCACACGAATCCTTATCTGTAAATTCCTTATTATACTTATAGCAATAGCTTATTCCTGACTAGCGTAAGGGTCTCCGCACTTAAAAATGAACTGTCACTCTATAAGTAAAGCAAGGAATAGTTACAACACAATGATGGACAATAGCCCAAATCACTTTATAAATTAATAAAAAACTTGCTAGATACTAAAATTATAATTCGATAATTTTTTTTCCTTTGTTTCTTCAGAGTGTCAGTATGCGATACCTTACTGTATTGTCACCCTAGTATCATGTCAAAGGTACATCTTCATTAACCTTTAGAACCTTCGCCGCTTACAATTAAAATTTTCATAAGAAAACCCACAATGAAAACAACATAGAAATAAGTGCATTTTTCGTGGATTCTATGTAGATTTCCACCTGAATTGTTCCGAAAAATTTTCAGATTAGAATATCTTTAGATTTTTACATGGACATAATTCCGCTGTTTTTCATTTTGAGCCGATATCTCCATTTTTAAAAATTTGGCTCGACTTTGAAGTTGAAAAAATAGGAAAAAAACGAAAAAGTGCACGTTTCTTCGGAATATTGTTGGAAAAAATGAAAATTTTCGCAAAAATGAAAATATCTCGACGTTAATACCTAGTAAAATAGTTAATAAATAACGGTGTAAAATTTCAAAAAGATTGGTCCATAAGTTTTTGAGATATGATGTACACCGTCTTTGAAAATGCTATCGTTCAGGAAACGCGTTTAAAGATTTTGAGGTCCATTCCTCTTTTCTTGGACATTAAAAAGGTCATATCTTGGTTGATCTTGCTCCGATTGGCTCAAAATTTTAACTGAATACTCTTGAATATATATGGGTCAAAATAATACTTTTTTACAAAACCGTGCACACGTATGTCACCGATCTTGACGCGCTTTTGGTATGTTATAGTACATGGTAAAAAGGTCCCAAAAAAAAATTTTTAGACCCCCTCCCCCCTCCTACCCGCCACTTCCGGTATAAACGTCCATTTTCGATCTATATTTTTTCTGAGGACATGAAGCAATTAAAAAATCTGAAAAAATTCACAAAAATACTTTTCAACAATCTGAACAACCTTGAATTTTTTCAGATTTTTTAAGTGCTTCAGGCCTTCCGAAAAAATCATTGAAAATTTTAAAAATCGAGATACGGCGATATAAGCCGATATAGTAAACGGAAATTTTTTCAGTTTTTTATTGCATTGAAAAACATAACCTCAATTTTTTTCAGATTTTTTCAGATGACCTAACGCACCTTTTGAAGCCAAAAACCGCTTTTTTTGACGAAAATAATTTTTTTAAGACGGTATGGAGCCTCGAAAAATCTGGAAAAATTTTTTTCTTGTTTTTTTCATCAAAATACATAACCTCAAATTTTTTCAGATTTTTTAATTGAAGGCGCTAGCTTCTAGAGCCGAAAAATGCTATTTTTAACAAAAAAAGGTTCCTAGAACCCGATGGTTCCGGTGAAAAAATTTGAAAATTCTTTTTTTGAATTCCTTGACAAATTTTAATAAATTTTGACCGTTTCAGAATTTCGATTGAAGCCTCCTAGCTCAATCTAAAGCAGGACAAAGATTAACGCAAAATTCTGAAGACGTTTCTGAAGACACATTAAGATATGATGAAACTATTTTGATGCTGTAGATTGAGCTAGGAGGCTTCAATCGAAATTCTGAAACGGTCAAAATTTATTAAAATTTGTCAAGGAATTCAAAAAAAATATTTTCAAATTTTTTCACCGGAACCATCGGGTTCTAGGAACCTTTTTTTGTTAAAAATAGCATTTTTCGGCTCTAGAAGCTATCGCCTTCAATTAAAAAATCTGAAAAAAATTTGAGGTTATGTATTTTGATGAAAAAAACAAGAAAAAAATTTTTCTAGATTTTTCGAGGCTCCATACCGTTTTAAAAAAATTATTTTCGTCAAAAAAAAGCGGTTTTTGGCTTCAAAAGGTGCGTTAGGTCATCTGAAAAAATCTGAAAAAAATTGAGGTTATGTTTTTCAATGCAATAAAAAACTGAAAAAATTTCCGTTTACTATATCGGCTTATATCGCCGTATCTCGATTTTTAAAATTTTCAATGATTTTTTCTGAAGGCCTGAAGCACTTAAAAAATCTGAAAAAATTCAAGGTTGTTTGGATTGTTGAAAAGTATTTTTGTGAATTTTTTCAGATTTTTTAATTGCTTCATGTCCTCAGAAAAAATATAGATCGAAAATGGACGTTTATACCGGAAGTGGGGGGTAGGAGGGGGGAGGGGGTCTAAAAATTTTTTTTTGGGACCTTTTTACCATGTACTATAACATACCAAAAGCGCGTCAAGATCGGTGACATACGTGCGCACGGTTTTGTAAAAAAGTATTATTTTGACCCATATAGAATCGAATAAGACAATAAAAAAAATATCGAAAATTTTTGCGAACAATACTTTACCCCCCTCCCCTTAAATAGGGTTGTTCCTACGAAAAAACTTGTTTAAAAACGTGTGAAATGTTCTAAATTCTTTCAAAATCCTTCATGGATACTCTATGAATACTTTGTGGCTACTTTCGAATACCAAAAGAACTCAAATCAAATTCTATTGGCTGTAATATCCAGAAATCTTGAAAAATGTTGAACGCTTGAAGAATTTTTTTGAATACTCGCAAATTTTTAAAGAATTGTTGCGAATCCTCATTGCGATCTGGAATGTCCATGTAAAATAATAAAGAAACACTCGTGGTGTAAATATTTCCCTTGGATCTTGAAACATCAGATTATAACTTCTAATTATATAGATAAAATTAATTAATCAATTTTTATTGAATTAATTATTAAAAGATTAATCGTTTTTTAAAAAGAAGCAAAATTCTTAAAGGACTCTCTCATTAGGCATTGTCCCGATACGAGTTGAACCTCGAGGTGGCGCACGTGTGTTATCCGAAGTCATGCGCACGGTACGTTTTTCGTTTGCTGCTACGTTATAGCGAAAAGAAGTTCGTCGTCTGCTTTACAGACGTTACACTGCAGAAATAGTAAGAATGGTAACATTTCGGATAACACAAGTGCGCCACCTCATGGTCAACTCATATCAGGACAATGCTTATAATAACGCTTTGTTTTCATTTTTCTGGCTACTCTTCTTGAACAATAAAAAAAATTTTTTTTAGTAAAAATTATACTTTGCAGAAAATTTTTGGGATACAGTTAAAAGCCTTCCTCACACTCTTGGTTTTTCACTTCAGTTTAAAATAAACAGCCAAATTTCTGCGTGGATTTTCAACGGATTCCACGCGGATGAAGAATTGAGTTCTACATAGATTTTTAGGTTCACAATAACAAGTTCCCTTATAAAAATTTCCTATAGGATCTCGCGAAATTCCTACAGAAGTCCTATAGGATTCCAATAGGAATTTCGCGGGATCCTATTGGAAATTTTTATAAGGGTTATTATTGCATTATAAATGTAGTAAGATGGAATATTATTTTTTTTACTAAAAATAAGATTCGTGCTGTTTTCAGAGTTATGTAAAAACACAGGTCAGCTTACGTTAAAGGGGTGACTGTCATTTACAATCTTTACCTACCTTTTTATACAACTTAGGCTGTTTCACTATGATTCCCGTAGAATTTCGGATTCCGCGTAGTACTCCGATGTGTGTCGCCAACGAATGCATGTTGCAAACGTCAAAAAATAGAATAATATTTAACTTCATGTTTAATCTACTTTTCTGTGTTGGCAGCATACGTTCTTAGGCGACGTACAGATATAAGAAGCGTACTCCAAATTGTTTGTAGAATCACCTCCAATTGATGTAATCAATGAATATAAGGAATGCGCATAACTAATTTTTTCTTCTAGTATCTGAGCTTAAGACTCTATACTGAACATTATATACGGAATTCTGGGTCTGTTATTAGCAGAAAAGAATTCGACCACGCAGATAGATTGACGTTCCATGGTTATAGATCCTTTTGGTAATCTATAATCAATAATTAATTAAAAATTTGCTGTAATCAAACCCAAATTATCTGATAAACAATTTTGGAATCATGTTTGGAATGATTGGAAAGAAACACGTAGAATTAGCAATAAGATGGTATGTTTCATTAAATAGTTTTGAATAAAATCTTTTATTTTTCCTTATAGATTTCGAGAATAGAAAAATGAAATTTTTATTTGTGATGAGTGCTATTAGGTTAAAATAATATATTATAAATATTTTCATAAGTAAAAATTATCTTGATCTGTCACATAATGTCATTGCGATGTATATTTTTATTTTTAATTTTGTAAACCCACATATTTTTGAAAAATCATAGCTATTTCCAATATTTTCATAACAACAAGCTGTCATTTTCACTTTCACAAATCAAACTTCAACAAATCAACATCTCTATATCTATCATCTATCATGTCTGTGCAAGTTATATAATCTGAAATCAGCATGTGATTAGTTCTTTATTATTTTATGAAGTATAAACTTGATTCTTAACATCTTTAAACCAATTAATTTGTCAATGATTTCAAGTATTTGTTATGAGGAAATTAAGTTTTCTTTGATGCTCTTATCAAAAACTGCAATAAGATGCACTTATATTATGAAATGATGCAACTCATAATTATTTAGTAATGAACATTTTTTAATTTTTTTTTTTTAAAGTTTTTATTTACTACTCGAGAATGCTCTTCCATTTTTATTTACCATTCCCAACTATTTTTTTTATGTATTGATAAAAAAACTAATTCATAGTCATGCTTGAAACAATACAAATGCCTTGTCCATTCATAAATTTCAGTTAATTATTGTGTACCATTCTCACTTGATATTTGTATTTTCAACTATTATTCAACTAAGATTTTCAACTAAGAATTGATCAGCTAATTTAATTGAACAATCTGATTTGTCTCTAGAAAAACTTTTCTTATAACTTTCAAGTATATTAGACTTCACTAAAAAAAATTTTGATTGTAAAGCTTTAAGAGTCAATAATATAAGTTGTAAACTACTTCTAATATTGAGAAAAAAACATTTTTTCTTGAATTAATCTGCAAAAAACACTTAAAAATTAATTGAAAGAATAACTTAATTTATTACATATGCATAGATTTTAATATATTATTACAAATTTGTAAACATTTGCTCATTTTCAGGATTCCATCAGCAGCTACCTATGGAACTGGAGCTGGCTTAGCTTTACTTTATTTTACGGATTGGAAATTGGTCTTGCAATACGTACCATATTACAGAGGAAAATATGACTTGTCAAAATAAATTATTATTAGCATTAAAATGAAAAAGTGTTCTTCAATAGTGTGAAACTCATGAATAAATAAATAGTTTTAAACGTTGTTATTATTTTTATGTTATTTTTAAAATTTATTTTACTGTGATAATCCCAAACACATGAATTGAAATCCTAATTAGAAAATTCATAATATGTCGTTATTATTGAAAATAGTTAAACAATAGAAATTGTTGTTGGTTAGAAAGTTATTAATTCAATTAAACAAGCTATTAAAATCTTTGTTGTCCAATACTAAGTTTGATATACAAAATCATTAGAAAATTAAAATGAAAATTTTGTAAAAACTATAAAAGTGAGTAATAATAAAATTTTCGAACAAAATTCCTAAGATTCACTGACTTATTAGTTATTCCAAGTCTATTGCCCCTGAGGCCTCTTGCCTCTTGGTACTCGCTCGTCTTTTGCAGGTCTTCTATATGTCGGGAGCCACAAGACCTTTGAAGTGATGGCACCAAGACACCAGTCCCTATGCGATCGGTTAGCTATACACACTCAGTCGGTAGCGGGTCTCGTGGGTTGGAATCGAACCTCGAATCTCTATATGCCTGATCAATTCCATATACAACTCATACGTCGTAACCTCTCGACCACGAGACCCTTCACTCCTTAATGTAAAAAACTTCGCATTCAACGTATCAAGCAACGTCATCTATGCCTTTTTGGTTCTTCAGACTGGTTACTTTAATTGCTTCCTCATAGCAAAAGTACAACTTTTCATTTTCAGTCGTTAACTTTCATAATATTCGGTGAATCTCTATTTTTGGATCTTAAATTAGAGCTTGACCGCTCTGCTTCCATTATACCGAAAAAAAATATAAAAATTTCTTCATTTATACATGAAAAAAATCGAAAAAAAATTTTTTCCAAAAAAAAAACCAGTTTACAACACGATACAAAAAAGCATAACTTTTTAACTTCTCGGTGGATCCTATAATATGTTTTTGACGCTTCATACGACACACAAATCCTGCAAAACGAGCTTAACAACTTCTCGCTACGTGTCTCCGTTCAAAAGTTACACTGGTTTCGAACCACCACACGTACATACATACACACACACACACACACACACACACACACACACACATCGACCCTCGCGAAAATCATGCCCAACACCGGTGGGCCCAGAAGCAACCGACGAGAACTCTATGCTCACGTCGTCGACTCGATCCTCTTGTATGGAGCGCCTATCTGGAGATGCGCCTTCGTAGAAGCAGACCTACATCCGTAATGGGTAGAGAGGGGATACGGAGAAGTGGACTACTATCTCACGCAACTCCTGTCCCGGCACGGCTACTTCAAAAGCCATAGCCAGCGCTATGATAACACCCTTAGCGCTCTCTGCCCAGTCTGCCCAAACACGATAGAAGACACGGAGCATGTGTTCTTTTGCTGTCCGCGATTCCACGAAGAGAGGGAGAGACTTCAACAAGTCCTCCAAGAAGAAATCGAGCCGGAAAACATCGTCCGGCTCATGCTCGAGACTGCAGGCAATTGGATGGCAGTAGCGTCTTTTGCGCAATCAGTCGTCACTAGACTGACGCAAGAGGCACAAGAGGTTTAAAAATGATCCGGACAATGCTGTGAGAAAAAGACGAAAACGACGTTTCTGGTTCCCGAACCCCTAATCACTGTAAGGGGGATGGGGTATGTACGAAAAAGACACAGATGTAGCAGAGAAGCTCTATAGAGTCCCCACATTCAAATGGTTTTCAGTGGGGTACTCGTTTCGAAGGGCCACTGGCTGCAGAGTTCACTCTGCACACGTCCAAAAAAAAAAAAAACAACACACACATCGACCGGCCTCCTTGGCTCAGTGGGTATAGTTCTTGTCTGCTGATACAAGGTGTGTCGTAGGGCGTGGGTTGGATCCCCGGCGAATTTTCGAGGTGCATTTTTTAGTCTGGTGTGGTCGAGCCCGTGCCCGAGGTGGAGCGGCCACTCAAAAAGAAAACACGGAATATGTCATCATAGGTACATACCATAAGTAGGAGCCCGAGGCGAGGACTCACAAGGTCGGCAATAGACGGGGAGCACAACTCTCCCAGGGTGAAGTCGGAAGCGAGAACCACACTCACAAGATGGCACTGGGTAGCGAGTTCTAATACTTAACTCAAAAGGAGACGACAGCAATGTGTGACCACGCAGTAGACGGCTCTGAAAAGGGGGATACGACAATCGAGAGATGGCATCGCGTAGGATCGGAGGTTTACCAAGTACAAAAAAATGAGTCCCTGAACCCCTAATTGTCGCATATCACTATGCGACGGATGGAAGATGTATGAAAATAACGACTAACATAAAAGTAGCAGAAATGCTCAACTAACCCCGGCCTCACCGAAGCAATGCCTAGCGGCGGTTACCGGTGAGTGTTCGAATGGGGTGGAGTAGAAAAACAAAAAAAACACACATGCAGACCTTTGTTGGTAATTCAATGTAGTTTCCAAATATCAACACAAATTTTCCTACGAAGTCTGGTTCCAAATCTCATTTTCAAGCCTATCACATAACTTCGTCTATGAGGAAGCAAATGCCGAGTATTGTTTCGTCATCAAATGAATAAACAAATTGACTCCAATTAACGTAAACATTTTCTTATATATTACGCTTTAAAGAAATCTTACGCTTTGAATCTTGAAAAAAATCTCACTGTTCCAAAAAATCTGAAAACTGATAGTAAAAAAAAACAAAAAACTGCGAGTCATTCTAGAATAAATTCAAAAACAATGAGCTGTTGTCATGAAGATACTAGGGCTTTATAAATCCTTCAATGAATTCCATAAAGAAATTCTTAGAAAATTCGAATTTTCGGAACTCAATGTTGAATCTCAATGTTGAATCAATGTATGGTCTTTAAGAAAAGCCCATATGTTGAACGGATGTAGCATTTATTATGAGGGCCTATACTACGAGCCAAAGATATTTAGATTCTAATGCATGACTACAGCTTAATAATTCATTCTCGAATGACTTGCAGTTTTTAACTATATTTGACACAACTTTTTATATTATAGAATTTTGTCGTCAACGTGCATGATGTGTTGAAGATAAACTGTCTATGCAATGCACGGTTTCATGTATACCACTCTAATTGTGTGCATGATATTGGCAACACTGTACACGCGTAACACACATCCTGTACAGAGTTAGTTCGCTCATCCGTGTGCCTTGGCAGTACACCAAATGTAATTGAAAAACCTGTTCATTAAACATTTAAACGTGACAATCTTTATTATCAACCTGTGTTGGATTATAAGTTAATCCTTCCGTATTTCAATAATATGCGGCGTTTTTACCCAAATATAAATCCTTGAACTGTATTTGTACCATGAGTTATATGTATATGACTTTTTTGCTATTAGATAGTTCATAACAAAATTAGTTGTTCATGTTTAACTTCAACGGTGTGTTACTCCTTTTGTGCTAAGCATTAATCAGCAACGCTTGCTTTTTTTCGTCATGAATATCGAAAAAAATATCCATCAATTGATTACTAAACCAATTCTTGCAAATCAAGTGGGAAAAAGAAATGTACGATACTCGTGCCATTGGGACACTTTTAGGCCCAGCTATTAGGAAACTACGCCGTGCTAAAAAGTGTTACTTATGGCACTTGTATCGTAAAGTATTATTGTGCGGGTCGGTACAGGATGCGAGTTAAAATCGAGCTAGTGTGTGGACAGAATGTGTAAGCGTGTACTAGTAGTGTGTTCGAAAGTGAGTTACAGTGTAAAGACTGAATGGGTGACACGACTGCTGTGCAACAGTGTGTTTGAGTGGGTGTTACAGTCCAAGGACTGAGCGTGGATCACGAATTTTATGTGAAAAGTGTGTGTGTAAGTTTACGAACGATGAGTAACACCAGCCACCATCATGGTGCAACCGTAATCAATTGTAATCAGCCACAAGTAAGCGAAGAATAAAAATATCTTTTATGTTGAATTCAGGTTCTTTCCATTTATCACCCTTTCCTCAGCAGTATTAGAGTAGGGTAATAATAATATTCAGTACGACAAAATATTGTATATTTAGCCCTGTATCAGGCTTTGTAACATATAAAAATACAGTGTTTTTCTAAAGCTAGTCATGGTCACAAAGGCAATAAACGTTCTGGTTTTGCTTCTGTTGAATTGACGTCCTACTCCCAAATGTATTGCAATATACATAGGAGAGAATATAGAATTGACCAAAAATTTTCGAGTTTTTGTACGTTCATTCGTCAGGCACAAAATGATCGACTTATTCAAGGCCAACTAAACGAAATAGTTGTTTAACGACAACTATTTACAAAAGACAAAACTGGTAAAACTAAGAACAATTATTAACACATGTAACATGAGTATAACACGATATTTTTGTGAAGTGTGAAAATGAACCACGAAATCCGCCTTCGTCAAGAAAAGGTCAATATTATTAGGCGAAATCAATCAAGTAGAAAACAAATTGACTGAGGGATTTGCTATTGATCTTCCAATCGGCCCTCGTCAGGTTCTCACAGAAGAGCTGTAGTCAGCTGGTGTGTCTCTCCCAAAAGTGGTGTTAAATTTTAGATTTATAATGAGGACCTGTGGAGGCCTCTTGTCGATTTGCCTATCATCCTATACGGTATACGGAGCTCACGTCAGTTTGTACCACGATTTTAATGAATTATGATTTTAGTTGATTTTAGTGATTAATTGCACCGCAAGTCCAACGTAGAGTGTAATTGAAAATTGAAGCTAATGTAGCTAGTGCAGTGCAGTCAACCAGGAGCCTCGAGAGTACGAGCGAGCCAAGCCAGTTAGGTCATCTACGCCAACACCGAGAATCGTCCACTAGGCCTACACATCATATGAGTAAATAAATTAGTAAGCCTAGATGAAAGTCAACCTTTGTAATTCAATGTATGAATGCCCGTGAATAAATTTATTGTAGTTCTATACCCAGTAAAAACCCGCATTCTTCATGTTTCTCCCTCATTCTTACAAGCCAGAATAAAAGCATTTAATAATTATTTTTCTGTGCATCTCTTGATGTTACAGAACAATAAAAGTAAGAATATTACGAGCTAGAAGGGGGCTCAATTGTTTTTAATTTGTTTATTTAAAGTATTAGGCTATAAAAGTGTAAGATTTAGTACTTCATGAAACAAGTGCCATATGTAACAATTTTGGAGCTATAAGGACCGCTCTGCGCTCGGACCTTAAATTGCGCCGAAAACTGTTCCCATGGCACGAGTATCATACTAAATTTTATAGCACTGTGCTAAATTTACAGTTTTCCCTCTTTTCCCATGCATAAGTGGCACTTTCTGGTAGCACGACCGCATGCGAGTGTGATGCGAACGCAGCGGTGCCAGAAAGTGCGACTTATGCCTCAGAAGAGCGTGCCATAAAATTTATGTGAACTTATGCCACGCGTGCTTTAAAAATGTATTACGTTTTCAGCATCACAAAAAACATTAATATATCATTCAAATGATATAAAAAATCCATCCTAGAAATTATTATTAATAGCTCAAGATGAAAATATTTTCAAGGGTAGAAGGGAAAAACATTATTTAAAAAATCAAAAAAAAATTGTATCGACGCTTTAGTTTAAGATTTTATCTTTTAGTATCCATTGTGAAATGTCAAATATATTTATGTATAATAATGGTATATAAGATATAATTAATATACCTTATACGAATATTTAAATTGCTTGTCGCAATTAAATATTAATAATCAAACAAAAATTAATAATAGGTATACTATAAACACTGTAACCATTTTTTTTAAATACACTGAACACTTAAAAAACTCAATTTCATTGAAAGCCAATTTCAGTTGTAAGATATTTTATGATTTGTAGTTCCATTAAAATTCATTTAGTTATAAATTTTTATTGCTTTTTCCAAATAGTTGATGCGAGATCGCTTCGGAGCTTTGTTCACATGTTCCAAACCAAGCCAAGGTTTCTGCGGTTGAGCATTCGGGTTTGATAGTGGAAATACTGTAAAAAAATTATATTTATATTTATGATAAATCTATTTTATTTTAGGATTGCTATAATATCTCTTTCTTGAACCTTTAACTGGTAAAATAAAGCTTAATTTTACCAGACGGAACAGAAAACAGGTGCTTCATGAAAGAACTTACTTTGATTTTGATGTGGCTTGAAATCTGATAGATCAATGCAATAATCAGGCGACTCGCTGATGAAATTAGCTTTATTGGACACAACTATAGCAAATTTAAACTGAAAAATAATTATTGATTAATTATGTAAATTCAAACGTTATAGAAAATTAAATAAATATTATATTATGATTTTTGAAGAATTATTATAATGTTTTCAAAATTTCTTTGTTTTTCTTAAAACACTTTTGTGCAAATATAAATGTTCGTTGTTATCGAAAATCGTTAGGTTAAGTGCTTCGCAGGTGGTAGTGTTTTGGGTGCAATTTTAAAGTTATGAATATGAGTCACAAAAATTTTGAAAATACATATGAACAACAAAAGAAGTACTTGTGCTTGTATTTTTAAATCGATTTTTTACAAAATGGCGTCATTTTGAACAAAAAATGTAAAAAAACACCAAAAATTCAGCTGAAATTTGTTAATAATTTTTGAAAAAATTAATATATTACGAAATCCTCAGGTACTTCTGTTGAGAAAGCAGTCGGGAATAGACAGTTCAAATTTCAAGTCGATCGGATGAAAATTGTTCGAGAAATCTTCCGCCCGACTTTGAAAATGTGAATTGAGAAAAAATCCTTCAAAGTTGTTAGTAAAAGACAGAAAAGATAAATTAAGAATATCTTTAGTCTGCCATTCCTGCATCGTACAATTGCCTTTCAGATGGAAATACTCATCCTGCAGATCCTTTCTGGTACTTATTAACATTATCTTACTATTCTATGCACTACTATACACTATAGTACAGTATAGTAGTACATGGTAGGGGTGCCTGAACACCCCAGGATATTTTTGAGGTGTTAAAGGACTCTTTATGCAAAAAAAAGAAAAAATGATTTTCAAAAAATTCTAGGGTGGTTTACCGCCTCAATTTTGGCACATAAGAAGTATGTATTTTGAATGGTATGCATGCGTATTAGTGATATTGATTTTTAATTTTCCAGCCAGACTATTATCGAAACGATAATATAGTTTATGCAAAAGAGTGGTCGTAATTTCAAGGTGAACCAGCTTTTTTCTTGAAAAAGGGTTAAACATTAAGAAACACGGGGAGACTATGCAAACGACAGATTTTATTTTCTAGTGATTTTTATTAGGCATTATTCCATCCTTTATTTTCAAGCCAACTTCAGGTATTTTATGACTCGCAAGTGTAGCTTAATTTGCTTAATTGCAGGAGATCAAAAGAAGGTAAGAGTACAAGACTCTTCGCGGACATGGATGAAATGAGACTGCTTTAGGAAGCCACACGATGCGCTAGAAGAGCGATCGTCACGGGCCTCCAAAATAACTCGGGTGACATAAGTGTGTGAGAATGCTTGCAGTTGCGGGGACGAGCAGAGTTAGCGTTAGCGTAATATGATTATTCTATAGAAAAAAGTTCCAGTCAAGGGTGATAAGGCTACATATGAGCCGAGACTGCTGCACGCGTTTGATTTTTTAGGTCTAAACCTTTGGTCATGCCATCAATTGGCTTCTCTTTAATAAGTCAATAGAGGGACTACTAACTTTTTTAGGTTGGTCGTACAATGCGATGTCTTGGACAAATCTAATTTGCTGGATAGGTTCATCCCAACCGCCCAAAACCTCCGACTATTGTGGGGACTATTGACGGGACAGCGAGTTCCTTAGATAATATGTAGATTCCTAACAAAATGAAAAACATCTAAGCTATGTTGGACTTAATGTTTTTCACAGGAAAGAATAATATCTATCCACTGAAATTTAGTAGTTCAGGGAAATTTACAACCATTCAGGAATTTGTAAGAAGTTGAGGGTAAGTCATATATCCGGTAAGAACACCTTTGCGGCAACAGATGTCACGAGAATTTCTCGTCATACGAGAGAACGAATATTCTCAGCTATCAAAAAGTTCAAAGGTCTAGAACATTCAGCCAATATTGTTACACGATTCAGATTTAAATTATTTTTTCCTTAGTTAAAAGTGAATCATTTATTTTCCAACTTTGTGATGCCATTCAGGAAATTGATATAATTATGCCTCTGCAACATTGTCAATACGAATTGTCTTTCAAACTTACTTATTTAGGATTGACTGTATTTAAAGGTTGTAAGAATTAAACAACAACTATAAATTCAACTTACGTCAAAGTAAGTAGAAAATAAAAAAAAACAGACCAATTGTGTCAATCTTCTAAAAGTTATCACAAAAATTCAAGATGATTGAATGTTTATTCAGCGCACGAGCGTAGCAAATATGATGTCACAATGCTATGAAAATTTTTACATTTCCTCGACTCATCAATTAGGGTTATAATAAAAATTTAGTTTGACATACCAGAAAATAGTACTTTACAGCATTGCAGGGCATAAGTTCACATTTGTTACGCTCGGGGGCTTACTTAGCGTTACCAGAAAGTGTGACATATGCATCGGAAAAAGGAGCATAAATGGGAACTTAGTACAGTACTATAAAATTACGTACGAATTAAGGGTGTGCGAGTACTCGATTTCTCGAGTTTACTCGGTTCGAACTTGATTCATCGAGCTTGAGTTGGAAAAATTCGATTACTCGAAAAAATGACGAGTACTCGATCGAGTCAACTTTTTTCGAGTACTCGCACACCTTTTGTACGAATCTTTGAATATTAGGTCTATAGCGTGTAATATAATATAAAGTGTCCAAGAAAATAAATATGCTTTGTAAAAAATGGTTCAAAAAAAATTTTAACTCCTGTATGAATGATATTGTGATAAAATGGTAAGAAATATTTCCAAGAAAATATTAAAAATTCAAGACTTTACGGTATCGATATATGTAACTAAAAAATGTAATGATTAAGAATAATTTACGTGATTAAATTGCGATAAAGAATCTATTATTCAAATTACCTTTTCGAATTCCTTTTCTTGAATATCTAATTTTTTAAAAAGTCGCTCTTTCATTTTGGGAAATAGTTCACCCTGAAAAAGAAATAATAATTTGTATGTTAGTTTTTATTTTTAATTTTTTAATCGAATGTAGAAAAATTCCGTGATGTTTTTATAATTCACCATAGTTAAGTAAAAATAAATGAAATAAATAAAATAGTAAAAGGTCAAGAAACGACAAAAGGACACACTTTCACATATAAGGACATTTGTTGAGAATTAATTTCTAATTTGTTCTGACGTAATAAGTACATTTGAAAAATATGATTCGTTACTAAATTTATCTAGTTTAAATTCCCTAAACAACACAGGTAAAATTATGAAAAACTTACTTGTTTTATTTTGAATAAAAATGGTATTCCAAAGGTTGAAAACACATCTTTGTAAAAGTGTGCGACAGGAACAAGCATTTCATCTTCCGATAAATTTAGTTCATCTGAAGGTACTTCTTCAATTCTGTATATTTTAGAACTGTTAGTAGCGAGTGTTTCAAGTAAAACATCATCTTTAGGTCCAATATGTACTCTGTTGCTAATTATTTCAAGAATTCGTAGTTTACCGGAACTATTTTCTGTAAATTCTATTTGTTTTTTTGCTTCTTCTAACAGATTCATGACTGTTCCATTTTTATTAGGATAAAGTACTATCTCTTTTTCTTCTTTCAAATTAGAACTCACCCAAATACATTTAAATTGTTTTTTGTTTTCCAGCTCATTCACATGTATGCTCAACTGCTGATAAAACAATTTTTTTACCTTCGGTTTGCAATTTGCAACTAGTTCTTTCAATGTACCATCAAAAGTACACTTTAAAGGAATTCCTGGAGAGTCTTTATAACTGAAAAAAAGTAAAGTTTTAGTGGATGGTGTTTGTTACAATTAAAAATAAGACATAGTAAAAATGTATTATTCTGATTAAACTCATAACACCATTATTTTTAGGAGATATTGAAGAAATCTTCAATGATCAAATTTAATAATCAACACAATACAAAAGTGTTCGCTTCAACAAAAAATTTTTTTTTACTATTATTATTTCTGTATCACTAGAACATCATATATACTGACATTATGAGACAATGAACGGATTGAAAAAGATCGAAAGATTCTGGTAAAAATACAAATAAACTTTTTCGATCAAATCGTCAAATAGCTCGCGGTCATTCGTTGCCAGGATCACATGCATCGAAGTGTCTATACTATACAGACAAGCCTCGACTAATGAGCCAATAGTTTGACGCTATACAAGATGAATTAGCTCGTTCAATCTTTATCTCGCACCGCAAGCGTAATAAAAAAAATCAAAAACCCTAAGTCCAAATTTTTGGTGTGCAGTACTCCACACGGAGCAGAATCTCACGTTTTTACACGTTCATCTCTGTATTTCACGTAGCAAAAATGGAATGTACTTGCTGGAAAACATGCATTTCGATGGGAAATTTTCTCAGTTTCCGATCTAGACTATTTTAAAAAATCTTAAAAAATAGGGTTTTTGAGGTATTTAAAGTTGAAAAGCTTATTTTTAAATTTTCCGGGAAAAATTAAATTTTTAAAAAGCTGAAGAAATTGTCAATAGATAACGTATGTCACACATTTTTTCAATAGCGTTAAGGGGGTTATAAGACTAATTAAAAATTAAGAAATTTTGCCTAAAAGTGCCGTACGACGAGCGCATTAAGAGATTTGGCTAAAATGCCTCACATTCATGATAGAAATAATTGTACTATAGTCCGTAAATTCACTATATAAGAGTTAAAGTTTTAAATTATTGATTGAGACCTGGTTTCCATTCTTTCCCAGACCGAGATGTTAAACAAAATTATTTTGTCTGACTCGTGAAAACATTGATACTTATGAAGGGTTATTACAAAGAAAATATAAGTTAATAATAGGTCCAAAAATTATACTCACTTTTGACATTTGAAAAATTGTAACAAATATGGATCAGTCTGAAGTTTTTGAGCAACTGCTCTTGCCATTTGCTCATAAGTAATTCTTTGCGAAAGTTCCATGGTGAAACCAATATCATTGGGAACGGTCTTGTCACAGAAACTAACTTCAATTCTTGACGATAGATCTCTAAACATAAAAATAAAAAATAATATTAATATCAATGAAGGGAGGTTAACGAGATCGACGTAATTAAAAACTATTATATTAATAAATAAACTTCTATCGAGAGGATCTAAATAAAATCTATTGAGAGGCCGATTTTATCATTAAATACTTAACAAATTGTTTCAAAAGTGACAAAGAAATACAGCAAAAAGTGTAAAAGCTATAAGCTCTAAAAAAATGTCCTTGATCATGATTTTGATAAATTTTATGTAAGTACTTGGAGCTATTTCTACTTCTGAGGAAGATTTCTTTTGGAAAAGTTTGGTTTATCTTATTGCAAAACTATTTTTTAATCGCGAAAAGTCGAATGTAATTTTGAATTACATTCGAAATATAGCGAAAATTTTAATTTCAATTTTAAATCTAAAACGGTGGCTCAGTAAAAGAAAAAAATCATTGTATACATAACGATCAAATTTATTCGGGATGGACTCAAACCGGCGACTGCTCCAAAGGACTGAACTACGGAAATCGTTATTAGTGTACACGAGTGAGAGAGGTAAGTTACTCTAATTTTTACGTTATCGTTAGGTATTTTTCTATCAGAAACCTAGCCTATTTCAACCGAGGCCCTGGCTTATCTTTTCTGTAAACTTACAACAATACTAAATTTCAAATTAGGTTAGCATCTTAAACTCAACGAAATTTTTTACCTGAAATAGTCTCTACAAGTGGGAAGTTCGAATAACTGATTACTCTCTTCAAATCGCTGAAATACTATTATATCTCCATCCATCAACTCTTCAAGAACTTTTTCTAATGATTCAGAGTAATTTTCAATTTTTTCCACCATGTTTGGCTTTATTTCTTCATAAAGGACAAGTTTAGTATCTGCGTCATAACCAGCTTTTTGATTTAAAATAGGTATTAGGTCCTCTGAAAAATAGTATTTAATTAATTAATAATGTTGAATAATAATGTTGAAAAATAATTTGTAAAATAATGATGTGTGAGATTGGATCAAAGATCTATCATATATTAATTAATTTGTATCTATTGTCAAGTTCTGCCACATAATGCCAAGTGGATACTCAATCACCGTTTTAGTGTACGAAATCTTGACAAAAATTTTATAACAAAATCGATTACCGAAGTACATGAGGTTGCTGATATTATTAATACAAATAAATATTTACTTACGAACTTTAGCTGTAACAGGCATATAATGATGTCCACAATAGTGAATCTTTTTTTTCTTGGGATCATAAAGTTTGAAAAAAAGCAAGACATCAGTATCTTTATCGAATGAAGGTAAAGCATTTAAATCACAGTCAGGTGATAAAATTTCAACAAAAACATTCCAAGGATTTCCACTTTCAGCACATTCAGTAACACTCTTTTGCAATTCTATTTCTGATTCGATAAGAGTTGGTCTACAAGTTTGATTAGATCTTAAACTAAAAGGCCAAATTCGGATTTGATCCACAGCATATTTCTGAAAGAATAGTTTACATTGATACAGTAAAATTAATGTTATTTTTTATAAAAATGTTTTTTATCGGTAAACGAAATTCAAATAAAATTTAAAATGAAAATTTAGTAAAGAACATTAAAACTTAAAAAAGTCGTAAATTTATGAGGCACACATTATCAGGGGTATGCGAGTATTCGAATTTTCGAGTCAAGTCGGAAAAATTCGAGTACTCTAGTATTTTCGAGTTTTAGCTAAATAAATGATACATTAACAAAACTATAAATGTCCCCGTTGCTTGTGCATGCTCTTCAGTGTTATTTACTCGCAGCACTCTTATTTTTTTGCTGCGCAAGTTTTTTGCTTTGATAGCGAATACAAATAATAGTAAATATAAGGTTAGTAACGTATTTTCTATAAATTACTGGGATTATACGAAGTTTTAAGAGAACATTTATAAGTCACAGAACTTTGCGCAAGTAAATGGCGTTATTAAAATAAAGCCTCTCAAATATTTATTAATTTTTGACCGATTAATATGTCAATGAGATTTTCTTTATTCTGCACCATTAAGTTCAGAACTTATTGCAGCCCGCCCGAGGAAATATTTGTTACAGACTTTATGTATCGACCAAATTTAGGTTTACCACTTAATAATTTCAAAGAGAGCGACTATAGTTAAAGAATGTATTAATATAATGAGTTCCAATCACACTTCATGAAATGTTTGAAATGCTCTTGATATTTTACTGATTTAGATTGTTAAATTATATAAAACAAGTTAATATACGTACAAGACTTTCACTCAATATTTCAATGAATTCTGATAAAGTTGATTGCTTCTTCACTCTAAATGTACGGTAAACAACTTTTTCTTGATCGTACAAATCGTTTCCTTGGTGCCCTTCAAAACTATCTTCAAACAAAACGTTTACAGTCATAAACAAATACGCTTCATTTCTTTCTTTGCGTTTGATTTGTTCTAACCGCTTTTCTTCTTGGAGTCTTTCAACAAGCTGAAAATGAACAATTAATGATAAATGTGAATGAATTACAAAATAATATAACGTGTACAGTAAAATCTTTCTATAGTAAACACTCTTATTAGCAGACACTTGTAGAATAACCTAATGTTTCTAAGATTTTTTATAATTTACTCCTATTCCGAATTGTGAACTCTCTTAATAATAGGAGCGAATATCATGTTTGAGATAAAAGGACACGTTGTTTTCGATTTAGATAGTTTATAACTTTTTATTGACAAAGTAAGTAAGAACACACGATATAATACGTACATAACGATGACTGGGCACACTTATTGATTGTAAAAACTTACACGAGTAAATATGCAAAGTGGTAATTTACAGTTCTTTTTAATCTTGTTAAATTCTGTGGCTGTTAGAAGAAAGTAAGTTTCAAAATTCTTTAAAAAATACTTATTGAAAAAATTTAAAATTTGCACTAAAGCATAAATAAACTTCAAAGTGCGAAGAGAAAATCAGATTATATATAGAGCTTTTCTTTGAATAAATTCTACATTCGACTAACTTGTTCTATGGTCTGGTGCTGACATCTGAAACCAAATTGATAAAAGAGAATTAGCTTTTTCTTTGAATAATTGTCTATATTCCGGAAAAAGTAGTTTTTTCTGCGATCTTTGACAGCAATGAGAATAGACGGATTGGTCTAAAGGATGAAACATTGTCAGTAGCTTCTTTCCATTGAGCTCGACAGTGACACAGTCAAAGGTACGCATTAATGACCAAACCTAAGAGCAATAGGTAGTAATTCTCTGGGCATCATTCCAGTGATTTTGTCATGATCAGGAGATTTATGAGTTTTAATGTTCTTGTGCTGCTGGTGCCGTTGCCCAGTTTAGTTGGTAATAATGGAATGTTGTCAAAAAATTGCATAGTTGCAGCGATAGAAATTGTTTTCTTCAGGTCACATCATTTCTAGGTCGTATGGATTAAACACATGGGTAAGGAACTGCGCGAAAGAAGTTAGAATTGGAGAAATAAAGAAAGGTGCCGAAATAATGCGGCGATTTGTTTAGTCGACCCAGTTCCCTATTGGGGAGAGTCCGAATAAGAATGTCGATGTGCTCTGGCGTACACTAAAATACGATTGGCGGTGTGCCCCAGAAATATTTGGAAAGTGACTGCTCGGTATTTTCTGCTCAGAGTCTAAGAGTCAACTGTTTGTGGGTCGCTTATATAGGAGCAAAGCGCACGCTGATTGGTCGACGCAACGGGGTGGGGATGGGCGCAGTCGTCTTTGCATGTGAGTGGGGACAACATATATAGAAAATTGTCTATGGTTTATCACTGTTGAAATGGTTGTGTAAATCAAGATGTAGTTTTGCTGAAGATAAGGTGAAGCAGTTTTGATCTTGGATTGCTTCATTAACTTATTTATCTGTGTTGGGGTTTGCAATCTGAAGCCCTAACATGGATGCTTTGCGTTGCAGTCACCACCGCACAAAAAAGATGACTCAATTTGGCAAGGAATGCTTCGAAAAAAGTGTTTTTTAACACGATTAGGTTGAGCAAATACAAGATGTAAATGAATGTTATTTAATTTATATTTTTCTTCCCCCTTCACTATTTTATAGTGTCCGCTAGAGAAAGAGTTTACTGCATTCATATACGATATAAAGAGCAGCTTGATATAACCTATTTCTCATTTAAATGTGTTTTGGTTTTGTATTAGGTTAATAACGTTAATACTACTTTTCATAGGCATATTATTCTTCACGTTTATTTCTTAATATTACTTATACTAAATTTTTTCATTTCATAGATTCAGTTTTTCGAAAATTCGTACTCGCATAGAAGCAACCTTGTTAAAACATTAAACACCTATTTGACTTTAAACTTACAAAATTAATGTTTTACTACATAAGCATTGATTAATGAAGCTTCATTTTAAATTAGATTTCAAGACATAGATTAGAATCTGAAACTTTAAAGGACTGTATTTACCTCTTGAGGGATATCTTCTTCCTTTACTTCCTGTAAAACATTCTTAATGTCAGAATTTTTAATGTAGACCAACATGTAGGCATTGGTACAATGTTTGACTGTCATTGACATATCATCATCTTGTCCTCCATAATTGTGTTCAATGGCTTCTGCTTTTGAGCAACGAGAAACAACGTCATCGTCGAATTTGCACCACTAAAAATTATTAATATTATAGTTTACTTATTATATCAGATTCTTTAAGAATGTAATAAATATGTATTGAAAAATAGAATATTTAATAAATTTAAATTTCAACTTAAAACGTTTCTGATGACTGATCTTTGAAGTGCCTGTAGTAAACCGAAATGATTAAAATTTTTAAGACTTTAAAAACGTCAAGCACTTTAAAGACAATCTAATGGAATGTCTATTTTCATCACGGGTTTTAACAAGTCGATTGTGATATTGCCTTCAACTAGAGTAAAAACGTTGACATTTTAGGTGTTAACGGTATAAACATGAAATTTAAAATTACCTTTCCATCTCCTGAAGGGTTGATAAACACAACGTAGTGACCTCCGTGATTGTCACCGCTGTGAACTAAAACGGCGTGAAGAGTGTAGTCTACACTTTGGGTTTCTTTTCCAGTTTTTAAATACTGTCCAAGACTTATTTTTTCATAAAACTCAAATCTATAAACAAAAATTAGAAACAAAAATAAATAAAAATTCCCATAAAAAACTTCTGATTTTAATTAATATACTTTTTTTAAATGTTTCATTTTAATATTTATGATTAACTTATTTAATTGGCAAATTTATGGATCATTCTCGTATTGTCGGTAAAATACAAAGGACAAAAGCACTGCTTGAATGTGAAATTCATTTCGTCATGCGTAAGGCTTCGAGAAAGCTAGCAGGAGGTGTAAAACTTTATAATTACAGTAAGGGGGACACTTCTTCTCCCAGCTATTGAGAAGTGAACTGTGGGCAGAGCTTGATCAACGACAGTTACATAACGTGTCAATAGACTAAACGAAGAGTGCACTGCTACTTAAAGTACGCGGCTATGCTCTTAGATTAGTTCTACCGATAGAGGACCCTCGCTGTGTTCGAGCCCTAAATTACGTTGTGCCAAAAAGTATTACTTAGGCCACTTGTATCGTAATATTACTTTACGATAAAAAGGCTATAAGTAACACTAATAGCCGCGTCAAGAAGTGTCCCCTGTGGCCCAAGTATCTTACTCCATTTTATAGCACTGAGCTGAGTGCACATTTATGCCCTCTTATTCGAGTTATAAGTCGTACTTTCTGGTATCGCAGAGTGTGATAGGAGCGACGCGGTTCCAGAATGTGTGATTTATGCCACCGAAAAGCTTGTCTTAAATGTGAACTTATGCCCTAAAGTGGTATAAAATTGCGTATAATACTTGTGTCATAAAATACCATTAATTTTAAAATAATAATCAATAAACAACCAATTAAAGTTTAACATACAATATATAGTAACTAAATTACGCACCTGTCATTAAACTTCACTGAGCAATCTGTGATTGGATCGTATTGAAACCTCATCAAGTGCAGATGTAAAATGGGAGGAAAAGAAGAAAACATGACACCTTTTTCAGCTTCTTGAAGGCCATGTTCACCGGCGTCATACTTATTATCACCATCTAATATTTCAGTGCTCACATAATCGTCAAACGATTCATAAACTGAAAAAAATAAACATTAGATTCTTAGTAAATGTTAACATAATAATGCATATAAATACTAATAACTACATTTATTGCACAAAGTTCAGTGAAGTTAGTTGGCAACGAGAATCATTTAAATCATCAAATACCATTAATTTAGATTGTTATAGACCATCAAATAGATAAACAGATAAACAACAGTAACATTGGGCTAAATTAAAAATTAATATTAAGGTAAAAATGGACCTATAAAAGTTGTATATGAAAAATGTGTGATTTTAGTACATTATGAACCTTTCTTAAAACAAATGTCACGGAAACATTACATTCTTATAATTTATTTTTGACGGTCAACGTGAAACTTATAACCTTCACTTGTAGCGATTAAATAGCTTGAATTAAAACGACTAGTAGTGTGCAGGGTTCAAATACAGGTCAGACAGAATAACTCACGGTATGAGACATAATCTTAAATTTTATCATTTTTCAAAGATGGAAAAATTATTACTTTTAGTTAAATAGTTTTAGATATAATAATCGTGATTTGCTTCATACTTTCGGAATTGCAAATTATATAACCTCGGTAAAAATAATACATTTTTTCGCCATTTTTGTAGCGTTTTTTTTAAATAATAATGGTCATTTTATGGACACTCATCATTTAATCGCCTTTATTATTAAAAAAAGTGTTACAAAAATGGCGGGAAAATGTAACGTTTCTATTAAGGAAGATGCATTTTTAAATTTGAATTATAATTTTTTCGTCATATTTAAGAATAATTTTCCAAAATTAATACTCAATTTTTCTTATCGAATAGCTGCACATAATTCGACGTGCCAGTGCTGAAAGATGCCACTTCGCGCTCCAGTAGAAAGATGCCATTTCGCGCTTCGAGCTGAAATATACCACTTTGGCGTTCGATTCTGTAGGATGATTTTTTCTGCGTTTGAAGTGACACCATGTAATGTTTCATGTTTTAGAAGTAAAATTGAATGCTCTTCCAGAATCTGGCGTTGGAGTGAAGTTAATACTTAAAATTGAAGCTTCAAACGCAGCTCTAAAGTGGCATCTTTCAGCACTGGCACGTCGATACATATCAACTTGAATTAAATAATTTTGTCTTAAGTATTTGAATATATCAGTATTAATACTCGTTTTGCTTGTTTTAAGAATACATAAAAGTTGTTTTTTAATACTTACTATTCTTTTTCCCTTTAATATTAAGTTGAATATCATAAAATGTTTCCACTCTTTTAGATGTGTAGTCAATATTTTTACATTTTATGAAAGAAACCATCTTTCCCTCGAATAATTTTGGAACGGTACCTTCAACGCACGTTCCTTTCATTTTACTTTCGAGTTTGTCAAGCAGCTGAAAAATGATTTAACAAACATATGAATAGACTTGAAAAAATAATGTGAAATAAGTAATGGTTTGTGCAAGCAGATTATGATTTTTATTTTCAATGAAATGCATCAAAAAGTGTATTCAGGGAAATTTTTTTTACAACTTTATAGAGATTGTAGTGTTTGGCGTACGAAAATGAAAAATTTCTAAGGAGGCTGTAGCGATACAATATAGTTCTGTACTAAAACGCCGTATGCGCAAGGCTATATGCATTACGCAGCGCACAGCATTAGCATGGAAGAACACAGGGTAAATGAGTTGGACTCCTCATATCTTTTGAAAATGGTCAGAAACGCCCATTTATAATTTTATCGTTCGAAAAAAAATAAGATTTCCTATAACATATATTAATTTCATTAACTTGTTAAGTGATTTGAGCTCACAGTACACAAAAAAATGACACTTTTCATACAATTCAATGTTAAATAGCCAAAACTTAGAATCTCATTATTTTCCCAGTTTACATGGAAACCCCAAATTTTTTTTACCAAAAATCTTATAGTTTCATAAACTATCATTGGTTAAAATTTCACTTCGATCCAAACTTTTTTTCATTTTCACTACAGCCTCCTTAAATTCAAGTTTGTACATTTGTTTTTTGAATAAAATAGGATCTTTTCTAAATTTCTACAGTTTCGTTTTTACTATTTCTACACGCGAGCTTAGTTTATGTTCCTCAATATTTAACCAGTATTTTTGAAAGGATATTCACTGTCAATAAAAATAATGAATGTTATATTACTGATTTATGCCGCGAGTAACAGATAAGTATCGGGATTTTCATTATTAGCGGCCGCGAACTAGGTAGCTCAGACTTATGTACTGTTATTTTACTTAGTGGTCAGAAAAAGGACTTCGAGCTTTGCGCAGCATCTAGAAAATAGTCACTTCCATATTGCTAATATAAAAAATTAAATTAAAATCACAAAATTAAGCTAGTCCTGGAAGAAAATTAGTAGGGAGAAAAGAAAAAACTAAAATATAATATCATATGAATGAGTTGCAGTAATGAGTGGCTTTTTATATAAATCTAGAATAATCATATAGCTTTACCACTCTTAAAAATTCTTGAACATCATGTTGCATGAAGGAATCCAAAGTTTCCCATCCAAAGCTTTTTGTGAGTTTTTTGGTACCCACTGGCTTGTCACAAAATTGTAATTCATGAAATACTCTTTGCAGAGCTAGAGCTACACTTTTACTAGAATCATCACTTTCTGTTGGCATTTTATACACAGCTTTTCTCAACTGAAAACAAAAATAGTCAATTAAATGTGATGAAAGAAATACACCGTTATTTATTATTGAGAAATCCATTTTGCGCTTTACTTGGCATTCATGACCAAACAGCTATCGCAACACGCTCTTTTTAAAAGAATTCGAAAAACGTATTAAAGTTGACAATAAACTACTAAAAACTACCAAAAATCTACGGATGCTATACTAAATTTTTTATCAAATTTATCCACACGTTTCTCTGTTTTTGTTAAATACGGCACCGATCCAAAAACTTGAAACATCCGAGTTCGAATATCGAGAATTTAGGCGATACGAGCACACTTGTTCTCGCATGAGTGGAAAATCGCAAGAAAATTACGCTCAGACTTATTTATTCGAACGCACTATGTGCAACAACGATAGATTGCCTGCAGAAAGGTGGATATCTTCGCTATCGAATGAAGCGTTGGTAGAGAACACCGATAATTATGAGTTCTAATTATTTGTGGGTAGTTGTTAGTCTTGCTTTCAATTATCCATGCCGGAATTGCATTGATCTAGGTCACGCTTGAGCGCTGTCGTGGCAAAGCGTGCCTTAAACGTAAATTTTAGCCAGGCAGGACTATAAAACGGGTTTGCGCACTAAAAAGCGTGCAAAAAAACGCAATTTTCGACATACTATTGCACAATAGTTATTTAAGCAACAAGTGCGCAAAAAGCTGGGCACGTGTGGCAAACAAAATTTTATGCAATAGTAAGCGAAAAATAGTTTCATTTAAATGAGTCATTTTACCGCACACCCTTGTCCAAAATGAGGCGTTTTACCGCACACCAGTGTCGAAATGAGGCATTTTACCATACACTAGTGTCTAAAAACACTTTTTGCGAACTAAACAATATGCGAAAAATACATTTTTCGTCGTACTATTGCATAAAAAATGTTTCCATATCATGTAAGGCTCCGTATTGTTGAACATTTGGAGCCCATAGATAGAGTGAGTGTTGGCATTGCAAATGACGTCTGTCTCGAGGCAATTGGTATCGGCAGAATAAATATAAAACGACGTGTCAACGGAAAATGGTTGGGCGGGTATCTAGACAACGTGCTTTATGTACTACAATTAAAAAGAAATTTTTTTTCCACCAAAGTATCTAGGTTTGAAAGTCTTATTTGAGGGATACGATGTAAAATTACTGAAGAAAAGTAACGAAGTCGTGGCAGAAGGAAGAAAATTCTATAGAAATATTTTTAGTTTGTCCTTTAAAGCAATAGTTCCCCGTGAGGCAAATATAAATCAGAGCAGCTGCACGCTTCATTCTCTGCACGAGACCCTTGGAAACATAAACAACAATACGATCAAGAAAACAGTAAAGAATGGAACTGTCAGACAATGATTACACAGCCACACAAAAAAAAAAATTTTCAAACCCACCGACCGGACCTAGTGGACTTTATGTTTTAGGAGTCGCTGAATCCGAATCCGAGGTCGGATGACCTTCAGAAGGTCACTTTCAAGGTCATTGGGAGGTCAAACTACAAGAATTCAGTAAAAATATCCGAAAAAATCAAACTTATGTTATGAGAGTTGCTCAATCTGAATCAGAGGTCATTTTGACCATATCCCGCCATGTACAGGTCATTTGAAGTTATTTTAAGGTCAGGTCACGAAAAAAGCTTTAAAAAATCTGAAAATACTCATAAGGATGCTGAATCAAATCTGAAGTCAGATGATCCCTACGACCTTGACTTCAAGGTCATTTGAATGTCAAACTTAGAGAATTCAATATAAAAATCCGAAAAAATCACATTCCTATTTTGAGGGTTGCCGAATCTCAATCATTGTTCATATTGACTATACCTAGCAATTTTAAGGCCAATTGGTGGTAATTTATAGGTCATATCAAGGGTTACTAAGTGAACGCGATAAAATAACAGAAAAAGATTGTGTATAGGTTTTGGGAGCTGAGGAATTCAGATATTTTATCATCAAGATCAAGGTTTTTTGCATGATTTTTTACTTTTTTCTCTTGTAATGCACGTTGTTTTCTTCCAACGACCAGCGTAACAGTTGCTGTTTGCGTTCAGTTCCTCTATGTTGGCTCTTTCCCTTCTACATCCAGCAGTAATCAGCCATCATTGAAACATCCCATCTACCTGGATTTCGCTGCTCCATATGTTTTATGTCTTGATGGAGCCATTCTCCTTGCCCGTCGCTATAATCTCCACAGTATTCTGGGAGCTAATGGTAAGTCCACTAGGTCCGGTCGGTGGATTTGAAAATATTTTTTTTTGTGGCTGTGTTATTTTTGTGAGGGATGTCAATATGGAAAAGCCCATCGAGGCACACAGAAAACGTTAGCTACGGAAAATGAAAGCTTCGAGCCTGGTGAGCGCATACACGTAGATCTGTGCTGCTACATGACTCAATCGTTGTCAGAGTCGAAATTCTTAATGCTTTTAAAAGATGGATCTTCAGGCTACAGACAAGTGTATTCTCTTAGGCACAAAAATGAGGCTACGAAGTTTTTCGGCAAGTTCTACAATCACGTTCTGACATCAACCAATAGAAAAATCAAGACATTACGATGTGACAATGGATCAGAGTTCTGCAATCGCGAGTTCAGGGTTTTCTTATAGGAAAAGGGAATAAGCTTATGTACGTCTGCACCACATTGTCTATACCAGAACGGCTTCATCTAAAGAGACAACAGGAACGTAGTGAAATCGGCACGATCTATGCTCCACGATGAAAGTTTGACAATATTCTTGTTGGCCCAGGCTGTTAAAACAGCAGTTATGAGCTATTCCACAACAGGTGTTGCAGGGCAAAAAAATGAAGTTGAAACTAACCATGTACTCTTCAAGAACACAATGAACAATGGAAATCCTGAAAATCACAGCCCCCTAGGTCCAACCCTCGTGAATCTACAGGGGCTCAAAGTTGGGTTTTCATGTTTTGAGGATATTCTGCTTCTTACTCTGCTTTTCCTGGGGTGCATATGAAAACATTTCTAAACTCTGTTTTTTCATATAAAATTTGATGTAAAATTCAAATCTGTACTCAAATACGACATTCATAACCTTAAAACCCCTTAAAATGGAAAAAATAGTGTAAAATAGCATGAGAGTAAAAAAACAGTTGTTCGTATACCTCAAATTAATACCTCTAAATACAACTTCTGATAAAGTTTGGTAACTGAGTCACCATTACAGTACGATTACCATTACCATTACAGTCATTATTGAGGTTTTTTCCTCATTTTCCATGTTTTTTGGCTCTTCGCAAACTACCAAATTGTCTGTAATGACTCAGTTACCAAACTTTATCAGAAGTTGTATGAAGATGTATAGATGAACATATTAAAATATTGGCTAATTTGAGGTATACGAACGACTTTTTTTTTACTTTTATGCTATTTTACACTATTTTTTCAATTTTAAGGGGTTTTGAGGTTATGAATGTCATGTTTGAGTACAGTGTGCAAATGTGTGAAATTTTGTCCGTTTGGACCGAAACAGGTTCATAAACTAAAAATGTTCTTGTTGGGGTGAAATAACCAAAGTTTTCAATCAAAATAGACTAATAGATCACTATAGAATAGTCACAAGGTATATGAGTTATTTGTTCTCTAGAAAAATAGCCTCAGAGTCGATAAATATTAATTTTTGTTACGTAAAATCAATTTTTAGTGCGGTATGTGGTATTTTTTAGATTGGTAAAATTATTTTAAGGAGGCTGTTGCGACCCAAGGTGCTCTTGGGTTGCGCTGCGCCGCAGTGCGTTGCGCGGCACATTATAGACAGCACCGTTTGCTACAGCTGTGCTCATTTTTACATTCGGAGCTATACAGTTTACGTCGTGTGACTCGGTATAGCTGCGGTAATATTTTTCAAAAAATAACTTTTTTATTTGCCTGAAAACACACCTTTTTTATTATATCATTCGAAAGTTAATGAAATTTCCTATAATAAATATTAATTTCATTAACTTCTAAAGTGATGTGAGCTCACAGTACACTAAAAACTGCCACTTCCCATTCGATTCAATGTTAAATGGCCAAAACTTTGAATTTCATTATTTCCCAAATTTGCATGGAAAACCCAATTTTTTTTTACTAAAAATCTTGTAATTTCATGAACTATCGTTGGTTAAAATTTCACTTCGGTCTAAAGTTCATTTTATTTTCGCTACAGCCTCTTTAAAATGATAATTTTCTTGAGCAACATCTTGAGATGATTTTTCCATTTTTCGACAGCTCAAAATATTCGACCTAATCCTGCTTTCTACGGTCATGGAATTATGCTATTCGTCGATATTTATAAACAAACATTTGCTTGCCTCTAGAAAACTAACGTACCTAACAGTCGAGTATTCATTTTAGCTCAGTACGCATTCCAACCTTATTTTAGCTATCTCTACAAATCGCGCATATATTTAGTATATATACCAATCGGACAGGTTTTCTGACACTTGCGGGAATTGACCATACTCTATCTGTTGGTGAAATCGGAAAGCTTTGATTATGCTAAAAGTTGTTACAATACAAAATAAATTTTTGAAGTATTAATCCTCACATTTTCCCATAATCCATAGTAAAATTTGCCACATAACAATTTTTACTTTGTAACATAGCAATTTTTTGAATATCTTATAAATACTTTTGAATTATACAGTTACGAAAATATCTCGATGTTAAGTAATATTTAGCATGTAAATAGTAGAAAATGCCCATAATCAGACTCTGAGGTACTTTTTCTAGCGAATATAGTAAAATTTGCTTGCGAATGTTTTGATATTCATTATAATATTTTTTTCCGTATATGTATGCTATCGGTGTCGATTCTGAGTTTAATTCGGAGTAAAGTTAAGCATCTATCTTTTATTTTTCGTATTACGCAATTGGTAGCTGTAGAGACCGGGTGTCGAATTATTGCTAGGTAGCTAATACCATTTTAGCACATGTTGCTATTGCTGCTCGTGTCACCTAACAATGGCGGATGTCATTTGGGACACCAATTATAGCAGCTTAATCGCTCAGCTTAATGGGATAAAGAGTATTCTTAAAATGATTTATTGCATAGTATAGATTTCCACTATACGATAATTATAATTATTAACATTATAAAAAATGTTTAGAATGGAAATATGCATCAATTTTTACTATAAATAATACAATAATTTATCTTACTTGATTAGTGAAGTATAAAGTCTGTAATAACGAATTCATATAACAAGTTGCTCCCTGATTTTTTAATCCAACAAATCCTGTATGTTTTTTACTGTCCCAACTTACTCCATGAGGAGCATCAGCTATCACATGTACCTGTAAATAAGATATGTATTAAATACGAGGATGTCAAAAAATATTTTCTACTAACCGATCATTGAAAACCATTTTCTTAAAGTTATTATAATTGCCGATTACATAAAAAAATCATTTTTTTTCTGATATACGTTCGTTACGATACGTTCAATTTTTCCCGGGAAAATCACCGGGAAACTTTTATAAACAATTTTTTCAAAAATTCATTTTTAAGATTATTTTAAGTAGTCTACGTCGAAAAAACGTTATTAGTATGATAAAACATATAGTTTGACATAGAAAAGTGTTTATCGGAGTAACAAGTTTCAGACAGCAGCAAAATATCTATGTTTTGCAATTAAAAAATTTTTTTTCTAACATTTATGAGTAGATAGGTAAGCAGATTTAGCGAGGTGTCCATCTTATATTATAGATGTGATATCATAGTTTACAAAATGTTTTGCTTTAATTGAGCGCCTGCTGTTTACAAATTCAATAAATATTGAAAAAAGTTGTACATGCGTATTATGGAAGGTCAGAGCAAACTAGGGGCCTGAATTTTCGGTTTTGGTACCCCTTTTCTACCAACGTATTATAACATATCGAAATTTCCGGAAAATCCGTGAATCCCGTAAACGATTCTAATCTATTTTCCAATATCATATATCTAAGGATTTACGGATTTTAAATTCATGCACTAAAATATTGAAATGTCTCAAATAGAACTTTGGTAATTGTAATTAGAATGTATGGTTTTATTTTGGAAATAATTTTAAGATTACCTCTAATGTTATGGTGTCATCTTTTATGTAACCTTTTTCTGGATCTAAAACATCTTGCCAAGTCATGAAATGACTAAATCCCCAATCATTCTCTTTGCTATAAAATAGATGCTGTATTTCTGTAATTAAAAAAGTATTGATAATTTTATTTTTGTCTTTAAAACTGCACATAAATGTTAGTATCAATGTAGAAGTGTTTCATATTCCCTATGTTATTACTCTTCCGAAAAGCGGACACTTCCCAGTAGTGGACAGTTTTCGACGGTTTTAGTGTGTCCACTATACAGGGATTTCACTATATATAATAAAATTTGCATCTCTATTTCATTTTTACTCACTTCGACTGAATGAATCGTGACCTTCTTTACACGATAACAATCTTAATTCAGCAACAGCGTAACAACTCCAAGAAGATGATTCACTTTCTCCATTGCATTGCAAGAAAAAACCCAATGATCTTTGAGGTTGACGCTCTTGAGTTTGACTTGATCTAGGCATTACCATAATTTTCCAAGGTAGATTGCGAACGAAACACGGTGGTGATAGTTGCGAATCTTTCATTTTCGAAACATTCTCCACCGTGAATCGGAAAGTGGCTTCAGATCTTGATTCATCTGCAATATAAATTGGTATTAATAATACTGTAAACTATCTACATAGTAATTTAATTAAAAAATTTAATTAATATAAAATTAGAGTTATTATATGCCGAACGGTAACTTTATACTTTTGCAATGGGTTAATATAGATCATTCATTAATTCTGTAATGACCTTGAAACATGAATTTTTCGTGGTAGGAGTCGACTTTGCGTAAAGATAGTAAAAATGCGAAACGAATAAGAGTATAAGTCTCAAATAAACAGAGCCCTTAGTGTTAGATTGATATTTTCGCTCGCTAATGATTTAATTGATACCTTTGTACTAGCTGTAGATGGTAAGAAGTACCCCGTAATAAAACGTAAATCAACAGAGTGATTGTCTTAAAATAATATTTCTATTGCTGGGACTGTTGGAAAACTCATTCAAGTTGTTAATTATTTTTGAAAAATAGATTCAAGACAAGCCTACTGTAAACGAACCTAAAAGTTCGAAATTGTAAAAAAGCAGGCTTTACTTGTATTAACCATATGAAAAAACCCGCTGAAAATTTATTGGCAAAGAGCTTCCTCACTAATATAAACTAACTAAAGTTTTATTATTAATGAAGGGAGTGCACTGTATTCTGAGGAAATACCTAACTCTATGTAAAAGCAAAAGTACAAATTTTTATTTTGACTCCGTACAATGAGAATAAAATTTAGTAGGGTGGACTACAGCGCCATAGTAGATTCAACTAAAGAACTAAAATAACTGCGGCTCGAGTTAATTCGTCTAGTTACATAGCACATTTGGTTCTCATCCCGCTGAATCGGAAAAATCCGAATGCCTTCACTAGGATTCTAACCCACGGCCCCTCGACCAGACGTTGTCTCGATGCCTAGCACGCTACACACTGAACCGACGAGCGCTCTTCTCTTTCACTTTTCTCTTTTAACCCATTAAGTCCGGGACAGGCACATTTTCGATATTTTTTTGAAACGGTTTACTTTTGAAAATGGTGTCTGGAGAGCTTGCCAGTAAGCATATTCTACGCAAAATTTAATGAACTTTTCGAATCCGGTGTCAAATTTTCGAACAAAGTTTTGCCCACTAACAAGTCAAAAGTTATGGATGGTTTTATAAAAAAAAAACGTGATTTCGAAAAAAAATTTTTTTCGAATTTTCACATGAAAATCTTTTACATCCTTTGTTACAAATAAAGCGTCCATGGGTCCTTCTCTTAAAGTTATGATGGTTCCGATTATTGAATTATAATTTTAAGTACAAATATGGCGACTGGAACACGAAAATAAATAAGGAAATTTTTCGAATTTTTAACTCGAAAATGATGGATTCTTAGAATTTATCAAAGAACTCATTCGTCAGTAAAATTTTTTCCTCAAATCCATCGTTTTTGAGTTAAAAATTTCAACAATTTCCTTATATATTTTCGTATCACAGTCGCCATTTATTGGACTTTCATGGAAGGATGGAAGATTTTCATGTGAAAATTCGAAAAGAAAAAATTTTTTTTCGAAATTACGTTTTTTTTCATAACACCATCCATAACTTTTAACCTGTTTGTGATATTGAAAATCTGACACCGCATTCGGAAATTTCATTAAATTTTGCGTAGAATAAGCTTACTCGTAAGTTCTCCGGACACCATTTTCAGCAAAAGTACAACGGTTCAAAAAAGTATCAAAAATGTGTCCGTCCCGGACTTGATGGGTTAGAGGCTCAAAGGGGGCTAAAAATCGAAAAAATTTTTATTTCATTTTTGAGTCGGAGTTTTTGTCCCCTTTCCATTGCATTTTTTGAAACTTCAAAATTTTGTTCATTCAGTGAGATACAGCTGTTTCCGTGAGCCATTTTCGTATACTTTGTGTGTTAAATTTTTTCTTCTTTTGTGTTTTCTGGCGTTTCACGTTTTTACAAAGTGCACGTCAGTTGTCGTAACTTTCAGAGGGTACCGATTGAGTTACCGCACTAGGGTCCCGTACACTTCTTCAGTACATCAATGGTTACGGTCACAATCTCGGGCGTGCCGATCCGACCGTTCAGTCACCCTGCACAAACACTGAAGCACAATTTTTTTTTCATTTTACGTTTTTTTTTGTTAGCTCCTTCATGAATCTACTGATTGAAAGTGATCTTTGAGTTCGATCGGCTCCCCCGAGATTGTGACCGTAACCATTGATGTTTTGAAGAAGTGTACGCGACCCTGGTGTTGTAACTCAATCGGTACGCTCTGAATGTTACTACAACTGTGCACTTTTGTAAAAACGTAAAACGCTAGAAAACGCAAAAGAAGAAAAAATTTAACACGCAATGTATACGAAAATGGCTTATGGAAACAGCTGTATCTCACTGAATGATCAAAATTTTTAAGTTTCAAAACAGGCAATGGAAAGAGGACAAAAAATCCTACTCGAAAATGAAATAAATTTTTTTTCGATTTTAAGCCCCCTTTGAGCCCTTAATAAGCCATGGAATTGGACTAAACTCGACCACAATGTTGAACAATAGTGCAAGTATAATTTTTTTCGCCGCCAATAGTTAAAAACATACATTTTTCGTCAGCGCCGTCGATTTTTGTACATGAACAAATTTAATAATTCCAAGAACTCCCGGCGAAGAGCCTCAATTGGACGTCATTATACGTAAGGTACAAAACTTGGCATTACGCAAGAAATATCGGGCATATAGAAGATCAATTGCTTTTTGTTCCAGGCCGATTCGAAGTCAACTTTATTGTTGTCTTTTAATAAATTGTGGCAGCGTTAAAAATTTATCTTTCGATTTTTTAACTCTGCTTGTTATCAAAATTTTCGTAAAAAATCCATAAATAATAAAAATTACGTGAACAACCTTGCTGGAGGAAAAATTCACTCACAATAAGCATTATACCTTTGTGAGAGTCAATAATTAAAGATTTGAATTCAAAGATAAATTTTCTCTCCAAAAATGAAATAGGTCTAGGGAATGATAGATTTAATGACAAGAAAAGTATCACGTTCATTACGGATTACGATTTAATTAAATTTGAAATATAGATTTAGGACGCGTAGTAAAAATTTGAAATGAATAAAATTTCACAGTTTTTAATTCTTGGCCAAACCCTTATAAAAATTTCCTATAAGATCCCGCGAAAATCCTACTGGAATCCTATAAGACTCCTGTAGGAATTTTGCGGGATCCTATAGGAAATTTTTATAAGGGAAAAACGCTAAGTTCTGTTTTATATTTAAATCGATATTGAATATGTGATAAATATTTAAAAACTTGCCTTCTTCCATATCATGATCTTGCGTTGTGATACGCTGATTTGAATCGCCATTGGTTACCGATAGCGGTCTAGGGTCTAAATTACAGGATATTTCTGAAAGAATTAAATGATTCGATACATTTAAATAATTTAGCATAATTCTTAGTATATATTTTAAAAGCTATCAATAATTTATAATAAAATGATACAATTTCATGATACAACTGTAGAATGTGATAATGCGTCAAATACATGAATCGCACTACTTTTCACCGTTACGTATCTTACTTTTATATTATCTTATTTTTTTCATACAGGGTCTTGAAATTTTGAGAAAACATTAATGAGCAATTCAACAATCTCCTTGCAACATTTCAGACCCTATTGCCATGCTAATTTTCGAGAATAAAGTCATCGAAAGTTGACTTTTTAACAGGGCGTGTATAGGCGCACATCTACTTTTGGACGCTTGTTATTGAATAACTCTCAAAGTATATCATACAGCTTTTCAAAAAACTGATAATATAAAGTATAAAGTACGTGTTGACATGCTAATCATTATAATATTAGCTCGAGAAAGTGAATTTTTATGGTCCGGTCAAGGTTTTGTTGTCTGCTGAAGAGGAGAGGGGACGCTTAAAACACTACAATATGGGGCCCTCGGGTACAACAAGAGTCGAAACTAACTAACTACACTCGTATTGACTAGCCGAGTCAGTTAAGAGTCACCTTAAGAACCATTAAACCTTTGAAATCGACATGTATGTTGGTTTCTCAAGTATTTACGTACTAACCAGTTACTCTAGATGATTTTTTACCATCAGTTGATCCTACCTATCTGGTGAGCTAGATTTACAATTTCAACTAGTTTGACATTGCTGTAGAATTGTTTAATTATGTGCTAGATATTGTTAACTTCCAATTTTATACATGGACTTTTGAAGACCTTTTGCTAAAAGTCCTCAAAATCAAAGCAGCTTACTGTACTGTACTGTACTGTACAATAAACTGGTCCTTATTTCCCCATTTGTTCCGACCTTCACTTCAAACGTTGATTCTGGTTTCTAAGGTGAAAAGCTGAGAAAAAATCTGAAAATATTTTTTTTATATTCTTTTTTGACTAATTTCAAGATTTTTTTGTACCATGTGTTTTTTTGTTTAGATGCTTATATATCGATATAGAAAATCGCGAAGTTTAAAAACGTGGTTTTTTTATGCTTGAATTTCATTCAAAAAAATCCCCATCACGTTTTTGAACTTTGCGATTTTCTTTATCGAGATAGAAGTATTTAAACGAAAAAATACAAAGAAAAAAAATGTTTCAAAATTAGTCAAAGAACGCGAAAGAAAAATTTCAGAATTTTTTGAGAACTTTTTCAGAAGAGTCCTAGAAAATTTGCGAGTTGCGACACGAGTTAACTATTACCTTTTGGACTCATATACGTGTTTTTATCAGTTTTTATACCCTAGGAACCAGAATCAATGTCTGGACTGAAGATACTGTACAAGTCCAAATATCCATGCATTGAAAAAAAATCCTATAGAAATCTCAAACTCATCGATGCTGTAGACATAACGCATCGTGTCATTGAAACCATGCTCGATAGTTAAAGCCTTCAAATCAACACATTTGTACAAAAAGCGTTTGTTTGTGACATGCACGTTAACTTTTATTTTTACCAGATTTTCGAAAAAATTTTGCAATCATACTAAAAAATTTGAAAAATTAACTATGCCCCCTTCCTAAATGAAAAAAATTTAATCAACAAAAATGTTTACGATTTACTAAAAGAGTGAGAAATTTTCAAAATTTTTTGAAAACTTTGGAATTGTAAAAATGACAAAGAATAAGTGACTGATATTGAGAATCATAGTGATGGTTATTTTTTCTAGTCTCAAACTAGCTTTTTTAAAGGCAGAAGTGATAAGCGGTTGGGCTAATAGTGACTACCTTAGTATACTTAATAGCATTCAATATTAATTTGCAAGGTCAATTGAACAAATTAAAAAAACATTTCTTTGATTGACTCATTTGATGATATTTAAAGAAAACTCAACAACTTCTTTTGCTACCTCAGCTAAACGTACTTCGAGTAAACTTCAAAATAATTTCACCTTTTTTTTAGCAATGATGATAACGATTATTTATTTTTAATTAGCATTTTATCTTGCTGAATGACTCTTACAAGGTTTTTCAGACTTATACCAAAAATTTCTGATATTATCAATTAATAAAATAATACCAATAGGATTTTTTTTAAATATATGCTATATGCACTATGAACGTTATATTTATAAAACGAAGTTCAAATTTTGGAGCATCTGAAGACTTCTTTTCATATAAGATTCTATATGTATCGACAATGGAAAATTGACTGGAATCAAATAATTATACTTAATTCATTAGTTTAAATTTTTTTCAAAAAATTATTAAATAAGTGAGAAACACTAAAATCAAAGCTTCCTCTATGAGGAAGCAAAAATAAAATTTGTCGTTAGATTTGAAAAATTAATCATAACCATGGTATCAAGAAATGGAATCAAACAAAGTTAAATAAAAGAAAATTTATGAAAATCATATTTATCGACAATTGAATCATAAAAAGGATAAACTAAATTTATCATATAACTCAAATCATTGTCAAAAAATCATGATGCATTGCATATAAAAAGTATGAAAATGAACGCTAAATATAAATGGTAAAATAGATTCCAATAAAGAATTAGGTTCTATAAACAAATTTTTTTATTTCCTACAATTTTATTTATTGTGGAATATGGGAAATTTATAATAAGTCGATTTTTTAATATTACAAATTTTGATGAATATATTCAATATTATACAACAGTATAATAATAATAATAATAATAATATGCAAAACAAGTAGAAAAAAATCATGTTTTTATTTAGCCAAAATAATTTTATTAAATAGTTTATCTTTGCAGACCAAACTTAAGCATTTTTATCATATTCATATTGGAAAATTGTAGGAAATTTTATTTTCTTCGATTATCGACTCTACATACTTTAGAAGTCTAATTATTGGTTGTATCTCAAAGATGCTTTAAAATTACTGCGAGTCTTTTATTTTAGGAACACACTCACGAGCATATTTATATAAATTAAATTAAATATAGTAAATATTATTGCATGATACTTTATAACAGTAAAAAAATAAAATCACAAACATTTGAATTTATTTGTTTCTTTGTCAAGTTAATGTTAAACTAATTATTGATTATGTTAAGTATGTTAATTATAGTAATGAATAATCAAAAGGATTACTTACTTACAGGTTCTTATAATAAATAAAAACTCGTAGAAAAGTCAACAAAAAGTTATGAGAAATGAGCAAGTATACTCCGTAATTTTTAGTCTAAAGATTATTCAAAATATCGTTTATAGTTATCTACATTTTTTTCTACATCTACATTTTTTTTAAAATTATTACTTTTGAATAAGTGGTATTATCATTACTAGATGCAATATAATTACTTTTAGTATGTTAGAAAACTATGTTATTTGGTTTTTTAGAATAAAAAAAAGAGTTTCGACTCAAACTATATGCTTTACATTGTCGTAGAAATGAGTTTTTGAACTAATTATTAGTACATCAATATTGTGCTTAAACCAGATGTGGTCATTGAGATTATTTCAAATAATTTTTAATAACCAAGAACAGATCATTGAAGGCAAATATCAGGTCTTTTGAGAAACGCGATAATAGTGAAATTGAATATATATAGATTATTAATTGTTACCTTCTTGAGTATCCATCTTTTCCAGTTCTTCAACCTGTACAGGTGCTGGGTTGAAGCTAGTATCAATACTTTGACTCATTTAATCAAACAACACTGTTAACTCTATTTGAACATAAATATCATCATGCCATAGGTCTCAATAAACCTATAACCTATCTAATATTCTTCACGTAAAATTATTCGTCGTTAAAATTTCTCAATCTTCTTTCTTCTTAAAATTAAAAGGACAATGATTATTTTCTGTTCTCAACTCAGTACAGTATACAATCAAAATTTAGTTTAATTCTTTTTTGAGAAGCTGTGTGTAATTGAACATTTTTCACTTGAAAATTACGATTTGTGATTGGTATTAACTATCAATATCGATATCGATATCAATTTCTTACGATTTTGCACAATTCATACAAGAATAATTTTATTAGTATTTGCTCTAAACATACCACCACATTTTACTTCATACTTTAATAAATGAGGATTTAAACTGGTAGAGAGATAACTGAGGTTTCCATTAACTTCAAATGAAACAGAAAATAGTATATAGAAACTTAGTATGCCTGTAAATCAAACAAGAGCGCCGCCTGGTTTCTAGAATATGAACAACAACGATATCGATCATATGGCTCCAAAAATAAATTAGACCTCTAAAAATTGACTCCTTCAAATAATTATTTAAACATTATATGAATTTTCGATAACTAAATCAAATAATTTTTTAAACTATATTCATCCAATAAATGTTTTCGTACAATCCGCATCTAATTTTACATTTTTGTACATTCTGTATTTGACGCAACAATTATAAAAAATTGTACAATAATTTTATAAAAATTATATATTTGCGAAACATCAAGTGATCTCTGATTTTAATGATATAATTCAATTTTTCATACAAAGATAGAAATAATCGAAATAGATTCGATTTTTTTCATAATTGTCATACATTAATATTTTTAAGAAGCTTGATCAAAAATGCAAAACATTCGAAAAATAACATGTCAAGAATGGCGTAAAATATGGGAACAAAAGCTCTAATGCTTATGAAAAACTCAATATTTTTTCATTTTTTGACGAAAAATTGGGTCAGTTTATGTATCAAATTGCACACTTGACTCTGGTGCATAACGTAACATTCGACTGTAGAATAACTAAAAAGTACTCTAGCTTACTGAAGTTTACTTTTGAAATTAGTAATGAGTATTTAGATACACTCGATCATACTATAATTTATTAACTTTAAAATATGAAAAATTTTATTTAACTGTGATTGAATAGAAAAGTATTCGATATTTTGACATTTATAATTCGTTACTTTGTAATAAGTGACTTGTATATTTTTTATAAACTCAGTTAAGTAAACATCTATGGTTATGTCAAACTGTTCCCTTAAAGTTGCTGTCATATGTTCAAGCAACATGAACCGAAGTATGGAAGCACATGCTTTCTTGAGGTATATATTTCAAAACAATTTATGTACCAATAATGAAATTGTAAAAAATATTAATTAATGTGAATGTATATTTAATATAGCTGTATGTCAATGTATTAAATTTTCAAAGACAATTGTTTTATGCTCTTTAAATTTTATTAAAAATTTCAATAAATACATTTCTCAAAAAACTATTAATTTAATTAAAAATTGCATGTTTGTCTCATCCATAATTACAAGATCATCTTTATATCAGTTATTTTTGAGATAACGAAGCATCATCTTGAACAAAAACCTCATAAACTCTTCAAGCATATTAATATTCTGCGAATTAATGATTTATAAAGTTTTTCCTCTAATTCATTGTAGCTTGTATTAATTATGTGAAATCTTGAGAAATGCTTTCTCAATAATTGGAATTTGTTTTATTTTAATAGTAGTGCAACAACATTTTGCTATTAGAATTATATGGATATTTAAATTGTTTGTATTTTCTGTTTTAAAAATAAATTTACATTTTTCACGAAATTGTTACTAAAAATTTTTCTCAATCTCTTCATCTTTCGTCAATATACTGAAGCAAGAAAAAAATAACTTTCAAATTTTTAACAAATCATTATTCGAATTTCTAATTGAAAAAAAGCCAAACAATTGTAATCTTTTTATAATTTATGTTCTAGACATCTACATCTATATCCTTGTTGTTCTTAATTATGACACCATTCAAACACTGCATGTTTATACCAACTCTGTGGTTTTTTTTTCCAATCTATATAGGCATTGTATAAACAATTTTACCCCAAGTTTTTACAAAAACCTTTTTCAATGTGTTTTAAAGTTTGAGTGACTTTTTCAATATCCCTCTACCTCCAAGATATAAAAAATATTATATATATATCATTGTCATATTTTTTATTTTTTATTAATAGCTGATAAAACATGTTCATCCCTAATGTATATGATGCAACCTAATAAATAATAAATAATATAATATCACAAGTGCCTAAAACACGGCTCAGTTAGATTTTTAGTTTAAAGTGGTAGAATGCTACCAGGTAATAAGCCTTCTCAATTCAACCTCGTTAATTTAGTTTCCAAATTATGTTAAAAATAATCAAAGAAAAACTGAAATATATTTTAATTTTTTATCCAATTTTCAGTAAAAAAGGATTCAATGTCAAATCATATGGCACTGGCGATAAAGTTAAATTACCTGGAAATGCACCTGATCGACCAAATGTTTACGATTTTGGAACAACTTACGACGAAATTTACAATGATTTGTCGAGTAAAGACAGACAATAGTATCCTTTTATTAATAACAATAATATCCTATATTTATCATTTATATCTCATATTTTTCCAATCACTTACTAATAGTTATACTCAAAACGGTCTTTTACACATGCTGGATCGCAATCGAAGAATAAAACTAAAGCCAGAAAGATTTCAAACTTCAAATGAAAAATTTGATATCCTTATTACTTGTGAAGAAAGAGTATATGATCAAGTAATAGAATGTATGGAATTAAAATTATCTCAAAATAATGAAGCTGTTCATTTAATTAATATCGATATCCAAGATAATCATGAGGATGCTACAGTTGGATCATTCTTAATCTGTGAATTAGTACAATTGGTAAAAATATTTAAATTCCAAATCACTATCTTAACAAAGTGAAATATTATTTTGTGTAAGGTCACTGACCTACACACATCTGGTGTTAGTTTTGTAAAGTTTTGTAAGGATTTAAGTTGGGGGTGAAGTTTTATTATTACTGGGATTTAATACGTCATTTCAATAGATTTTGACAGTGTTGAAGGTGCGCCTGTATATCTTGTCATTAGCGTGGCCCTTATTTACCAAAAAGCATGGAACCTCACTCCAAAGGTGTTTTAGTTTAGTTTGATTTAAAAATTAAACATTTCGTAACAATGCCCCTTTTAAGAGGTTCCCGTGAGTTACACACTACTTAATCGAGTGTTCCGGCAGTTACATGGGTTAAGTTAGCTGGCTTGTCGTCTGCTCACCTTAAAAAGAGCCGAAAAAGTCATCTTTTCGCATCTTTCTTAAAAAAAATATTGAGAAAATGACTGGATACCTCTATTTTGAGGCACGGATTTGGATAGAAGAAATTTTTCTCTACAATTTTTATAAAATCACTCCCAAGAATACTTTGATTTTTTTCTGTTAATTGTAAAAATTGCTCAAATTTGTAGGCATTTACATATAGACCCGTGTTAATTTTGGAAACTTTAATCGCATTTTTTTCGAGATTTTAGCCGGCTTGGTCATATGAGAGTCATGACATTGGATTCGGAGGATCAAAATCTATCGATATTCATGTATATTTTTCTTAAGAAGGTTTTCCGGGGAAATTTGAATGTAACCATAAATGGGACAACCGCCTATTATGGCGCACTTAAGAAACTTTTGGCTATGATAAAAAATTGTATCGTTTGAAACACAAATCCCAGTATGGGTAAAAACACCAGTAATGACCCAGCGCCACGCGCAGGCAGCAAAAACGTCCCGATTGCTCAGTTTTCAGCTTGCTTGTAAAGGGTTAAAGAAAATTCAAAAAAATAAATTTACATAGGGTTTCGATAGGTTTTTACCTCAGCTTTCAAGTAGTGGAGTCAAAAATGCAAAAATGTGCCTCCATAACCTCTAAAAATTGACTTAAAGCTAAAACACTTTGTAACTTCCAGAGTTCAACTCTGATTGACTTTATAAGTAGCTAGATTGGAAGATCTCGTGATTTTACTTCATAACTGATTATATTAAAAAAAAGGATTTTTTCAACTTCCTTGAGCGGTGAAGAGGGAAAGAGCGCGCGGTCGGCCGTTTTCGAGCACCGCGGCATGTTTTTTCGGCGCACTTTACGTTTCTTCATCTTTCACGCTTTAGGCCTTCGCCATAAAAATAAACAAATACATGGTTTTCGTGTATATTGTCTTCATGGAATACATGGAAGCTAAAATTTAATTTTCATTAATTTGTCATTTTTTATTGATATCGAATTCAAAGCTGAATCAATTGAAGGCAAGTTAAAATGTGACAACTATGAATAAGTCCTAAAAGCTGCCAAAGACTAGGATACTCGCTCCAGGCTCTTCAAGTAAATTTTCCCGTGTTAAGGTATTAGCCACTGCCGCCAAATCAATAGTACGTAAACCTTAATATCCACGATATACGGTGTATGTAATTATAAGGACTGCCACATTACCTTTCTTACATATTTTTCAAAAACATGATTTTTACGTGATTTTTACGTGATTTTTACGTGATTTCCACGTAGTTTTTACATTTTTCTTTGAAAACTTCCCCATTGCTCCCACCTGTTCTTCCAGCTCGCCTCGGATCCCCTGACACCTTCCTCCAGTTTAATTATGCTTTTTTAAGGTTATGAAATTGGTAAATTATCCTTCATTTATAGCAATCATGAAGACGATATTGCATATTTCTTTTACTCGTACTTTTTTTTAATATTAGGAATATAGAATAAAGAAACTCGCTGAAGTTCTTCGAAAAAAAAATTCTACAAGTAATATTCACTATAAATGCTCAAAAATTACATACGGATAGAAAAGCAAGAGCAAAACCCAACAAAAACTAAAACTTTTAAGAATAAGTTATTATGCAAGCTTATTTAACTAGTAACTTTCACACGTGTTTTTTCAGTCCTATTTGAAAAAAAATTGCTACTTCGATCACAGACTTCATTGCATTTCGACTCAAGTTAAAAGTAACTCGACCAATCAGCAGTATTTAAAGTGATTTCACTTTTCTGCTCATCTCTTTATATTAATAAATATTCATGACAAGAAAACAATAAATCATAAAAAAGTTGAAAAATGAAGAGATATACACTTGTACTTGATTAATAGTATATTTTGCACCTAGGGAGTGAAAAACTGGAAAGTCTGAAAGCACGTGTAATTTATTGATAATCACGTGCTCGGAGACTTTCTTTTTCCGCTATATAGGTGCAAATACAATTTTTTTGTGAATCACCCAGCCTAAAGTAACATTTTGGTTTTGCCCAGCGGGAGTAAAATGTTACTTTAGGTTAGGGTAGTACAAAAAACTCGTATGTAAATTATGTGGAATGTTATTAGTAGAATCACACCCGAGTTGATTGGTTCCAGTTGATAAAAAAATGAAGCAAACCAAAGAATAAATTAACATACTATGGCATGACATGTTTTAGGTATCGAGCGCAGCAAGAGTACAGTCATATCAGAAAGTGTCCCCAAAGGCCCGAGCATCATACTTAATTTTATACCATTGTGCTACGTTCACATTTATGCCCCCTTTTCTAAGTCATAAGTTGCCCTTTCTGGTACCGCGGAGTGAGGTTAACGATGCGAACGAACTCGCAGCGCTCGGGCCCTATGACACGTGAAATTATTAAAGCATTGATATACGTTAAAATATTTTGATTTTTTAATTTTTTTACTTGAATTATAATGTTTTGTTTCAGCTTGCTAAGAGTGGTGATCTGGACAACGATATAGATGAACTTCTACACGAATTTGAATCAAAGTTTGATAAAACAGTCTTACATACAGTGTTGTTTTATTGATTCTGTATGAAGATATACATAGTTTATATAATAAAGAGAAAATATTTAAAATTAAACTCATTTCTTCCTATATTTCAAATCAATATCTAAAAATTATCACATTATAAGGTGGTACAAAAACTATTTCGGCTGGCCATTTTATTTTTCTTTAGGTTATATACTAGATACAGAACTGAATAGACATCAGGCACTTCACCAGGGGACCGCTTTCGACCAGTATACTGGTTTTCACTATTGTGAAAAAACCCTTAAAAGAAATTGGGCACAAGTGGCGTTTGTTCGTAATCATCAAGAAACAGCCCTTCAGAATAGTCGATGAAATAACGGCTGCGACGGATTGAAAAGAAAATGTAGAATTGAATATCTTTTCTTTTTATACCAAAAACCAGTAAACGAAGCTCGCAAAGATACCACCTGCTCCAAGTTCGAGAAGAAATTTGGACGAAATGAGAATCGATGCAAACGCCAAATGACAGTACACAAAAGTCCCAAAGATTTCGCATGCAACAATTGTGAGAAGCCGTTTGGATCACGAAAGTCGTTCCAAATTTCTTCTTTCGCTTTTATTTTTATTTTTTCGACTTTTTGAATAATTTCCCTTTTTACTTGAACGTTGAGTTTGAGCAGCAGAACAATTTTTATTTCTTCGAGAAAATATCCAAGACAAGGAGAATAGAAAAAAATTGTCGATAAAGCAAAAATTTTATGCTGCTTTGATCGATCTAATATAATTGTGTGTAATTCGCCAATTAGGAACCACGGCGGCAAACCGGCCAACGCGGCCGTCTTTTGTTTTTAGTGCTAGTTTACCGTGCGCGCACCAACAAAATCAACGCTCAGTACTGGCCTTGAGATTGTAAAAAAATAATTTTTTTTTCCGACCTTACAGTCTAATAAATATATCTAAATATATATAACTCCTTTATATACCTCTGTATAAATGTAGACGATGATGAACTTGACACAGAGTTCAAATTACTTATGCACAGTCATTCACATGTTAATTAATTTTGAATTGAAATTTAATTCGATTTATTACTGAAATTCGTTGTCTTCTCGAAAAAAACTCATCATAAAATTTTTCTAATTTTTTTAGTAAGGCAACATTGATAAGATGATTTTAATTTTGCGCGCGGTTGTAACTATGCGAAAATTTTCAGTGAGGTTGTTAATAAGTGCGATTTTTAATGGCTTTTTTATCAAATTTCATTTACTTTATAAGAATTAACTAATTTCGTGACGAAAGATCATCTGAGTTTTTCGCATGAAAAATCTTCTGGTAAATTGCCTGATTTTTTCTAGTATCATTAATTCGACTGCGTATTACATAGACTTTTTATACTTTTTTAGCAATAAACTTTCAAAAAGTCGACTAACTTATTCAGGGTTCGTGTGTATACTTTGTAGTACATCAATTTTTTGTTACTTGAAGGTTATTTAAATAAAAAACCATTTAAATTTGTTTCATAAAATCTAATCGCGAGTCGCGAGTGAAATAAAAATTATATGTTCAATGAACGTGAACTACATAATTGACGATAGGTATGTACAACAAATTTCAGTCTCATCATATAAGGCCATAACATACATTTTCACGATGTTACTATATATGTTGAAAAAGCTCATTGATAAATGTTAGTAAAGTTATTTTATTAACAAGATAAATCGTAAACGTAACAAATTTATGGTACTACTTGGATGCGAAATTTTATTTTAGTAAGATTGTACGTAAGTTTCCTTGAAGCAATGTTATTTTCATAAACACAATAAGAAAATATTTAATTAAAACTTGAGTGTTGAATTCATTTTGGTGACAGTATTCGCGTTCGCAATTTTATGTTCACACTATAATCTGTAACAGATTTATAAAACAAAATAAACTTTGCATAATTAAATAATTTTCATTTTTAATAGTTATATTGCTGTTTTACTTGTAAAAATGATATTATGGATTATATTGAATTGTGGAATAGATTGAATATGATGTGTAGTTAGTTATCTTCATAACTTAGAATGAATTCAACTTGACGGTTTACTAATTTTTCTTTTATTTCAAGAGATTTTGGATTAAAATAGAAAGTAAAAACTTCAATTTTTACTTAGGAAAAAGTTAATTTATGAATCAATTAAAAGAATTAAATTTTGTATGACTTTTGAAATTAAAATAAGATGAATAACGAATAATCTTCCATTGAATTGTTGATTTTTATCTCAATAGACTCTTTTGTCATATTTTTTCTCATTAGCTAATATATTGGTCAAAATAATATAAATAATAGAAATGCATGAAACGCATAAATTCCTGTTCATTTTTAACAATATAAACTTTTAGTATTCTATTAATAAGTTTTTCAACGATAAAAGAAAAAAAAATTGTTCCATATTTTGTGATTTAAAGAGTTATAAGAAACAAGATTAGTTCTATCCATTCTACAGTTTTAAAATTTTATTAACATAACAAAATTCAAACTCAAGATTTTTCATTAACTATTTGATTACTATAACATAAATTATTGCAATAATTCTCATAGATACATTTAATTATCAAAATTTTAATGCCAATTCATTTAGTCATTCAAGTTTTTTAAGACAAATTCAAAACTCTTGTATGTTTCTTCTTTTCCTTTGAAATTTGTAATTTTTTCAATGTTTGAGTCATATCTGCAAGAATTAAAATTTGTTTTAATAATTTTTTACAATAAAATTTGGATTTTCAAAAAACATAAATTCACACAGAATTACTGAAAATTTAGAAGAATTTTTAGGAATTTTGAAAGTGTACAAATTTAATTGAATCAAATTATAACAGCTATTGTAATCAGATTTGAGTTTATTATATTATATGAAAGTATTCCTAAAGTATTCATAGAGTATTGTTAACGAAACTGGAGAAAAAACTTGAAATTCATCATTGCAGTGAAATTTCAACTCACGATAACTAATTTCCGGGTGGCCAATAAAATTCAAAAAATAATTCGATTTTAAGTTCGGCTCATTCAACGAAAGCTCTATAAGAAAATCACAGTTTTTCGTTCACCGTAAAAGTAAATAAAACGAATTACACCGTTTAAGCTTGAATCATTAACTATTTTTATGAAATATATATCATAGACAGTAAATTTTATAAACATTTCAATGATATAATTATAAATAAGAGTTGCCTACCATTTTAAAAGATATTAAGAGTAAAACGCATTTTTCTTATGTTTTACCATGTGACGATATGGTTTACGTTCGCTAAAGGGTTTTCTTAGCTTGCGCGTTGAAACGTTGGGCCACTGTCCGAGCTATCATAATCGCAGTTACTTACTCTAGCTCGCTGTGCGGCCCAGCGTGCGTCCGCTCGTGCTTCCCCCACTTTGCGACTCGTACGCGAGCCGCTCGCTCCGTAATCGCTCTGAGCGTTTGGACGGAGCTTAGAGTGGCGCTACAGTCACCATTTACACGTAATCTTATGAAAAAACAGGAAGCGTCCTGAAAAAATGCCAGCGTCGGCCGCTCGAACTAAATTTTTTCTCATGAGAATTAACATGAGAAAGCGCCACGCTGTGTGAACGCTCGGGGCCAATACACACTACAGAGTTTATGCGAAAAGCTGCCGCTCCAAATGTGAGCTCGTCGACTCAGCTCGCATAGCATCAATGTGACTACCACGTCAGAACTCTCCTCCTTTTTTGCTGTATACGGTATGAAATATCTGGAAATGCCATTACGACTTTAACTACAATTGCATTAAATCTAGTTACAATTTCATCTGTGACTGTTTTGAATTCTGATAAAGCAAAAAAAAAATCAAGTTGATTTCAAGCCAATTAAACATGATATTCCACTTAAAACACTTGAAATCCGAACGTAATTCCACCCCAATAGCTCGAAATTAGGCTTTACATCAGCTTGAAATCAGCTTGAAATTAAGCTTTAAATCAGCTTGAAATCAGCTTGAAATCAAGCTTGAAATCAAGATATCATTTTTGACAGGGATATATTAACTCTCGACCTGTGCATAAGTTTTTTCTACGCCGAGGTGGCCAGAACTTATGTCTCAATGTAGTTCGCGAAGCACTCGCTCGTGGTGATTTCTCAGCACGATAAGTTTCCAACCCACCGATTTGTTCGAGTCGGGGTCGAGAATGGCGTGGTATTTGTAGTGGTACAATATGCCATTCCTGACGCACAAATTTCTCCATCGTTACGGTAACGCCAATACTTCTTCGATGCGAGCCGTGTAGGCTTCATCATCGATGTCACACACATTCAACGTACATACATTTGTGCTCTCGGTTTCGTCTGTATCCGGTTCTTTCTCACACACGCGCGATAGAGCGTTGGACAGCTCGTTATATTTGCTTATGCTTTTACGATGCATAATTTGGAAATCCCACTGCTGCATCTCGAATGCTCAGCGCGCAAGTCGACCAGTAAGTACTTTCAAGCTCCTCAGGTACTGCAACGCGCTGTGGTCTGTTATCGCAACGAAGCGATACACTTCGAGATACGATCGCAGCTTCTTAATCGCCCACAGCAGCGCCAAAAATCATAGCGCGCTAAGCATATAGACGCTACTGAGACTGAAAACGTTCAATCGCCCGCCTGCGCGTACGGACGCTCGTTTTTCACGGCTTGACCTGCCATACCCAACGCGCGTATAGAAGTTTCACTTCAATACTCTTCCTCAGACGTGTTGTAATTGCACTCCACCGGCGTCAACACTTGGCTCACCTACACGATCGGGTATTCGCCGTCCTCATAAACCCGAGTCAATACATCGCCGATCGCGACATCCGACGAGTCGCATTGCATGACGAACGGCTTCGAAAAGTCCGGCCTCGCCAATACGGGGGTCTCGGTGATCGCTGTCTTCAACGGTTCGAATCCGCTCTGATGTTTTTCCGTCCACCGCCTCTCGACATCTTTGTGCAGTGGCTGTAGTAGCGGCTTTTTTAAGTTCGAATCATCCGGTATAAAGCGCGCGTACCAGCCCACCATGCCGAGAAAACGCCGTAATTCCATCACGATTGTCAGCGCCGGGTAACGCAGGACCTGACACTTTTTAACTTTATCTTACTATTCTATACACTACTATACACTATAGTACAGTACAGTAGTATGTGTGAACGTCTGAGCGACGCGTGAATGGATGATGAGGCCCGCGCTACATTCAAAAATTGGGCCTTTAGAGAGTA